CCACCCACGATTCGTTCTCTTCACCCGTCAACCAGGCTAGTTGAGAAGATTCGGCAGATATTTGATCGATAGTCATGATGGTTGCGTTAACAGCAGTGATATACTCGCCGATACCCCAGGACAAACCTTTCGTTCCTGTTCTATCATTTCCTTCTTCTGTCTCTTCGCCTTACAAGTTCAGAAATTTCTGTTGACATCCATCCCAATGACGCTTCATGTCTCTATACAGCATCGACTTGCTACCACCCCCAATCAACGATCGTTCTACTGAATCAGTCTCATATCCCCTCCCTTCGCTGCACCCCAGGCCGAAGAAAATACACCATTGCAGCACAGCAAGATACCTACCCCGCCCCTCAGTGCGTTCCATCCTACTCTTCGCTCCTGGCCACCAACTTGTCGTCAGTTTGTTGATTGCAACTTATTTGGCGTACGACCCAAAAACAGGCGGGGTAAAGTAGAGAGTGTCATTGGAATGCCGTATAGGGACATAAAGAACATGTTTACTTGCATCTAACTCGCAGCAGTCGGGTTCTCGGTGAAAAAGGAAATCCTGCAGCACTTTCCGTCTGGCGTGGCCTTCGATGTTCCCTGCCCTCACACAGGGCGGTCTTGTCATCCGTTATATCGGTTGCTCGTCAGCAACCTAAAAGGAAATGAAAATTAGAGACCCCCATGTCAGACATGCGTGCACGTTAACGACCCGTACCATGGCCTTAATGCGAGAAGTTTGACATTGAAATTCTAACCAATACAGTGAATTGCAGCAGGATTGTTTGCGGATTAGAAGCTTCGGCCAAATCTTCCAGCCTTTCCCATTTGCTTTGACCCCGCAGCCTGTGTTCATAGGGAACTACGTAGTTTTTCAAAAATAAAGAGTTCTTTTTCTAGATCGTGCTAAATCTTGATTCTTTGGCCAACCCGCAGACACCTTTGTAGCTTCTAGACTCTCCTTTGGCTCCTTTTTTTTTCCTTCCGACGTAGATAGGGCAACGTGGTGTCTCTTTCCCTGTTTGCGTGGTCGGAAACCACTACCGAGCTTGGCTTGTAAAACTATACGTGGCCATTCCGATAGGTAGCAATGTTGAGTATAGATGCCGCCCGGCAGAAGAGATAATATCCAGACAAGCCTGTGTGAATATCCACGTCGTTTCTAGGCGTTCAACCTTCGCATTTGAGTAGTTGTTCATTCCATGGGCCCTTTGGTGCGGGCTATGTGCCACGGAGAGGGGCTGTAGCGGGGTATTCCAGTATCAGAAAAATATCCATAGCCTATGAATGGATTGCAAGTATCAGAATGTACAACATTCTTCGCTGTTGTATGCAGATAATAGGCAAGTGTTATGGAAATCTAGATATTTCGATGTCTGGAATGGAGAAACGTAGTATGAGGGGTATGCCCATGGGATACAATTTCCTTGGAAGCCAGTCAGGTAGTCTCAAGTTATCCTTCGAGTATCTGGTACAAGGGAAATGAAGGATATAATAGTCAAGGACAGCATAAGCCACGTCCATTCTGTACACCTACGGTGTGATGTTGACGTTTGGTGTTGGTTGTTTTGGTTATTTGCATTTTTACACTTAATTTAATTTTGTGAATAAAAAGGTGGTAAATGCTACTTGCCGCAATCGCTACTCACCCTAGTTAAAATAAACCACTAATATATATATCAATATACTCCATGCATTAAATACACACGACTATCCATGTATATCCTATAATAACAGCCGTAATTCGCGAGGATATCTCAAGGTATTCCTATATCCACGCAGAAGCTAGCTCGCGAATTTTATATCACGTGAGGATGTAGTTAACTTAATAATGCATTACTAACAGCACGAGTTAATCCAAAAGAGGCTAGGGTGTTTTCCTATTCCTTTCAAGTTCCGTGCCGTCCTTGATCAGAATCCAACTCCCTTCGGCAAGTTTTGCAATGACACCCACACAGAACGGGTACAGATGGTTTCCTATGTTTCTATACCATAGCTTCATTTATACTCAATAATGGCCGAGGATGCACCTGCGGAGCCTACCCGTCCTGCTGACGAACAGTCACGATCTGGTGACGAACCCGATTCCCTAAAGACAGAGCCTACGCCGAAGAAGCTCGAGGATGACGAAGTGACAGGAAAAAGTGAAGAATATGAGAAAAAGAAGGATGAGATAGAAGAGGGTGAGGTGAATCCTGGTGATGGCAAGGATGGTTCACACCCTCCACTGCCGGATGAAGAAGTTCCTCCCCTTCCTGATGAGCCGGTGCCAGGGGTCGTCGAAGATGACGGCTGGGATGCTATGTGGGATGATAATTCACAGGCTTATTACTTTTATAATCGCGTCACGGGAGTATCTCAGTGGGAGAATCCTCGAGTTCCAGACGCAACAGCATCACAACCAGGCGCTTCAAGGGCAAACGAAGACAAGATGCAACAGGCACCCAAACAACCACGAGCTGCAGGTGGGTATGACCCGTCCATACACGGTGACTACGACCCGACGGCCTGGTACGCCCAACGAACTGAAGAGGGCCCCTCTGCATCAACCGCAGCTGGCGCCGAAGACCCAAATTTACTGTACACAGCTACAGGCACATTCAACCGGTTCACGGGCCAATGGCAATCTGCTGGCTTACGACCAGAGAACTTCAATGACGAGAACAAAAGTTATCGGCAGCTGAACGCGTTCTTTGATGTCGATGCCGCAGCCAATAGCCATGAAGGGAAGAGCCTCAAAGCCGAGCGAAGCGGAAAGAAGTTGACAAAGAAGGAGTTGAAAGCATTCAGGGAGAAGAGGCGCGAAAGAAAGGAAGAGAAACGCAGAGCCTGGCTGCGAGACTGAATCCTTCTTCTGCTTTTTTTGATTGTTTCAGGCTTTTTTCTTGTATACCCACGGGTCATGGATTGTTTTTCTTCTATACCCGAGAGGTTCCAGTCGTTAGATCTGTAGTCTTTTTGCATCAACGGGTGGGAGAGATGGTGTGTCACGGTTTCTATTTTTGGCCAGCATCTTGGGATCACGTTTCTGGCGTTGGGCTCTCCGGCACTTTTGTACATCGCATAGCCTTCTATCTAGCTTTTTGAGAAATACTAGAAAATACACTTAGTGTGTTGTGAACTATACTGAACGACCTCGCATCAAACACATGGCGGACCAAAAATACCACAGAAATTATCTCCGAGATCTGCTCACGTGACACTTTTGAGGGGGTTAATTTTTGAGGGTATTTGATACTCTGGGAAATTTAGAGACGAGGACCAATACAATCGCATTTACATATCTCCCAGGAATTTACTGTGAGTATCATTTCTCCATATACTCATAATATACCCTTTTGCTTCTGGATGTATTGGAATCTTGTCGCAGCTAAGGTCTTAATACCCCTCCAAAAAAAAACCCTGAGAACATTTTTTTATATCCTCCTCATTGGGACCATTTTCCTGCTACAACACGACTCTACTCGAATAAGTGTCTGATTTGGACCGGGAATCCCCGAATATTGACTGGTGCCTAGGGAAGAAACCAAATAAAACTTGTTCTGATTGACGAGGCAGTGAAGTAGATACCTCGGATTGGAGCCTCAACGGACACAGCCGAGTTTCGCAAACCAAAAGTCCCTATAGACGCCCCTAACTAGGTGCATAATTTTGCATAAGACAGAGATGGCTACTATGGATGTGGTTTCTCTGCCCTTCGAGGCCGTGGACGATCTCATTTATGATGCCCGAGCAGGTGATCTCGAATCGTTGAAAGCAGATATCACAAAATTCAGCCAGGAGTATGATTGCTCCCCAGCGGATATAATCAAAGCAGCTATAGATACAGAGGATGAGAGTGAAGGAGGTACCGGCTCATGTCTTTTACACTGGCCCGCGGCTAATGGTAACGCTGGTACGTGGTGTTCAGCCTATCCTTCAATACCCCTCAATCAATCGCTAACTCCAACCCTCTAGAAATATTGAATTATCTTCTTAGCCTGCTCAAAACCGAAAATGGGGCGCAAGAACCTTCAAACCTTCAACTTATAAACCATAAGAACCATTCTGGAAATACACCGTTGCATTGGGCGGCTCTTAATACCCACCTGGAATGTGTCAAGGCGCTCGTGGAAGCTGGAGCGGATATTATTTTGAAAAACAACGCGGGCCATGATGCTGTTTTTGTTGCTGAGCAGTCTGACTGGAATGCTACTGCGACTATGCAAGAAGAGGATAAGGAAAAAGATGCCGCGGAAGATGAAGCGAACGTGGAGGAAGCCGAGTCGTCAACACCGCGAGAGACTACGAAAGGTCAGCAGGTCGTGGAGTGGTTACTGACCTGTGAGAAGGGTTCGGATATGGAGAAGAGTGCTGTTGATGATGCTGATGTCCCAATGGCTGAAGACGATGCCGGTCCAAGCAAGGAGTGACCGCATAAGTATCCTATAGACCGTTTACAAAAGTATCTTTGCTGTGTTTCTAGAGTTTCTTTGTCATTTTCTGTTAGCTGTTATGTATCCATGAATCAAACGTTTAGATTTGGAAAGTATTCATTCGTATGATTCCATTTATTATCTTCACTATCTAATTGATAGTAGTGGCAACAGGCCATAACATCCACGACCTCACATCAGTGCCATGAATACTTGATGTGGTCGTCAACTTGGCCTGGCACTCGAACAAAACCTTCTATATTTACATAAAATTTAGAAGGTCATAGACATCTCCAAAACATAGGATAGATGCATAACCATCGACGGTTGAGAAACAACACCAACCCAGAAAGGTAGAGAAAGGGAAGTTATTAGGTAGGGGATAATTAATATAATTTGTAACAGTGAAAGAAAAAGGCTGAATAGGTTTTCGTGTAAGTGTATGCATGAAGGGCTAAAGGCGAGAAAAAAAGGGGCGATACGAGAAGGAGAAAGAAGTAGTAGGAGGAAGTGTATCGGCTTGCTGAATAGGAGGAAAAGAATTGAGAAAGTAGTAGGAGAAAGCGTAAATGAGAAAAGTGCAGACGTTAGAGATTAAATCAATCGGGATGTTTCATCGAGGTCCATGGCAGCAGCGGTAGTTTTCATACCCATTTTGGTGAGGTTCTCGATTGGTGTCCTCCGTCGAACTTCGCAACTGTCATCTGACCCGTAAGACCGTTGAGATTGGTCGTTTGGGTCGCTGTTAAGCGAACCATTGCATGACCGCTGCTTCGAGGCCGGACCAACTGCATGAGCGACATTATCCATGCCCACTCTGAACTCACGGTCCCTCCAGACGATGGTAGCGCCGCCAAAGACACTCCATACCCATATGGGTAGAGCAAGAGTCTCCCGGCCAAGCCAGGCAAGGAACCATTCCAGGAATGGTCGTCTGGCAATCGATTCCGGAGCTGGAGGGCGGGCGAAGCGCGGTGTGTTTTCGTCTACTTCGATGGTGACAAAAGAAAGGAGGGTTCGGTATAGGAAGAAGTCTGTTAGCATCCAGACGAAGGCGCTTAGACCCCAGACTAGCCCGAAAGCAGACCATGTCGACAGATAAGTTGAGCAGTACTGGCTACCAGAGAGGAGGGGAGGGATGCCGGTGGTGATACCGAAAGCGAGGTAGGCAGAGCAGACGAAACATTCAATGCCTGGCTCAACAATCGTAGCTAGAATAACTATGAATTTCCGAACACGGATCCAGCGGACTCGGCGGTTAATGTAAGAGGAGGTGGTCATCTTGGTGACCGGTTGGATAGCGAGATCGCCGAACACAAGGTCATGTTTACCCCATTCTGATGGCTGACCTTCCTCTTCTTCCTCAAGTTTGCCATTCCACATGCGTTCTCCAAGGAGGTGGTCTTCGCAAATGTTGTCGGAGAGGGAGTCCAGACCTGGTTTCCGGGGATATGGTCGAGAGGGTATGACATGGTTCTTGGTGACCTGGTCGAGGTGCGAACGTCTGAACATGGTTGACTTTCCCACGACACAAGGGGCAACGAGAATGGTGTTAATGGCACAGTACATCTTCGCATGGGAGGAGGCGAGGAATATCTCCTCTAATCGACCGCCACCAATTGAAGAGATATATTCAATAGGAGAAACTGGAGCAGGTTTCGTGGCCACAACACTTCCAGGAGCAGATTTTAACGCGCCGTTGCCGTTCATAGCCGCCGCTGGAGGGAATATGGCATTTTTCTCAAAGTCCCTTGCGGCATCTTCGCTCTCAACGTCAACAACGACTGGTAGGTGATGCACAAACTTGTACTTCTGGCCCTTTGAATCCAGTCCACACAGACGTTCTACCATCCTCCCGCAAACGCCTTTCCCTAGCCAGACATTGCAGTCGACCACCCAGACGACATCGCCCTTTAATTCACGGTATGCTTGGCTCATGTTGCGAATCTTCGGGTTAGGTCCCAGCTCATGGTCTTCGTACTTTGGCTCCAGGTAGAGACGCGCATCTATATCCGGGAATCGCGCAAGGACTTTTTCTATCACTGGGTAGGCGGGATCGTCCCTTGACGAGAGACAGAGAGAGATGCTGAGCTTGTCCTTGGGATAGTCTTGCTGAAAGCTGGAAGAGAGATTTTCGTAGAGGTAGGGCTCGAGGCCCTTAATGGGTCTGATAATGGTGACATGTGGGAGATTCGGATCTGAGGGAGCTCTCGTAGCCTTCGGAAGGGGCCTGGAGTATCTCCTGAATCTGTACCAGAACGGCTTATTAGCGCTGATAGCTACTTTGACTGGGGAGCTGTGAACTCCATCCCATGGCCGGGACTCGCATGCAAGAAAGATCCAACAGCACAATAACCACAAGGATAAGGAGGAGAGAATGTGAAGCTCACACTTGTATAGTCCCTATTGTGCTAACAGTAACAACAAAGACGTACCAGCCGATGGCCAGCCAGCCCGCAGCAACTAGCCAGAGACTCTGGCCATGTTGGCTGCAGGTGGTGACCGCGTTAACCAGCGCGCTTTCGGCCACCATGGATCGCAAGAACAAGGGGCTGTCTCTAAAAAAAATAAGAAGCTCTATAGCTCTATAGAGGACAGTCTCCCTCTTTCAGACAGAGAGGAAGAGACGGGCAGGAGTCTCCTTTCTGCTGAGATTGTTTTGGAGGCGAATTCAAGCAGGCTTTCAGGACAAGCTCATACTTTTAAGGAGGACCAGAAGATGGAAGAGGGAAAAAAGAAAAAGAGCGTAAAAAAGCTTGACCCCTCTAACTACACGGGAGAGAGAAAGGTGACGAGTAAGAATAGGCCCTGGTTATGCGGGAGACTTGAGTGAAGAAGAAGATGTTGATGGTGGGAGGGAGAGGGGAGGAAGATTGTTCTGTGGCTTGCAAATATCAGAAATTTTGCTGCCCTTCCCTCTTCTCTCCAGACATCAAGAGTAAAGGCCCAAGATTAAGGAGTCAACGGCCTGAGGAGAAGAAAAAAAGCTTGAGAAAGAAAAAAGACGGCCCACACTGGTCTAACTAATTCATTTTAAAGCCCGTGGATCCCCCGTCACGCCAATCAGTAGGGCGAGATGACTGCATGCGAAGCTTGGGAATGGGACGAATCCGATGCAACCCCTGTAAGTATATAGATCAGGTGAAGAGGGCAACGACAGGGAGGACAGCGGCGGAGGATACACGATCTTGCTCTTGGGCTTTACCTTACCTTGGTATCATCATCGTCGTCGTCGTCATTATCGCCCTCACCATCACCATCCTAAGAACTTAGTAGGCGCCCTTCTCCTTGACTTGCTGACACGACGTCAGCTTCACCTTTTATTTTATTTCTCGAAGCTCCCTATTTTGTTATTATTAGCCTCGGACAGGACTCCCTAGAGAAAACTAGACCTCTTGAAGCTCAGCCGTCAATCGGAAGTCTCTTTCGTGGCACCCCAAGCGAGCGATGAATGGTGTAAACCTTCTCCTTTTCTCCTTTTTTTTTTCTTTCTCTCTCTCTTTTCTTTTCTTCTGCTTCTTCTCTCCCCTTTTCCATAGTTGTTCGACTATTTAACCCTTAGCCTTCCTGCGTTCCCATGGAATCTTTCTTTCATGATTATTTATTGTCGACTAGTCGGGTCGTTATTGCGTTTCCTGGGCTTGTTGGTGTTGCACCATTTTGCCACTTGCGGGAAATAAGCAGGTGTGTCAAGTCGCTCAACCAGGGTTGATTATCTGTACCCGAACGGCTGTTTCCGTTAATGTGACGCGGTGGCCCTGGAAAACTCTTCAATTAATGGTTTGAATTGAAACGAGAGGTACGGAGTACGGAGTAGCCCTTTTTATTCTCTTGCTTTAGCGTAATGATATTTTCTCTTGCTATGTCGGAGGACTCGCTTAAATCTTCGTCAGTTATCCGAAAAACGGCCTCTGAAAACTCCACAGAATAGTAGAATAATAATAATAATATGGAGAATCGGACGCACCAACAAACTGGAGCTCATCCGCGGGAAATCGCCCCGAGTATATAGACTGGAGACTGCAGCTGGAGCTACGTGAAACGCTGCATGCACCAAGGACTGCAGGATGAATTATCCGACCGTAAGTTTCTCTGCCAGATCGGCGTGCACCTTTCCACAGGCTCTCTGTTAGTTAACTTAGTTGGCGGGATGTATTCTTCATGGATGTCGCTGTGGCTGTGCTTACTGGTCAGTCGAGGGAGCAGCAGCAGCCCGTTTACTCTGGGTCGCACGGTATGTAGTAGAGAAGAAGCAGCTGAGGGCTGGACGACCTCTGACTGTAAACACGCTTGCAAGAGCAGAGGCGTCTATCGTCTCTCTCTCTCTCTTGCGTAGTAGTATTAGTAGTTATATAACTAATTCCATCGAAATAACAAATCAGTAATAGACGACGTTGCTGGTGTGGCACGAGCTTCTCGGCCTGCCAAAGCTTGTTTTCTGCTGGGAAACCCAACTTCAACCTTCGACATCAGCGACTAGCACTTCCATCTTCCTGCGCTGCAGCGCATTTGACGGCTCAGCGCTTAAAAGACAGACAAGAACCTGTTCAGCTTAAGTGCTTGCGTGCTGTGTGCTTGTGTGCGGTAGTAATTGACGACCCCTGTGCGACCACGCCTTGTGCAGGTTTACCCGGCTCAACGTCGTCATCTGCAAAGGATGCAAGACGGCGGCGTCGCACTAGAAGTGGGTGAGTGGTCAAGCAGCCGTCTTTCCCTCTTCCAAGCTGACTCTGGAGGCCGGCCAGCCTATAGGAATAGTTATGTGACTAGATAGGCGGGATTGGCCGACCCGACAGTATTCTGTCTCGCATTGCAGTCGCGTGCTATTAGATACTCTGGCCGTGGAACCTTTGATTCCGCTAGTCAATGCGTCCCCTCCTGACGGGAACACGGATGCATATTCTGACTGTTGGATTAGTTATTATAATATGCCCTCCAGCCTGGTCATTCTTGTCACATTGGCGGACTTGGACTGTCCTCCATTCGGACCTCCCTGGTCTCTCGTATATTAAAGCATGTGCTTTAATGCATTTTTGATATCCCTCGATCCCACCTGTCCCATTGCTGCGCCACGTCTAGGTCGAGGTTTAATCTAGCTACAAGCTAGAGAGTACAAGGGAAAGTCAAATTACTATGAGGGACTTTTCCCTTGTCCCAAAGCTTTGCTGGAACAATGTCCCGGCGCGTCAGTTCCCAAGGAGAGGTTCAGCTGTGGCATCCATGCTCGTAACGTGCGTGCCATGGGAAGTGGTTGTGGTGATATTAGTAGTCCGTGCATGGCTATTAACTGCTTGAGGCAACTATAAGCTGAAGGGCTGCTGATTTTGCCATCTTCTTCCCTTGTTCTTATTCAATATGGGAAGAGAATTTCGGTGTTGTTTGTGCGGCTGTAGCCGATCTGCTGTCGGAATACCAATATAAAAAGATCGTTTGGGTGGGATCAATTTCATCAGTTTTTTCACTCTACCCGCTTATCCAGTCTTTATACGTTCTCTCCCCATTTCTAAGTCTATTTCTATCCAAAATGGCGGTTGGAGGTGACGCCGAAAAGGCTGACGTGGACTCGGACATGCGTATTCGTTACGCAGATGAGGAACAGCCTCAAGAGAGTCGACGTCGCTCTCTTCATAGGAAGTCATCTGTTGGTTCCATGTCCATTCGAAGTGCACGTAGGATCGTGCCCCCAGAAACCGTCCTCCCGATTGCGTATCGTACCCTGTACGTAATCGCACGCACATTAGCTAGCCCTCTGGCCACTCACTTATCTCTATCAATAGTTCATACAATGTTGAAGAGTCCATCCAAAAGGCGAAGGAAACACCTCTCAAAGGCGCCACGCAAGCTGTCGATGGTGAGATCAGGTTGTTTCTTGCCCTCTTGGCTATAAGATCATCTAGCTGACCTTCGATTACTACAATAGGTATCTCGGAGCTAGACTGGCATTTGATCCCCATTGATAACATAGTATCACGTCTGAATACCTCAGTTTCCCAAGGTCTCTCTGCAGACCAAGCCCGGAAACGTATACTTGAGCATGGTAAAAATGCTCCCACCCGTCCTCGTACCGAATGGTTTCGCAAAATCACGGGGTACTTCTTCGGCGGGTTTGGTATACTGCTCTTGACTGGATGCATCCTTGTCTTTATCGCCTGGAAGCCTCTGGGTGACCCCCCAGCCCTTGCAAACCTGGCACTGGCAATTGTTTTGTTGGCAGTCTTCTTCATCCAGGCCGGTTTTAATGCCTGGCAGGATTGGTCATCCTCAAGGGTCATGGCCTCCATCACCACTATGCTTCCTGATGACTGCACAGCTATTAGGGACTCAGGTACTGTTGTAATGTCTGCTGTTGAGCTTGTGCCCGGAGACATCATTAAAATTAAACAGGGGAATAAGTTGCCTTGCGATATTCGGTTTGTGGAGGTATCGTCCGATGCTAAATTCGATAGGTCTATACTCACAGGTAAGCCCTCCACCAGATGACCCACGGTATTATATCTACTAACTTCTCCCAGGTGAATCGGAACCCGTGGATGGCACAGTCGAGTCTACGGATAAGAATTTTCTAGAAACTCGCTGCATTGGCCTCCAAGGAACACACTGTGTCTCGGGTACTGCCACTGGCATATGTATTGCAACTGGGGATAAGACTGTCTTTGGTCGAATTGCCAACCTGACAAGCAAACCGAATCATGGACTCACGCCGATTCAGAAAGAGATATTACGCTTTGTCTTGATTATCGTTAGCTTTATCGCCTCAGTCGTCATTCTGGTTGTGGTCGTCTGGTATAGTTCACCTTCTCCCAACAATACCCCTTTAATATATTGACACAGTATAGGGCTGCATGGTTGAGGAAATCTCATCCAAACTGGATCAATGTGCCAATGCTCATAGTCAATTGCGTGAGTGTCGGTATAGCTTTTGTTCCAGAGGGACTTCCCGTTGCTGTTGCGCTCAGCCTTACAATTGGAGCGAAAATCATGAGAAAGAATAACATTCTTTGCAAGTCTCTTGCTACGGTAGAAACACTTGGATCTGTCTCCGTCATATGCTCTGATAAGACAGGCACTTTGACCAAGGTAAGAGCTTACGGCCTTTACTTAGGATAACTGTTATTGACTCGTATTTCCTTATAGAATGAAATGTTTGTGACCGACTGCTTTGCGGGCGGGCATGAATACAGGGCAGATGACGTCAAAAAGTTCCTTGGTACCGCGTGTGAAGGCTCTAATTCTCCTAATAATGCACTGGAGCGCACGCAGATACTGGGTGCTCTATGCAACGCAGCTGAAATAGATGCGTCTACTCTCAAGCTTCCTGCACAGTCAATGAAAATACACGGAGATCCTACTGACCAAGCCATTCTGCGATTCTCTGAGTCTCTGGAGCCTACCAAGGAACTGAAGATGAAGTGGAAAAAGGTCTTTGAGATTGCTTTTAGCAGTAAAAACAAGTACATGATCCGAATTATGGCACCTGCATCATCATCAGATACAGAAAACGCTGAAAAGCACACGGAAATGTGGGTCATTCAGCTACCCTGACTTTATATTCCAGTACTTACTATATCCAGGGAACTTTCGATAAAAGGGGCTCCTGATATCCTGTTACCACGCTGTCGTACGGTTCTTAATAGTGATGGCTCCGTTGCTGTGTTATCTGACATGGACAGAGAGTCTATCGAAAGAGCAAAAGACAAATGGTCTCGCGAAGGAAAGAGAGTGATACTTCTTGCGAGGAGAGATGTCACCCAGGCTGTTGAAGATAGCCTGAAAATGGCACAGCCTGAAAAATCCATCATGGATTATGCAAGATCGGATCTTACTTTTGTTGGAATGTGGGCATTGATTGACCCTCTGGTTCGTCACCCTTAGCAATATCTTTCGGATACTGTCATTTCTAACTAATGAGGCAGAGAGATGAAATACCGGATGTGATTAAAACTTTACGTGGCGCTGGTATCAGGATATTGATGGTTAGATACTGAACACCTTTTTCTTGTTACATTTTACTAACAGTATTCTGTAGGTGACGGGGGATTTTAAACTCACTGCTCAAGCCATTGCGGTCGATTGTGGGATAATCAAATCCTCAACTACAGTGGTTCATTCCATTGACAACTTACGCCGCGATTTTGAAATAGAACAACATAATCAACGTGAACAGCGATCTCCTCTCGTTATCAGTGGCCCTGAGCTTATCACTCTCAATGACACGCAGTGGGATCAACTCTGCACGTATGAGGAAATCGTCTTTGCCCGCACTACCCCTGACCAGAAGCTTCGAATTGTGAAGGAATTCCAGTCCCGGGAAAAAATAGTGGCAATGACAGGCGATGGTGTGAATGATGCACCGGCACTGAAAGCTGCAGATGTTGGAGTAGCACTAGGTAGTGGATCTGACATAGCCATTGAAGCCGCCGACATGGTCCTTTTAGACTCATTTGCCGCTATTGTCGAGGCCGTCAAATATGGCCGTGTCACTTTCGGTACGATATACCTTCCAACCCCAATTATGCACTCACCTTGATTTTACATTTGCTGATTTATTATTAGACAATTTGAAGAAGACTATATGCTACCTTCTACCAGCAGGGAGTTTTAGTGAACTTTGTAAGCTTATCCACTGTTCCAGATTTATGGATACTGATTTAGTGCTGACCTTCTGCAAGGGCCTGTCCTGGCAAACACTTTCCTCGGTATCCCTCAGGCCTTGTCGTCGTTTCTCATGGTATGTTCTTCCGGTCTATAGATAAAAAAAAGGCCGCGAATGCTAACTGGGATGGTAACAGGTCATTATATGGTAGGGAACATCGTAAGGATTTGGAATGGCTATGAAAACTTGCTAACTTCCTACGAAGTTTGTTTACAGATGCTGCTGGGGCTATTACCCTGTCCTACGAACAGCCGGAGATGGATGTCCTCCTTCGGCCTCCTCGCAACCAGAAGACAGACCGATTAGTCAACGGCCGTTTTATTCTCCATGCATATGGCTTTATTGGCGTGTATGAGTGTCTACTCTCGTTTGTCATGGCTTTCTGGTATATGTCTGTAAGTGTTACCCCGAAGTCCAGAGTTGAAATAAGATGGACTCGAGCTCATGCAGTGCTTTTACCTTAACAGAGGCGCGGCATTCCATTCAGCGCCATGCTTCTCAAATTTGGCAAAATGGACCCTCAATATGACCCGGCATATGTCACCGAAATATCCAACAAAGCATCTTCGATCTACTTCGTCAACCTCGTCATTTTGCAGTTCTTCAATTTGCTGGCCACCCGAACTAGACGGCTAAGCATCTTCCAGCAGCCCCCAATATTCAACAAGGAAACACAGAATCCTCTCCTTTTCGCAGCTATGCTGTTTTCTCTGATGATTATCTTCATCTGTAAGTAAAGAGTTGTCTTTGGAATTCGTTTTGAAACGTAACTGACGAGCTTGAATAGTCTGCTACATCCCTGGAATTCAGAACACAGTCGCTACGACGACTGTTCCAGTGGAGCACTTCTTCCTTCCTATCGCATTTGGACTTGGTCTTCTTCTGCTTGATGAGACAAGGAAGTATTTTGTTCGTAATTATCCGAAAGGTCTGTTGGCGAAGCTTTCTTGGTAGTCGATGCAGATAATACTATTATCTGGACTGAAACTCCCAGGTCAAGTCTAAGCAATCAACGCTACTTGGAGGATAGCAGGAAAACTAGGGGGTAATTTTCATTTAGTCAAGGGGTAGAGCTCGTGAGCTTTGGAGGCAAATTCGATTTATTTGATTCTTCGCGGTATCGCACATATACTGTCGGCACAAATTCTAGCTATATCTCCCTGTATGCTTTCTTTATTCGCTATCGGCTGTCTGGTGGGAAGTGAGATGCGGTATTATGTAATTGACAGCGCACTAGCTTCACTCAACAGTCTAGGGTGAAAGGCCCCTTCCATCGAATAAGGTGGTATGGTCTAGTGGTATGACGTGGCATTGTGGCTGCCCCAGCCTGGGTTCGATTCCCAGTACCGCCAATAACCCGAAAGGGTTTCTTTTTTTTTTCCCCCTTCGTATTCCTCCTACTCATAAAAATGTGTAGAGCTGAAGGGCGTTGCTTTAGTTGGTCCACAGTAACTTAATAAACTGTCAAGACGTCGGGAAAAATTAGCGGGTCGCTAAACTAACTACTTTTTTTTGTTTCTTTGAGCCAAATTGACTTGGTTCTTTGCGATGTACGGAGTAAACAAAGCGCATATACTATTTATTATCTTTCCTTTCATAAATACATCATTATTTCCTTTCATTCCTCTCAAATAACATTAACTTACAACAGTGATTGCTCATAACCAGCCACTTCTCACCGGGCATCGATTCTATCTCGCCCGGTATCCTGAGATCGTAATCATCACATTATATGCTGATGCCATTAAGGCATGATAGATTTAATGAGGAGTCACTCCTCTACTTTTTCTTTTTTCGGATTGAGCTACCACCCAAAACATTGACAGATGGTTCGTTTGATATCTGTTCTTGAGTTACAGTGGTTGCTGGTATATCGGTGTGTTCTTTTGAGCCGTCTCGTGCTGTCTGGGATGAAGAAGGGCAATGAGCAGGCATGACTGTGTTGTCCCCCGGGACTGCTGCAGTGTCGCTTGGTTGTCGTTTCCTTTTTCGTATCAACCCATCGCCTAGCACATTGGTGGAGACAGGGGGCGCCGATGTTACTGTTGGAGGTGGTGGCCCGACTGGAGCTGCCGTTCCTGTGATCCTTAGGCCTTTCTTATTGCAGCCGCTCAAAGAAGAAAGCTCTTCAATCCACAGCTTCGTGTTGGCCGTCGCATCCGACTGGTTGGAAAAATCAAGATCAAGAAGGAAGCCTGCAAGGGCTTTGTAGTCGCTGTTGCTGATTTCAATTATCGAATTGTCGATGCTGTGTTTATGATTCGCTGACAACTTCTCAGTAGGGCTTTCCCTATTTGCGAGTGGGTCGGATTTTACTGTTTGGTTTTCGTCTGTGGAGCTACCCTTAGGGGAAGTCGGATCAGAAACCTTGACGGGGTCGGTAGAAGGCTTGACAACCATCCAAAGAAACCCAACTAGCCTGCCAGCCGAGCACTCCTGACGATAGGACATCATTTCCCAAAATTGATCGAGCGTTTTTACACTATGCCACCTCCCAGAATTCTTCAGCTCATGAGGGGGGTTTTCGTCTGTTATCTCATCGTCGAGATCAATAAGAAATCGTGCTTTCGGGTCATCAGGGAACCGAGGAACTAGACAGCGAGGGGGGGCATTGGGATAAGAACAGATTTGGTGGAGAGGGTAATCAAGTCTCCAGCGGCTACCAGGGGTATTGACGGGCCCTCCACTCTTTGGAATGAAATTCTTGGTTTCGAATGTATCACAGCCGGGAACGATAAGATGGGTTGCAACAGACTGTTTTGTGGGGACAGTCGCAGCATCGGGGGAGTTGACAAGTGAGCGATCATTGTTTCCCTGCTCTAAGGATCTCATGATAGGGTCAATAACGCGACACCACCATTTTATTAGTCCGCGGTCGTCCAATATATGTTTCCCCTTGTGTTCCGAGCTCCCCGGGAAGAGGTATTGATCCTGTGCCCTTGCAAAGAGGGAGAGAACAAGGGTAATACCCGGCTTCTGGTAAATGCGAACAAGGTGGTATAAAAATGTGCTCAAGACATTCCTTGTCAATGAGTATGCTACTGGTGAGTTCTGATCATGGTTTAAAAGAGAAAGATAGCCGGTAGAATCGGCTTTAGAGACAAAGAGAGTAGATAACTTGTCTGTTGTGTACACTAGCACCTCAATTGCGAAAACAAGCAGCTCGTCACTGTCTGCGGAATCCTCGTTGTCTGTGTCCTGCTTTGTTTCCTTCTCGGCACCAGGGTTAATGGAGACAGCTAGGAAGTGCTGCTTGCATATAGTAGGCTCATCCGGTTCACCTATTGGTGCTGAGAAGATTGGTGGACAAGGAGTTGGAGCACCGGCGACATGTCGAACCACCAGGTTTACATCCTTGCGGACAGCCTGACTGAGAGCTTCTTCCAATGTCACTGGACTCATAGAAACAAGTGCGCAAAATGGGCTCGACCACTGCGTCAAGGAACAAGATACCCACAGCTAGTTAGTTAATAGTTATAGAATGCTTGATATAACAGAGAGAGAAACTTGGTTGGTTTAAAGTTGAAGAGTCGTATCCGATATTAGTCATACCTTAGTAATCCTTGGGGATAATTATTAATCCGAGTCATCTGACCAAGGCCCACTTTAAAATCAAGAAAGAGTCCCTATTGGTCAAGTCTACCTTTAGACTTTAGATACTTCTATCAAGCAGCAATCACGCTGAGAAGAAGACCTTGCGAGATACAGGAGGATTGGAAGAGGAATTTCCGGACCTGCGGAGCCTCTGGCCTCTAATATGGACCAGCTAAGACCTACAGTTATCATTATCGCTCCATCTCATGTACTGCCCAGGTAAAATGCGACTTGGCCTGCTGGTTGCTTCACGATGTGCAGGCTATAGTCCAATCACATCACCGTTCAGGCTTCTCATCGAAATCAAATTTGTCAAAGTGCACGCGCATGCACGTCAGCCAACGTGCTGCGAACACCAACCAAGCCAGCTGTTTTATGCGGAGCATTATCTAATTGGAGCCAGCCAGGCATTCTGGAAATGCCATGGGTGAATGGACGTATGATCACGCTTCAGGGCCTGCCAATTGACTCGTACGCCCAAGTATAAGAAAGCAGCTCTTCCCCGCAGCCATCTGATGCCCCTCCCTCACCATCGGGCTGATCTGATACTCGATCCCATATACCTACGTACGGCAAAATCAAACTCTTCGTCGAGCGAATACACGCCGCCAGCTGCCAAAGATGTCTCTCCCACCTACCATCCGTCGAATAGTTACCGGCCACAATGAAAATGGAGAAGCTATCTTCGACTCAGACGCCCAACTTTGTCCGTACAACCCCATGACGCCTGGCACTCCTGAGCCTGCCAAAGAGGGGGAGATGGGCTTCGTTACCGTCTTCCGCACTGCCGGTATCCCTGATGACAACACAAGCCCATGGGTTGACATGCATAACAAAATTGTCAACCTGGTTGAGAAGGGCAATGCGACGTTGCGAATCGTCGATTTTGCGCCAGGCCTTCCCGGCCTAATGCATCGAACCATTAGTGTGGACTTTGGCATGGTCCTGAACGGCGAGATAGAGCTGGAACTGGACAATGGTGTCACCAAGGTTATGAAGCAGCATGATATCGTGGTGCAGAGGGGTACTATCCATTCGTGGAATAACAAGGGAACAGAAACCGTGCGAATGCTCTTTGTTCTTCTCCCTGCAGACCCGGTCAAGGTGGGCGATAAGGAATTGCCAGATACTCCTCTACCTGTTTCGTTTTCAAAAGATGCTGGTGAGCAGTAAACTGCTCCTCTGGTCTGGGGATATTTTGGGGGATAAGGTTTTATCTCTAAATACTATTCATGGGAGACGGTGATAAACCCGCCTGGGCCTGTCAAATATTATATATTATATCGAAATAGCTGAATATCTACCAAGCACAAAATATCGTCATCGAGGCAATACTCCTCATTAAAAATACCCCTTGGCAGCATTTACATCGTCGGCGTTCAATAAGGCGACACCTTCCTTCCAAAGTGTTCTCCACAACTCGTTTCTCAAACGAATGGGCCATCCGGGAGTCTCCCAGTAACGAACACCGATGCTCTTTTCCTTTGCGGCCTTGATCTGCTTGCGAATAGCCTCGAGCTGGGTAGGGTTAAGCGGATTTTCACTGTCGCTCTTGATATCTCCAACAACCTCCATGAGACTGGTGGAAGCAATAGGAGAGATCAGAGAAGTAAAACCAGTCAAATCCTTAAGTGGGCCATCGTAGAAATAGTCACGGTCTGCGGCTGAAACGACCTGGCTCAGTGGCGTACCGCCAGTTCCAATCACGGTGACTGGTCCCGGAACAAATGACTCATTGTTCTGGATCTTGGTCAGGTAGTTGGCATCTCGGAGCGGTTGGAGAGCCTTGACGATGTGAGGCCAGGCCTTTTCACCGTCATTCTTGACGTCAATCCAGAGATACAGCGTTTGGCCTGAGGAGGTATCGAAAACACCGCTGTCATCGTATTAATAGGTTGTTATTAGCTAGTTATAAATAGAAAGTTATAGACCAACTTACTGCCTAGTAGGCCCACTTACAAAGGGGCTCTTGGGGTTGGTCTTCTTAAGGACGTTCATGAGAGGCTCGATGTAAAGGGACTGGAGAGTGCGTTCCTTAGTCAAGGCCGATTCTTCATGTCCAACCTGGTGAGATAATTAGTGGTATTTCACGTAAGGCAAACTCGGGCAAGCATACATAGAGAGTGTCGTTGAAAAGGAAGACGTCAGCTTCAATAGAGATGCATCCAGCAGACAGCGCTAGCTTGGTTGTTAGTGCTATCCAAGCTGAGATTGATAATACTAGCAGCTGCGAGGCATACCAGTATAGAATGGAATATCTCTCCAGTAGTCGCTATGGAAAGCATTAGCCGCAGCTATTATCATCACGGCAAACTCCACCACTTACTTGTGAGAATGAACTGGGATAGGAACGATTCCACGGGTCACGTCGGTCGGATATCTATAAATTGGGCTTCGGTCTGTGTTTATGAGGATGTTTTGTAGCGGTTCAGAGAGGGCGGCGACAGGCTCGAGGGAGGCCGCGAGGATGGCCGCAGAGGCCAGGATGGAAGACTTCATCTTTCTTTAGACTACTGGCTGTATGGAGTACCAGCTCTTGTTCATGAAAAAAAACTTCTGAAGAGCTCTCGATGCTGGGAGACCGCACCGGACGGTCTTTATAGACGTCGGGATGGATCCTCAGGACGCAGGTTTAAATGAACACAGCCAGCATGGATGCTTGCTTGCCAATTGGTTGATCGTCGCTCTCCACGTGTGAGGCTTGTCTGGCTCGCTAGCTCGAATACGGCGGTTCTGGGGGGAGCAAAATACGAGGAGAGGGATGGTGCTGGTTGATATACAGGGAGCAGTTGAAGATGGTTGCAGACGGCGAGACTACATAACTAGTTGGATGGTCGACCGACGACGATGCGATCAGACGAGCGAGCGACGCCCAAGACAAGTACACGCGATAACTAGGCAAAGCAGGGGAAGCGACAGTGCTAACTCGAACAAAAAGCAGACACTGGGACAAAGAGCAAAAGTAACACTAGTATAGTAAAAGAAGATATGCTAGACCTCCCTCTCCCTCACCCGGGCCGTGTTGGACTCCTCTCGACCTTCCTGGCTGGCACTGCTACTCCGGCCTGTGATATTGAGGCTTCCTATCCGCTGTACCAGGCTGCTGCCCACGGCGTCAACTGCGCCTTTAGGAGCAAGCAGCGTCGGTCCCTGCGCCGCTGTCTCCTGTACTCTGAATAATTTGATGGCAGTCCCATTCCAGACACCGACGGTGCCTGGTGTTGCGTTGGCGGCAGACCCGACAACCATTTCACTGGCAAAGATGAAACCCCAGAGAAGCGACTCGTACCAGCCGAGCGAAAGAGGTGACCATTCGAACATATGTACGCGGATGGGAGATGGTTCTGCTAATATTGCTCTGATCTGTGGAGCTGCAGCGAAAGATGGGAGCTCCGTTATTAATGTGCGAGCTTCCGGGTTTAGTGATGACTCTAACGCGGCTGCTGGGATACGGTGTGATATCGAGGAAATGATGGTTAGAATGGTGTGAAGGGGAAGCTCGGGCACCCAGGATTCAATCTGGTTTTGACAATTTTCGTCAGCCATACGCAAGTTCAACTATGGAAGGTTAAACATACCCATGAGGAAGTAGGGACAAAGCCACGAGCATTTGCGGTGACAGTGGGTGCATAGCTGCTTAGGCTCGTCATGCTGTTCTGACGCGAAAATGTCGGCTGGCCTGCAGGCATCTTGCCTCGTGCCTTCTCAGACAATCCTCGAAGTTGAAGCGGTACTGACTCGTCTAGAGGCGATATGGGGGGTGAACGGAAGCCTTCAGCCGTAGGAGAAGTGATTCGAGAGGTCTGCTGTTCTCCATCTCCATCTTCGTCGGAATCGTCGTCCCCAATGGCAAATGTTCCATCCTCTTCTTCTGGAACATGGCTTAGCGGTCGCCTTCCGCCTCCCGTCTCATTGGAGTCGCTATCCCTTGAGTGGGTGCGATCGCCGCTAGAACTAGATGTAGCTTTCCGTAGTTGATTCTGCTGTTCAATTTCCTGCTGACCACTCTCTAAGGTGAATGCACGGAGCGACTCGAACCGACGTCTGGACTTGAGTACGACATAAACGAGATATGCGTTCTCTATTCTATGTTAGTAGTCACAAACATTGTGGGCACCACGACTAGATAAAGAGCTGTACTCACTGCTGAACTGGTGTTCTAGGACAGTATTTATAAATTCAAGGAGGGAGGATAGAAGGAGGTGGTTCGTCTCGTTGGCTAATAGGAAGCTTGGGGCAGACATTGAAACAAATAGCTGAAGAACCTTGGAAGCACAGGCGGGAGAAAGTCGTTGGGCATATGCTGCCACATTATTGATGATGGCAAGCAACGCCGGGTATACGGCGTCTAATTTCCCTTTGCTAGTGGTAATGAGTGTATGGATGGACTATACGTTGGTCAGAGAGACAATAATCCCGTAAAACGGGCGGATCAAGAATGGAATGCTTACAATGATCAAGAAGTCACCATAAGTGCCCCCGAAATTCTCTAGTCGAATGCTGGGCGGCAGAGTATCCTGGGCTTCGAATCTCCGGAACAGATTTTTGCCAAAGTTCGGCTCAACGCTCAGCGTCTGAAGTAAGAAGATGCACATCTTGACCAAGCCATTTTTAGACGGATCGGTCTTGTATTCTATAGCGTAGAAGATGCAGATGATGATAAAATCATGGGCGCGGTTGGAATCCACGATGAACGATCTGAACCGCTTGTTGCACTGGACCAATTCCCAGAATAGCATGAGCATTTCTGGAGCCCATTTTATTGATTTCTGGCTTCCTGGTAGATACGAGGAGGTTGCTTGCATCTGGGGATATGGTTAGTTAAATGTAGGAGAATGGTATTCGTTAGCCCGAAAGAAATATATATACGTACCGGCTGATTTAGTATCCTAGTCATTCCTTCGACTAGGAACTGGAAATCCTGAGGCTGATGCAGGCGTCCGAGGAAGTGCCGATAGTAGTTCTTGGGTAGACTACCCCGGCCATCTTCTGGGATAGGGTAAAGAAGGAGAGCGAGTAGGAATTGGAGACAGTATATGACGAGGATCTGTTTGGGGTCTTTCCAGACAACATGATCGTACGGTAGCCGCCACGGTGTAGGGTTATACTTGATTGTTGTATTTAGCAGGGAGCACAGCAGTGACATGACCAATTTCTTATCACCACAGGTAACAAGGTATGTGAGAGATTTCACCCCTTTTACGGGTAGCAGGCCTTGACTGGCGTTAGTTATGATGGTGTGGTTGAAAGAAGGCAATGGAGGGAGGTACGTACTGGGTTGCATGTACATGGACTGGCCGGTCATGGTAAGCAACAGCCTCAAAACTTCCGTTCTATTGCTCTCAAGCTCCTTATTCGAACCCATCGCGGTATTGCATCCTACACCACTCTGCCATATGGAATAGACGACTTTCCCCTTTGACGGGGGGATCTGTGGTATCGTGAACCCGCTGAAGAAAAGCAGGTCCAAAAGCGTATCCAGCAGTTCTTCAGCAAGCGGCTTGACATCTTCGAAATCCTCCTCCGACAACCCTCGTCGACCAGTCTGCACACCCCCTTCGTCATCATCCTCTTCCTGGCTGCGAGATTCATCAAAGAGCACCCGAGACGAAAGCTGTGCCTTGCGAGACATCTTCCGTCTCCGCCTCCAGAAGAACTCATCTTCCCATTCCTCCAGGTTATCGGCTTCATAGACATATGGCAGAAGCCTTGTAAGGATGCGGATGCAATTCAGCGCATCTCTTGCAGGTGCGAGTTCGGGGTCAGGGAACGATGGGTGGTGTCGTAGCGCAACCAGGCGAGAGCAGATTGCGAGTAATAATGTCTCTAAATTCGACAAAGAGCCATCGCGCGTCCGCCGTATGTCGGTGGGAGAGAATAGACTGAAGACATCTTCGACCGACTCGGGCAATTCCCAGAACTAAAAGTGGCATCATCCTGGGTTAGTATTGCTTGCGTTTCTTCGATCTGTAGATGGTAGCGGAAGGAGGATAGATACGAACCCCAGTCCAATACTGATCGTCTGGCGGGATATTAGCCTGCTCAGAGAGTCGGAAGATGCCTTGTTTAAAGACGAGCTTGGACTCTGAGGCACCCATGGCCGGGCAGCGCGGAGAGGTGTTGTCGAGGTTGGGATTGTTGACGGCGGCTTCGTGGTTGACTGGGAGTTGTGGCGTCTTGGAGGCTCGACACCCGCCAACCGGCCGGCTAGTTAACTAACCAACTAGTGAAGTCCGCCCGTGGTTGTTGCTACTGAATTATAAGCTGTTGACACGCCGCTCTGCGGACAGCTAACACAGGCATGCTATTTCTTTCGACGTTCAGGAGGCGGTCTTCGCGTTAGCTGCTGGTCTGCTGGTTAATTGTCGCGGTGAAGATGCCACGGTGTTGTTAGGTTGCTTGGTATGAAAGACGGCTGCTAGCTAGGTTGCAGTTAGCGACAACTAGGTTGGCTGGTTAGCCGGTGTCTGCTGCGAAGTGTTTAGGAATGAGAGTACAAGGCGGAAGAAGCAAGCTAGAATGATCATTCATCTACTCGGGTTGCCTGAAGCTGAAACGAGGGCGTCCTGCCGGTGTTGAAGCTGGACGGTCGATGCTAGATCCCTCAGCCATGACCTAGTTACATTAAATACGGCTCCAGCCGTGCTCTAGTACTCCTCAACGACTGCATATACTCTGTATATCCATGATATTTATTTGATAAGCTGACGGCTTCCTCCTACATCTTCTTGAGCGAAAGCCGCCGGTCGTTTTATGACGATAACTAACCTTCGGCCACCAAAGGAACCAGTCACATATCAGAATCCAAGGTTAGATCCATGGATTCCCGTCTGTCAGTCAGCAGAGGCCAGAACTCGCCAACATTTCTTTTTCTCGCCCTCGTCTTCTCCCTGGTAGATACGAGATAACGTAAAGAGAGCGAGGCCCTCGCCCAAGCCGCCTCTGCTGTTTGATGCCTGCACGCTTCGTAACTAAACCTGCCACAGCAGCACGCAAAGAGACGGCCGGGAAGCAGTGCAACCTCGACCTTCCGGCGCAAACATCCTCCGTTTCCATGCATGCCGCCGTCCCTGGTTCGCCAGACAGACAGACAGAACTAACTGGCTGGGTTGGGCTGTTGTTCCATCATCGACTTGCGCAGAGTTTTTCTTCTGTTCCAAGTTTCGCGCGGTGGACCAACCAGCGGCTGACGCACGATCCCTGCGCTCCACTCCAGCAGACTCTTTTTCAACCTCATCTCTTCGACTTCATCTCTTCCTCTTCCTCTTCTTCTTTTCGTCTCATCTTCTCCATCTTCATCTTCATCTTTTTTATCTTCACCATCTTCTGTTGTCTCGACTATTCACTGTCAGCTGCTAGCTCGGTCCAGGTGTCAGCTAGCCGGCGATGGTCGAGTCGGACTCCCCACCGTCGTTCAGAGCGGCCAGCGACTGCCCCCTTGACCTCCCTTGACCTCGCCAGACTCCCTCGATCCTCAGCCTGGGACGTTTTTTTCATATCATATATACTGGTTTCCAGGTCTTCTTCCTTGATAGTGAACCCTTTTGTCCGTAGGAACCGCCGGGATCCTCTTCTTACCGTAAATCGTGGATATTTGGTCTCTCTGGCCACCTTTCTCTTCCGTAAAAACAGCAGTGGCCGGGGTATCTCTCTGGAACTCAACTCCACTGATGGACGGCATATAGGGCATCCTGCGTATCCTGTATTTGATCTTGGCCGGATTATATATATCCTTTGGTATTTTTTTTGATATATATTTCCGATACCCTTATATATACCCGTTATATCTCTTGATATCCCACTGCGTATCTTTGGTTGCGTTCTTGTTATCCTCCCTTTCCCTCCTAATGTTGCCATGCGTTGTCGAGGAACTTCTATAGCTCAACCTCCTTGCTGAACCATCCTGATGTCTCTGTCTGTCTCTCCTGCCTCCTGTCCATTGTTGCTTCTGCTGCCTTTGGATCCAAGTATTGTCTTCCTTAAAGAAGGCAACTGCACCCGGTAAACCACTGGAGCCCGGCAGGACCGTCATACTGTGGAAAGGATATTCCAAATATTCACATTCCTGGCTGGATTCGAACTCACATCCCTCCCAGTTGATTAAGTTTCCCACCCGGCTGGAGAAATGAACTTACCATTCGACTACTACGGAGAGTCACAGGTTCCCTAGCCCTTAGCTGGTGCTGGGCAGATGGCCTCTGCAGCGCCCTGCTGGCAAGCCTCCAGAATAGGTGGGAGAAGCCATGCATCTCTGTATAGAGACAACCAAGGCCATCAGGAAGATAAAAAAGGATGTACATAGGTAAAGGAGACTATGTACATCAAACTGCTGTCCCTTTTGTCCCGTCTTACTCTGTGCTGCGAGGTGGGGTGGGAGATCGAGTTTTGGCTGAGAGGCCTTATAAGGTCCCTTAGGATGGTGTCTTTCACTGAAGCCCGCTGGCCTGGTCGAGCGGTAAGTTGCTGTGGTTATGGCGTAAACCCAGATTGGAGGTACATGCCGAGAGGTGTGTGCTAGCAACCCAAGCCTGGTAGTATCCCGCAGTAACTTGCCACCCGATGTCTAAGAAAGGCGGGTGGAGGAGAACAACCAAGTCATTGCGACCGCGTTTTCGTAGGGAGGCTGCAGACTCCCGAGCTTTTTTGCACTTTTTTTGAATATCCGATGTTATATCCCCTTTTCCTCGTCTTCAAATCCCTGATCGGAGTCTTCTCCGTGCCGTCTCGTCGGCCTTCAAATCTGGGGATGGTACTTCTGCACTGTTTTCGACGGCCATAGGGAGCTATGTACCCCCTTAAAACAGGTCCGACGCCGTGGGTTCGAGCCGCCGTTGGGCCAGCACCTACAGACAAGACGGCCCGTTTGAATATTCATACCCACCCCTTTTACCCCTTTTTTTAACACGGTTGAAACGAGCAAAAATCGACGGATTTTCTGCTTTTTTCAGCATCTAATTACCAGGTCTGGATGACGAGTTGTGAAAAAGGAGGTGTTTTTGACTATTTTCCTATATTCACTGCAGGCCCTCTTGCTTTGGTTGTTTTGGTACATACACCAACTTACTGTCACTTATTTACTCCAACAAGCAGCTTGATATCTACAATACTTTTGCAAATAAAATATCTATTTTTTGATACTCCCAGAGGCCAGGAGACTGAGTGTCTCTACTACTCCTGTTTCTACATGTGTTTGCCGGTTTGTTTGTTGTTTTACTCCTACAACATGTTTTTGGTAGCTGCCGCTCAACCCTCTTCGACAAGATGCGACCGTGTGTGCTCACCACCCTATTATCCCCAATATCTCGCCACCACATCGTCTATTACCTTCTCCCGATGTTGCTTTACACCCCCAGAGTCCTCTGCATACTTGGAATCCAGTCAGTGACTGTAAACAAAGCGTCCCGGTCGCACAGTGAGTGTTGAGGTAAGGGGGAGCCGTGAACCAGGCCACTTTACCCCCTTTCGACACCCTTCACTGGCTATTACTGACTGGAGTACACTTTATTATACCTTCTAGCTGCTCCCAAATGAATATCGAGACCCTCTGACTCTTTTCACAGCTCTAAGGTCCCGGCTATGACCCGTCCCGTTGATAAAAAAAAAGGCCTCGTTTGATACCCTCTACCCATTACATCTGCAACATTTATTCAGTGCTGGAGAGATCCCCATATTCTGCTCTCTGAACTCTCTGTTGAAGAAGAACAGTTTAAACAAGGGGATAAGGTGAACAATGGAGACAAATAAAAGAGATTGTTCACTGTGCTCTGCATTGACAAAGGTATGCATCACTATTTCTTTACTGGCATTATTGGAACATCACAACCCTTCTGTTGAGATACCTTTCTACATCTGCCTCTGCTGGTCTCTCTCCTTTGATTTATATACGGCATATGTCCAAAGATCTCCTGGTCAGGAATTATTTATTCCCACCACAGCCCTACTACCACCAGTGAAGAACATAAATGCTGATATTGCAGTGCATAGCATCGAGATAGGAACTGTGGTCTACATTACGCACCAAAGCTATTCCCCCTCTTTACCTGCGCATCTCAGAGGAAGCATATTACATTAACCGCAGAAATGTCGCAACCTGAAGACAGACCTATGACGGAGACCTCATGCGCTACCTCCCTGATATCCGCTAAATCGGAAGGCTCAGTAATTGTCATTCCCAGCATGGTTTATCCCTTACCGACCTTTGCCAAATATTATAAAAATCCCGAAAAACTCCTTGCCAGGTGTGTTAAAGGTCACAAGAATGGGCCAAGATTGATACGACCGCAGCCCCCGGAGGCAAATGATATCTCAAAAAGCGACCCGCCTGCTAGTTTGTTGAACAGCCATCTCCCTCCTGAAGAACTAGACCCTGAAGAACTAGACAACTACGATAACGCATCCTACCAAGACTCAGACTCCGATAATATAGTGATAGATTTTGAAGGCGAAGACAGTTTTCGCAAACATGTCTTCTGCTCCTACATGTCGGTAACTAGCGACGAGATCGTCTGTGACCTCGATGATGGCAGGCTAATGCCCCAGCTGATTGAAGCATACGACGTCCTCTTTCCGGATGAACTTGAAAATGGCATTGCAGACGGTACAATCAGTCTGGATATCTCTTTGGGAGAAGAAGATGATGATGACTCCGAAGAAGATGACGATTCGTCCTCTGCTTCGTCTGAGGAAACGGGTCCTGAAGATATAAACCAGGATGTCCCCCGGCCAGGTATCGGCGAGAAGAAACGTTTCGTTGAAAGAATATTTACATGGATGAAACGGGTTCCTGCCACCGATGAGAGTGAGCTGTCTGTCTCCTTGTCTGAGAAAAATCCATCGGAAAAGAGCGCTGAGAGTGACCTGAAGCGGAAGTCTAGCATGAGTGATCTTCATCATGCCTATGAGGCCTCTGAAGGGCAAAGTTCATAGTCTATCTTGTTACATATCCCATGATTTTATGCCCTATCTCTTGATTACTACTGGAATCTAAGATATTACTAGGTTTGAGAATTGAATGTTAACGGCCAAGGTTTGGAAATGGGTTAGTATGTGCGCTCTGGCAGCAGCATAGCTGAGTTCAATTTTGATAACAGCCTCCTTATGCAAAAATAGTAAACCAACAAGAGTGGATAAAAATAAGAAAATCACTAAAAACGACGTATTCCCTCTGACCAGGTCGCTCCCGCATACCACTTAATAATGAAAGTAATAGCGTTCTCATTTGGCTCGTCTCTTTCTAGCTCGTTGAGAGCCTCGTTGCTGGCGCCCATATCTGAAGGGACGGGAGACCATGAGAGGCTCGGTAACAATCAGTTCGGCAGGATCAAACAACTGCCTCTGTCGAAAATCCCTACAGACAGATGGGGTGTAGTTATACTCTCCCCGCCTAGACCTCTCCATGGACGACAACGCAACATCGCTAAACTCGTAGCTCCCCGTAACACTCAGAGTGCGGAACCACTTCTTCTCTACCAAGTCAACAACCCTACTCGCGTAAGGCCCAACCTCTGATGAAAAGTCTGAATCACGTCCAGAGGTATGCTTAAGATCGTCAACCTGCTCACGTATTTGCAGGGTGTGCTTTGCGAGATGGGACCATCTGCCAGTGCGGAAGAACATTCTGGGGCCGCAAGGAGACTCATGAAAATCAGCGTAGTTGATTATCTGCCACTCTATATCCTTAATTTCCCAGCCTACAATGCTGCATACTCGGGCAAGCCATGACTTGATACGAGAACTTTCACCGGGTGGCATCTGAGATGCCCTGTCGTGTAACCTATGGCGGTCCATCGGGATGTAGTTCAAGGGAAGCTGATTCCGGTTTTTTTCATTGAGCAAGAGACACTGCTTGACTTTGATCCAAAATGTGCCGTTGTCGACTACTGGCAGGGAAATGTTGTATGCATTTGGGCCAAAGCATTTCTTGCACTTCAGGACTTTGGAGATAGGCACCATCACATCCACGTATTCAAACAACATAGAATAAAGCGGGGAGAAGTCTGGATAGTCGTCCGCAAGCTGTGCGGCTTTCCGTGCAATGCGCGATATCTTTTCAATCATGTGTATTTCCGGATGGCAGAGAGTGAAATAGGTGTCAATCATCTGTGTTACGAACCCCGACAAGATGTCCCCTGGCGGGGTATCACCGGAATCCTTCAGCCATCGGCGGGCATGACCTGAGGACTTCTTTATGAGGTTTCGTGTAGAAGGGCTAATGCGGTGCTCAAGGATAGACTGAAAAGCAAGGAGAGCCGAGCGGATTGTATCCTGGTTGACGGGGCGCTTGGGGAGTTCTTTGCGGAAGCCTAGGGAGGCTATCATGTAATTTACGTCGAACTCCGGTTCTTCTGAAGGCATGGCGAGTTTCTCTTCCGTTGGCTATGGGTATCAGATATATCAAGCAAATAATAAGTAACGAACGTTGGCTGAGGTGGGAATAGCATGAGCGAAAGTGATGCGTAGACTAAGATAAAAACGAGTGCCGAGTGGTTGGTCTGACCATGTAGGAGGCTACCTACATGATCTCGCGATTCACAGCAAATAAATGGCATGGGTCTCGTTTCCCAGTAGGTCCTGCTTTGTCGTATTGCTCATGGTTTCAGGGAAGGGGAAGTCGGATTTGGCGAGTAAACAGTGGCGAATCGTCTGGCAGCAAGAACGAAATAAACGTTGAAATATTGGATATTATGCATGATCACGGTGCAGGAATATCAACTATGAAATATGAAACTGGAGTAAGTGAAAAGATGGCACCAAGAAAAAGAGATAGAAACGGCCAATAAAGTGACGAGTTGCACCGGTAATGATAAAAGACGAGGGAAGAAGTGTATAAGCATTGAACTCCTCCAGGTATGTATGTCATCTAAATCCGTCGCTCGGTTAGGAAAAAGAGAGCCAAGCCAGTAAAAGAAATAATTCATAAGAAAGGTAGTAATGGTAGTAACGTGGCATATTTATTCTAGGAATCGTGTGAATCGTTTCCCTCGCGGGTATTCGGTGAGATTGATGCGTCTCGGCTAGGAACGGCAGGGGGCCCAGAGCTAGGGGTCGGAGATGATGAACTGGCAGCAACATGTTTTGCTTCAATGATTGAAGTAAGGTGGCTAGCAAGCTCATTTCCACCATCAAGCTTCTCCAGCTTAGATCGAAGGAACTGGACGTCGGATAGCATTCTTTGCGATTGGTTAGCGGATGAGAGTCATGCGGTAAATAGATGCCGTTAATTTATCATACCTTTGCCTAGCTCTTTCGGACTTCAGCGGTGCCTGTTGGAAGGCATCTGTCCATTGGTCCTTATAACTCGCGAAAACAGGGCCCATGATCATCGCAACAGTCGAGTCTGGCAAATGCTTGGACAAAACTCGATGTAAAGTTCCGGTTTCTTTCGCTAAAACTTCCATGTAAGGGCTGGTAGTATCTGTGTTCGATTCTGCTTCCCAGTCCATCTTTTTCATAGAGGTAACATGAACAGAGGCACGGGAACTCATGATATCCACAAGTTTCTCATGGATCCCGGATTGATGCTCTTGATAAAGTCTTTTGACTTTGTCAAACTCACCCATGACGGGAGTGGATGGGCAATGTCGGCGAATGAACTCCCTGACATAGGGAATAAGGGCAGTTATGAAGCTCAGAGATTGAGATGCAAGGGCTAGGTGTTTGGTAGTGATGTTTTTCAAGCCTGCACTCTTCGTTGCCCCGGCACCGAGTATCAATTGCGACGTTCTCGAATTAAATAGCTTGAGACACTCAAGTAGAATAGGAGCAATGTCAGGGACCACATTTGGTATACCTGCCATGAAGTGTTGGAACTCTTCAGTAGCTTGCAATATTAAGAAGGCAGACTCTGGGAGAATAAATTTCTGCTCATCAATAGTTGCGCTTCTGACACGCTCTTTATTAGCTCCTGAGCCGTTAACGGGAGCTTCTTTGCTTCCTGCCGCTTGTTCTAAGTCGTTTTCACCCGTGTCCCAAATTCTGGAGGAGGCGCTCCACACCTCTGCATCGTGTGTACTTGCATCCAGCACACGGGATAGGAAAGTGTGTTCACGATCACCGAAATCTTTGGCATCCCATTTATCCAGGTCCATAACTTGAACAATACGGTGTTTCCAGGCGTCTCCAAAACTAGAAATGTAGTTTTTTATCTGAGTATCAACCACCGTTTTAAGGGCAGTGCCGCTTCGGCCAGATATAGCCTCGCATTCTTCAGCGAAGAGCCTATTCAGAGTGAAGTATTGTAGAAATTGTTCGAGGGTGAAGAACTCGATCTGCCCACTTCGGACCTTTAATACCTTCACAATTTGCGACTGGACTATATCCACGGCTTGGCCAAGTAAACTTGACATATCTAAAACTTGGAGGATCTCATCTCTGGCCAGGGTGTTTGGCGATGGAACATTGACCATGGTGTCCAAACTCTGAGTGCTTTGACTCCGAGTTGGGGATTTCACCGATGCCGACGGATTCCCCAAATTGCTTGTGATATCAAGCAAGACTTTCACTTGGACACTCAGTCTTCTAAGCGCCTCACTAATCCCAGTATATATAGTAGTGAGCATTGAAAATGCATCATCTGCACCCAAAGACCGAAGGTTACGCGCAAGAATGGATGATTTTTCCTGTTGATTTAACTGTCGTCCACCATGTGTTGAAGCAGACATAATAGATTCATTGTCCTCATCTGTTGAACTAGGGAGATTCAGGCGAATTATGTTTTTCATTTCTCGGAGGACGGCATTTTTGAAAGATGTTGCACCAGTCATTGTATAGCGGGCCCGACCCAAGCCGGAGAGCTCTCTCTGAAGCTTTGACCGCATCTCACTATCAATAGTTAAGTATGCTGGAGTACTGGAGACAGTGTTCCGCTGGCCACGACGAGATCTCTGGAAAGCTATGCCAAGTCGAAGTAATGTCGCCTCTGGCGAGGAGTTTTCAACATGTTGGCGAAGGTCTTCCAATAAAATGTTTAAGAACCTGCTCTCATAACCAGCCCCTATGTAGGATCGGAGCTGGGCGAAATCATCTGACGCTCGATCAAGCGCATCGACTCCTCGGAGATCTATGATCCTGTCCGTGTCCGTAATATATTGTCGGGGCCTTACCGGCCGTTCGCCAACAAGAAGCCTTTCAGCATCGTCTAGCTCGTCAATGGCGTCTTCAAGGTCACCACTATCAATGAGTTTCTCGCATTTCGACACGGAAGAAATGACTTCCTGTAACTGGCAAACAGCATCTGCTAGCTTCCTCACATTTTCACGCCGACGTTGAAGCTTAACTACCTTCAATCCTCCCTGAGCCATATCGGCATCCAATTTTGCCAAGTCTGCACGTAGCACTTTGATATTATTTACGGAGGTTGCAGCTTCGGTATGGAGATCCCTCAGGGAACCTAATGCCGAGAAAAAGGACTTTGAAGCAGTCGATATGGATGAAAGAAGATGAATTTCCACGGTATCCAAATACCAAGAGAGTTTCTCCTGTAATATTGCGTTTGTAGCGAGCGCTTTCCTGCTGGGACGTCTCTCAGCGGCCAAGTCATCGGAAACAGGCCGTGCGGGGCCCTTTGGAGAACTAATAACCTCTGATCGCTCCGACACTATATCAAACGTCCTCGGGTTTTCAAGTTGGAAGTTTTCATCAAAGTACACATTTGGTATAGTAGACAGTGGGGTTGGTGAAAGCGCTGATCTGTGGCTGGATGATGGTCGAGAACGCTGTGTAGGAGGCTCAGATGATGAAAGTGACCCTGACTGACGCCCATCAAGCGCCTTGCTGAGTATTTGGTCAAGTTCTGGCGAGGCCAAAGAAGGTGTATTCCTCCTAATGATACTCGTGTCCTGATCTCCATTTTCCTTCGCGTGATGCAAGGCATCATATAACGAACCAACTTGAAGCAGATATGGTTGGAAGGACGCAGAATCAACATGCGGAATATTCGTTAAGGTGACCGGAGGTATATCACGAGAGGAAGGTGGTTTATAACCACTGGGTGGAGCGGACGTGTGAGGAAGAAGTCCAGTGCGGACAATTGGGGGTTGGAGGAGGGTTGAGATTGCTGTCAGTAACGATAACGGTTAACATAGACGTAACGTAGCTGGGCAGGATAGCAGATACAATAAATCCTACCATTTTGGCCGGCCTCTGCTATTGACCCATGCTGCTGGTGCTGTTGTTGCAGTAATGGCGGGTGGAAAGTCGAACCCAAGCTTGTAACAGAGCTGGCATTGGAGCTCCTGCGAGATCCGAGCCGATGCCGTGATACGGATTTACTATTGCTATCTGCTTGCTGGAAGGGAGTTTGCTGAGACGCAGCAGATTTCGGAGATGATAAAGGCAAGCTGTCCACCGACTTCCTGGAGTCCGGCGAGGTCATGTCGGACCTGGGGACCATGTGAGGCTCTGTAGTTCAGTGGCAGCAATTAGGGCCTAGTTATCATGACGGCAGGTCCTCGGAGTCGACGAACAGAAATTTGGCGCATTCGGGGAGGGAAGCTCTAAAATATCCGTTTGATAAAGAGCCAGTAAGAGAAGAGCGTCAGAGGAGAAGGGCGAGGTATGCGTTTATAGAGAGAGTATTGTATTGTTATAGTTGTCATTCCGTCAGGCGTTTTCTTTTGGGCTGGAAGCTTAGACCAGTGCAGGTGGTCTGGGGATGTACATTCTTGGCATCTAATCCCCTTTTGGCGAGATATTATTCCTGGAAATATATAGGTTATCCATATATCACGTGAAATCTTGATTACCTAAGCTAACAGGGGCCTTGATTCTTCCAGATTGCTGGTGTTCTGATTGATGTTAGTATTGATATCACCCATATTCTACCTGCAGGGTTATGAGTAACTTCTATTTAGTGTTATCCGGGTTTTATCTTGTGTTTGACATTAATGCTTGCTTTGGGGCAGTTACGCGATGGATTGGCCAATAAATATATCAATATTTTTAGGGGCCAAAAACCGCGCGATGTTTCTCCAGCCGCCATGCTATATGCATATTTACCTTTACATACTACATAGGTTGTATACAGTGGACCGTTCTGCAGCTGCATTACTTATATTAGAACTTGGAGCTCTGCATATGTTTCATAATGATACCCACACACATTTTAACTACAATGCTGATTCGTCAATGTAGGGTGAAGTTTTGGGGGCCAAAGAATTTTGCATGAAACTGTGCATAATGTGCCCCTAACCAATATATTCTTGCCGTTAGCCGCTCGACCATTTCTGGAGAGCAATGGGTAAAGGTTATGGACCTCAAGCAAGCTTGAATGATGCGGGCTCTAATAGATATAAGCCACGAAATATCCTCCCATCACTCAAAGTAGTCAATACAAAATTCTTCCTTGCTTCCGATCTTACAATATACTCCAAGAACTTGCCCATTCAACGCCTACCTTCAGCATTCTACCGCAGATAAAACATACAAAGCAAATGTCTAGGGCCTTCTCCACTACCCGGCAGCACTTTGCGAAGTGGCTCGGGTACAGAAAGGAGCTGCTCACCCCGGAGTTTAAATGGGCAGCTGAGCATTATTCTGAGAATGGTGCTGTTAAAGTACGTTTGAAGGAACTGTCTGGATAGTTATGTATATGTTCATTACTAACGTCCCTTAGAAAGTCGGAGAGATTGAATCGATCGAAATCTTGTAAGCATGAAATAATGATCTACCAACACTCTTGCTGATGGACGTTTTATATAGACACCGAAACGATGGCACTAGTCCTATTCATCAGTCTCGCTATAACCCCAAAGACAAGGAGCTGATTATTAGCGCCCGGATTACTCCTGCTGATGGCAGCAAAGCACGAACCCACCATATTTACGCAAACGGAACTGGTACTATGAGGGTTGGAGATAAGCGTGAATACTCAACATCTACTAGGGAGTAACATGCCTATTCCACGGCAGAGTGGGAGAACTCATGTTAGACGATTATTGGAGTATTGCGGGAACCAATAGCTCTAATTACTTAGTTATCTACGTGAATTCATCTGATTTGTTTTTTTATTTTTAGTCTATAATAACAAATGACAATAGGTTACTCAAATGGAAGACTGATTTTAATAAAATCTGCGAAAACAATTAGGAGCCGTAACTAATATTGTTTAAATAGCATACCACGATGTTATAGACGGAAGAGGAAAGGTGCTTTACTTAAGTTAAATCCCCACAATTTTCCAAAATTAAGGTTCATGCGCCTCCAGGGACGTGCTTAGTCATATTCATCTGTAATTCTGGCGCTTAAAACATCATGACCTCAATTATTTTTAATGGCCAACAGATACGGAATATGGATTTATGGGTTTATCTTCTCCCTCCGATAACTTTTACTCCTTTAAACTAGAAGTCGATTTATTTCCCACGTCATCTCATGGTACCCTCATTTCTCCGACGGTTGTCACGGTTTGGGTTGTCATGGAAGCCTCTGCAATTCACAAATTCAAACTTTACGCGGATACCTGCAAGCCAAAAAATCGAAGAAGAGACCATTCCAGACTACGTTGCTTCTAGATACTACCCGACCCGAATAGGGGAAATTTTTGAAAAGAGATACCAAGTCATTGGAAAGTTAGGTTATGGAGCAACGTCAACAGTTTGGCTTGCTCGGGATATGCTGTAAGTCATCGGTATTTGTGAAAACTGCAGCATCGAATCAGCCAGCTAATATCCTACTATAACTCCAGTCGCCGCCGTTATGTTAGCCTTAAAATCTTCATAACCTCTACCTCGATGGGCCAGCGATTAGATGACGAGCTCCAGATGTACAAGCGAATGGAGAAAGGCTCGCGATCCCATCCCGGCCGTAACGCTGTTCGATCACTTATTGACTCGTTTGATATCAATGGCCCCGAAGAAAAGCACAGATGTTTGGTACATCCCCCATTATGGGAAAATTTGTTGACTTTCCTCCACCGCAACCCTGTACGAAGGTTACCTCCACCCCTTTTAGCATGTGTGCTACAGCGATTATTTTCGGCATTGGATTATCTGCACACTGAATGTCGTATAATACATGCTGGTAAGTCTCCGTTCATCTGAAACCTTTCTCGGGCCGTAGCGCTCATTTTAGTATGAATCAGATATCAAGGCCGATAATATCATGTTTAGTACCGGCGATGATACGATTTTCAGAGAATTTGAACAAGAAGAACTCACTACTCCATCTCCACGGAAAGAGCTAGATGGAAGGACAATATACGTATCCAGAGAGCTAGGAATGCCCGAAGCACTGGGGCCACCAGTCCTCTGTGACTTCGGTTCGGCCATCCCTGGTGACATTGAACACTCCGAAGATATTCAACCCAATATCTACCGGGCACCAGAGGTGATATTAGAAGCTCCATGGACCTATAGTGTGGATATTTGGAACGCGGGATGCATGGTAAGACAACAGAGCTATCTATAACAGTCTACAGCTGAATCTCACCATTTAGATCTGGGACATTTTTGAAGGCGAATCGTTATTTACTGGTCACGACCCAGAATTCCAAACCTATCGAAGCCGAGCCCACCTTGCTGAGATGATCAGGCTCCTTGGACCTCCGCCGCATTCACTGCTTGCGCAAGGGAATCTAAGGAGTAAATTCTTTTCCGCCGAAGGTATGTTCTTTCTCATTCGTGCCCCTCCTTTGAATAGCCATAGCCAACTCACATTCTAGGTGAATTCTGTGCTGGAATACCTCTGCTTGAACGTGTTCAGCTCGAAGAAAGAGAAACTACTTTTGAGGGACAGGAAAAACTGGCCTTTTTACGTATGGTACGAAAAATTTTGCTGTGGCAGCCAGAGAACCGTAGTTCCGCGAGAGAGCTTGAACGTGATGAGTGGATTCAGAGTTACTTTCCAAAGAGCTAGCTTTCTATTTGTAAGTGAAATATGGTGTATGCTATTCTATCTTACACTGTAATATCTTATGTTTTTAGTGTCAGTTTATCGTAGGAGGCACCAATGTACTGTCCCAAGAGAAGAATAGTTTACGTATCTAGTTAATGACTCTCGGCCCGAGCCGAAACTTAACTAGATATCTAAAACACCATTGGTTTCGAGTAACCAACCCTTGGAACGCTGCCGTAGCCATAGTACCGATTTTTACTTTCACTTTTTATCTTACTTTATGCTACCTTTTTACGTTGAAAGGCAACAGTAAAAAGCGTGAGACACGGAATATCACGCTCATTTTTCCAGCCCATTATCGCAGCCTCTACCAACTCCTGCCGGTTTTCACCATAGAGTGAGCTTGTCGATGAGGAATTTTGCCCGAACAACGACTCAAACAGTCCGTACCCAGCTGAACTTGGAGATATTCTTGACAATCACTATTGGATGCTGAATTCAAGTTGGAGGCCTCGTCAACGATACGGTTTGTATGCGATATGCGAGTAGTTATTCACTACAGATCATATTCTTGTTGTTAACTTTTGATTTTGTCAAACCGCTGGGCTAAAAAGGGAAGTCACTAATTGGTTTCAGAGAGAATCGTTATGTGTCAGGATTAGTCATCCTCTTGTGTCTGTAGAACTCGCAGATGGCTCATGTTCCGTTGTGGACATGGGGCATAAGGCCTTTTTGTCCCATGGTCCTGTGGTCCATGTTCCGACATTATGTCATTAACAGATGTTTAAAAACTATAGGCATCAATAATTATGGATCCAAAAATGCTGTGGTATGAGTTTGGCAAAGCGTTGTTGTAAACGGAAAGTGAGAATCGTATTAATAAAGCCATCATATAATAGCCGTGCTCTTCTTAGAACGTACCTGCAAAGATTTGATATGCGGATTCGAAGGGAAAGCATGTGTCTTTAGCGTATGGGTTTAGGAGGGAACCAATATGGCAGTTCTAAAAGCCGATTCAAGGATACACTAGGTACTATGATATCAATGGGTGACCTACCAGAGTTAACTGCAGAAAACTATGTGATAATATATATATATATATGATAATGTTGGTTTTTACAGAGTCCTTCTGAGCTCCAGACTATGATTTCATATTGGAACATGGACCATCTGCGAGTTCTACTGACACAAGAGGATGACTAGTGTCAGTTTTTGTATTAGTCATCTTATCTCGGTACACCTCGCTTTAGCACATTCGATAGATCTTCAATATCATCATCCTCCTTTCTGATAGTTTCGAGCCCGGCTAATACCGGTTTTTTTTTTTTTTCTTTGCAAGCAGAGATTCAACAGATAATTGAGCCCATTCCTACGTTATTTTGACCTCTGCTGACCTCTTCCGCTCGCGATAGAAGAAATAGGAGTTGATCCGGTGCCAACGTAATAGGCGAGAATATCTACTTAACTAGGGCCTGAACCAACATGATAGCAAGGATAGTGCTTAAGGATATATGGGATTGGGAGGCCTGGTATGGGATAATAATGGGCATAGCTCGAGCCCAGGGTATAAGGGAGTTTGTGGACCTATAGATGGGTGCCAAAATACCAGAGATACCTAAGAGCCCTACGCTAAAGGATGCTCTTAGACCAGACAGAGAAGTTACTAAGGAAGTCACTAAATTTGACCTAGATGAGAGGGAATACTAGAGGTGGATAAGGCTATATAGTGACTACATCAGGGAGTTCACTATCTATTAGCAAGTAATGAAGGAACTTGCTTCTTTTCGACTCCAGATCCTCAGCACTGTTAGGCGTCAAGGTATTGCTATCGAGCAGTCCGCCGAGTACACACCAGAGCAGAACGGCGCAGCGGAACGTTCGGGCGGCATACTGGTACAGATGGCACGAACGCTGCGAATGGAGGCCAAACTCCCAGGAGAGCTCTGGAGCGAGCTTATACACACTGCGGCCTACATTTTGAACAGACTGTCACGCAGGCACTGGGCTGGAAGTCACCATTGACTTACCTGCAAGAGCATATCGCGAGCAGGGGCTCTACGAGCCCTACGCTGCCAATATCAATGTCACTAGCTCATTTACGAATTATCGGCTGCGAAGCCTACGCAAAGGACCACAAGTACATTGCGCTTTCTTTACAGGAACGCTACGTGTTCCCGAGCCTCCGAACGAGCCTTCGCCAACACTGTCCACCTTCCCGCCGCCGCCGAAGAACTGGCACGAAATGCCCAAACACCCTTACAAAAAGGAATTTATCGAAGCAGCGGAAGTGGAATGGAACAAGATAGTGGGAAGGAACACGCTCAAACCGGTACCAATGCCCAAGGATGAGCAAGTCCTGCCTCTTTGCTGGGTGTTTACATACAAATTTGATGCCAAAGGAGGCTTAAAGAAAGATACAGGGACTTGATGGAGGGAGGTGGAAACAGAGGCAGAGACCCTGTTAAATGGGTGGATGATTGCATAAAGGTGTGCCAGGACCTAGAGATGATGGGGGTAATGCAGGGCTTCCTATTCTAGAGGTATTATACAGCCAAAGCCCCTAGATAGTTATAGGCATCCTTACAACTCTATAAGGATAGACCTAAGGAGGAAAGAAGATACCACTAACCTGCCTATATAGATAGATCTATTAGTTGAAAGACTACTAGTATCTTATACTATCCCGGAGACCTGTAAACTAGCAAGAAAACCCAGAGGTTAGGCCGACCCCTTGCTTTTTGAAATATCATCGCCGTGCACATATTTTGTTAGTTTAGTAGGTAGGCGCCGCCAAGCCCCACCAAGCCGCGCATGGAGTTATGTAGTTAGGGGAAAAAACCACTTTACGCGGTTGAAGAAGCGCGACGCGTCCCAGCGAAGTCTTTTTTTGCGCTTTCACACATCCCGCCGAGCAGCAATTCTATCAGGTTGAACGGATCCTCCACATCACCACACTCACAGTAGCAAACGCACTTTGGCAGATCTTAATTAAATTGACGTCTTCGATAACATTGCCGCGATAATGGATCGAAGAACACCTTATGCCCTAAGCGTGCTGCAACCGCAAGCAGACGGACCAGATGACACCAGAAGCCATATTCAAGCTCAGCTACGAGAATTTATCCTTGCCTTCCAGATAGATAATACTTTCGTCTACCGGTAAGGATTTTTAGTTCGCTAGTCTTAAGGAAACTTATACTAATATCCATTTTCTCGGAAAAGAGATCAAATAAGACAAAATGTCCTCGTTAACCGGTATCTTTGCGATGTCGATGTCGCACACTTAATCGCATATAACGAAGAGCTGGCCCACAGGCTCACAACGAATCCGCAAGACACCATTCCCTTAGTATGTTTACTTTGGCGTTGTTCTATCACTGCTGAATTACGCTTACAAAGCTCGTTTCTCTAGTTTGAAGCTGCCCTAAAACAATGCACACAAAAGATTGTCTATCCCTCCCAGGGGGGTATCGAACTACCAGAGCACCAACTCCTTCTCCATTCAAGCGTATCTCTGATTTCGATCCGAGATCTCAATGCTTCAAACGTGTCAAGCCTGGTTCGCATACCTGGAATCGTCATTGGTGCATCAACGATTTCATCCAAAGCCACAGTTGTCCACATTCAATGCCGGCATTGCCAGGAGCCCGATAACATTATAGTGGAAGGTGGATTCTCAGGCCTGACCTTGCCACGTACATGCAAACGGATGAGGCAACCGAACGAAGACAAATGTCCGATTGACCCCTACTTCATCGTACACGAGAAGTGCCAGTTTGTGGACCAACAAATTATCAAACTCCAAGAAGCCCCAGACCAGGTTCCGGTGGGAGAGCTACCACGACATATCTTAATTTCGGCAGATAGATACCTTGCCAATCGAGTGGTTCCTGGTACAAGGTGTACGGTCATGGGTGTTTTCTCGATTTACCAGGCAAAAGGAGGCAAGAAATCCAGCGATTCAGCACCTGCTATACGAAATCCGTATCTTCGAGCAGTCGGTATCATGAGTGACGTTGATCAGACTGCCAAGGGGGCCGGAGTATTTACTGAAGAGGAAGAGCAAGAGTTTCTGGAGATGAGCAGACGGCCTGATTTATATGAAGTATTTACCGATTGTATTGCACCGTCAATTTACGGGAATAGAGATATCAAAAAGGCGATCGCATGTCTGCTCATGGGTGGCTCAAAAAAGATACTCCCCGATGGTATGAAGCTACGTGGTGATATCAATGTTCTCCTCCTTGGTGACCCAGGTACGGCCAAATCACAGCTGTTGAAGTTTGTCGAGAGAGTGTCGCCAATTGCCATTTACACATCCGGGAAAGGATCCTCAGCCGCTGGTCTTACTGCGTCGGTACAGCGTGATGCGACCACTCGTGAGTTTTATCTAGAAGGTGGTGCGATGGTGCTCGCTGATGGAGGCGTTGTTTGCATTGATGAGTTCGATAAGATGAGGGACGAAGATAGAGTTGCGATACACGAAGCGATGGAGCAGCAGACAATATCCATTGCCAAAGCAGGAATCACGACCATCTTGAACGCTAGGACATCAGTCCTGGCTGCAGCAAACCCCGTGTTCGGCCGATATGACGACATGAAGACAGCTGGGGAGAACATTGACTTCCAGACTACCATCCTCTCTCGATTTGATATGATTTTCATCGTGCGTGACGCACACGAGAGAGGGCGAGACCAGACCATGGCCAAACATATTATTAGCATCCACCAGGGAGGGCGAGGAATTGAGGAGCAAGCCGAGGCAGAGATACCTATTGAAAAGATGAAGAGGTATATCAGTTACTGTAAATCGTAAGTGTAACTCCTTCCCCCTTCTCATCCCACCATCTGATGCATGCTGGGGTTTCACAACGCTCTTCATGATCGACTCAGCAACTAACCATGGTCACAAACGACAGCCGTTGTGCTCCAAGGCTCTCTCCAGAAGCCTCGGAGAAACTCTCGTCACACTTCGTCTCCATCCGTAAAAGGGTGCATCAAGCTGAGCTTGACGCTAATGCGAGGTCGTCTATACCAATCACAGTCCGTCAGCTTGAGGCTGTGATACGTATCACCGAATCCCTAGCCAAATTGTCGCTTTCTCCAGTAGCGACGGAGGAGCACGTCGATGAAGCCGTACGATTGTTCCTGGCCTCGACCATGGACGCCGCTGTACATGGAGACGGCCAGGCAAGCAAGGAACTATCGGCAGAGGTAAGCAAGATCGAAGACGAACTGAAGAGACGATTGCCTATTGGATGGACTACAAGCCTGGCCACCCTGCGGCGCGAATTTGTGGATGGCCGTAATTATAACGAGCAGGCATTAAATCGAGCCTTATTGGTTCTGCAGAGAAGAGATAGTATACAATTCAGAGCAGGGGGTGGTCAGATCTATAGAAGCGGGCCTTAGAGAGAGCGACCAACACTGCAATCACCCCCCTGTCCTACATGCAACGCTTTTGATGACTGTTTTTGCACGAAACTACCGTTTCAATACATATTAAACCTCCTCGCCCGATTGCTGCAGTGCTCTTATACCCTGATGCTTTGTGCATCCGCCGTACGCAGCCGCCCTCGCCACTTTTCCTGGGGTACGGACTTTGCTATGTATGCCGCTTGCCTCCAGGATGGCGTCTGCACCCAGTCCTTGGTTTTTTCGCTACAGCCTGCAGGACGGGGTCATCACCCGCAAGGACTGGCGCCTCTTCAATAGGCTATGTAAGAAATCTCTGATTTACGTGTTTACGATAGGCGTTCAGATAATTTGAATGTGGACAAGATGGCGTTTATATCTATCACAATAAATAATACATCTCCATTATTGATTGCCCAGGCGGTTCTATCTTGGATCCCGCAATGATGCCAGTTTCTCCCAACACAAGAAAAAAATCTCTCAGAGTGACGAGTTCAGACATCCGCGAGTAAGTTAACTGTGTAGTTAGTTACAGGGTGTGAATAACAGGGAATAACAGGGAATGCTAAGTCGGACGTATTCACCCAGGCTTGGCTCTTGCTACTCCGTAACAACTCCGTCCTGCGCATCGGGTTTCAAATGGTCCATAAGCCTTCAAGGCCCAAGGCGCAAACCGGGAACCAAGTGCTTTGTTTGCCTGCCCCAAACGAACAGAGTCGTTAGCTAGTTAACTTAGGAGCTAGAAAACAAAAGACAGGGAAAGAAAAAGAAAAGGGCAGCGAGTCGCTGAGCTCCAACTCCGGACCGCGAATCATCGAGCTGGAGGACAGCGAAGTCGCTGCGTGAGCAGTTGGGTCTGTGGAGAGAAAGAAAAGTGAGAAAAGAACGAAAAAAAGAACCAACGATCAAAGTGCATAAGTCAGATTTTCCCCCGCTCCCTGGTTTTCCGTCATTTTGTTGGCTGCTGGCTGCTGGCTGCTGCTGCACGCTGGCGGGTTGCTCTCTGGTCATGCAGGCATCGGCTACGTGGTTCGCTTTGCATGAGGGAAGTATCCCTGGTGACATCCCAATTTCGCGGGACGATCTGAACCCGAAAACCCGCAGCGGCAGATAACACGATGGATGTACCGCGTATATGTATAATTGTACACCGTATATACCCCCAGGCATATAAGACGAAACCGGACGGAAATGCGAATCTGGAGCAGCCTGGAATAATACCAAAATATAAAAATATCGGCCTGGACAACCATAGCGGGTGGGCCAAAGTGCTCCGCCTGTACGGAGTAGTTATTGAATCGTGTCGTTATTCCCGGAAAGCAGCAAACTATTCACGCCGAAAAGCATGGCGGAACAAGGATCCCTTTGTTGGAAACAGGACAACTATTAATAACTTGACCCTGTTATCAACTGATGTGAACACGGAGTAGTTTGCTTCACTCCGGTCTCCTCTTGTCTCTGGATGCCTCTCCCCGTCGGTCGAAGGATGGGGACCGTCGTAGCTCTCGACCGTCTGTGTCTCTGGGGAGGTGGGCAGCGAAGCTGGGTCGACCCCATCCAAGATGTACCCTTATGCACCTAAAAAATGGGGTACGTCGAATGGAAGAGGGCCGCTGCGCGAGGAGAATTTGGCCTTATGACCAAAGGTTGGAAGGATTTACGATGTAGCGCAGCAAGCTAAAGCTCAACCTCGACATAACCTCGGCCTCAGAAAGGAAAAATAATCCATGGAGGCCAGAGCAAGAGGCAGTTAGAAGAAAAAGAAAGGCGTCCTGCAACTCTTAGGTTGTGAAGTTTAACCTAGTCGGGCCATGCAAGGGTTCAAACTGGCGCAAATGTCCCATTGTCCATAAATCACTCGGTTGGCGTCTCTCCAGGTCCATGGTCGAAGAGGGGGGAGAGTAGTGAAAGGAAGAGGAGCAGGAGTTGGTCCAGGCAGTCTAGCTTGCCTCGGGTGGCACATTCCGGCGCCTTCTTTTTTTTGTATATATAGAGGGTCTCTTCCGTTTAAAGGCGCTAGGGCGCCCTCTCTGGCCAAATATTTCCCTCTCGACCAGACCCCATCACCTATCGCACACTCCATCATAATAATAATATATAAATAATAATCAGATATGCCCGAGATGCCTCTCCCAGACCCGGAGCCAGACTCGATAGTGGTTGAGAAGACGGCAGATGGCGTCACTACCATCGGAATCAATAGACCCGGTAGGAAGAACGCCATCAATCCGCCAACCGCCACCAAATTACGAGCAGCCTTTCTAGACTTTGAAAAGGACTCAAGCCAGAAAATATGCGTCTTGCATGGTATTGGCGGCACATTTTGCTCCGGCTTTGATCTCAGCGAGCTCAGAAAATGGGACAAACCGACGGAGAGCAAGGAGGACACGGCCTCCAAACACGACAACAGTGGCAGTCACAATAATGGTGGCAATGGCCGCAGCAGCAGCATCACGCGTACACACTTTAAGCCTGTGAAGGGCAGAAACGAAGCACCGCTAGGGCCGGGACGGATGCAGATCGAGAAGCCCGTCATTTGCGCTATCTCAGGCCATGCTGTTGCTGGAGGCATGGAACTAAGTTTGCTAGCCGACATCCGGGTGGTCGAAGAGGACGCTATCTTTGGAATATTCAGTCGACGCTTTGGCGTACCCTTGCTGGACGGTGGTACGGTCCGACTTCAGGAAATCATTGGCCTCGGCAGAGCACTGGATATCCTTCTCACGGGCCGGCCGGTGGGCGCGACTGAGGCCCTGCACATAGGACTGGCCGCTAAAGTGGTTCGGAAGGGAAGCGCCTTTCACGAAGCCATGAAGTTGGCTCGTGCTCTGGCAGCAGTGCCCCAGGAGTGTTTGAATGCGGACCGGAAGGCATGTTATCATGCAGCGTATAACTCTCCTTCGTTTGAGGACGCGATGTCCTATGAGTTCGAGGAAGCCGTCAAGGTCAGCGACCTGGCTATCAACAAGGCCATGAATTTTAATAAACGGGAGAAAGCAAGGCTGTGAGGAATGACGTTTATCATTCTTTTTTTCTTTCACTCCTGATGACTGATGATAATTTCTGATTGCCGGTGGTTTTGATATTCAGCGGGCGTGACATGCGACCCTTGTGAAGCGACCACCGGCGGCCGGGGCGGCAGACTTTGTACAAAGCACCTTTTTTTCAATTCATGTTGTATCATGTTGTAGTTAGTATGGCTTCTCTGGCAGCTTATATTTAATGGAATAGGTAGTACCTGGCATCTCGATATCTGTTCCCTCCTGGCCGTTGTTCTCAGGTCGAGTTAAACATCTCTAACTTTTCCCGGCGGTCGGTAACTATAGAGCATGGATCTAGATGCTATAGTTAACTATGAGGCTCCGGCGGGCCACCTGACGTGGGCCAAGCGCGCGTCTCCGGCGGCAGACAGCAGTGAAACAAGTACAAGAGACCCCAGGAGCAGCCTGTCTACCTGTGTGTACATCCGGTACGTCGTCCTATACATCTCAACGCCGACGTTTGTCGTTTGTTTCGGCAATCTGATACAGACAGGAGAGTTTGACGGCGCGGATCGCAAAGCTCTCCTGCTAAGTTAACTAGTTAGTTAGAGCCCGCCGAAACTTATATGAAACCCCACCTCGATACGCCGAGTTGAAGATATTTCACCCACAGACAGGAACAGGCCGCTCGATTGAATGCAGCTATCATAGCGTACACAAACCATGGCTCCGTCGATTCGAGTTATCGGTTCGCTGAACGTGGACATGGTCTCCGTGACCCCCCGGTTCCCCGGCCCCGGAGAGACACTGACGGCAACATCCTTTACGACCAGCCCAGGAGGCAAAGGAGCCAACCAAGCCGTTGCCTGTGGTCGACTTTCTCGATCCCGAACTTCCTCCTCCTCTTCTCCCTCGGATGTGCTGGCCAACGTCGAGATGGTCGGCGCAGTCGGCCGGTTAGACGCACACTTCGGCACATTGCTACAACCTACACTCGCCAACTCCGGAGTTAGCACAGACCGAGTACGGAGGATAGACGATGAACACACAGGCGTAGCTGTGATTATTGTTGACACATCTGCTGCTGGCGAGAATAGAATACTGTTTTCACCCAATGCCAACTACTCTGGAATGAAACCTACGGATGAAGTGATTTCGCAGTCACTGTCGACTCCTCTGCCAGACCTTATTGTCCTGCAGGCGGAAATCCCTATTGATACGGTTATTGGTATTCTGAGAGGAGTAGCTGCTAAGAAGAAACTTCAAGAAAGTGATGTTGAAGTGGTATTCAACCCTGCTCCCGCACCCGAAGGCGGGCTACCGGACGATGTATATGCAGCCGTTGACCATTTGATCATGAACGAGACGGAGTGTGAGTTGATGGCACCCGAGGAATTACGAGATAGTAGCCTCTCTCAAGAAGAACAGAGGAACAAAATTGCTGTTCACTTCCATGCCCTTGGGGTGCGATATGTGATTGTCACACTCGGAGCCAAGGGGGTATGGTATAGTGCCGCCGAGCCTGGTAAGGTTGCTCAGCAGGATGCGGGCAGGTGGATTAGGTCTGTCAACGAGGTTCCTGCCTCAAGGGTGGACAGGGTTGTTGATACTACGGCTGCGGGTGATACGTTCGTTGGCGGATACTGTGTTCAGATTGCACAGTGGAGGGAACAGAGGAGGGCGGCGGGAAAGGCTTGCTCGGCTCTTACAACAGATGAATGGAAGGATAGGTATGGAATTGTGACAGAGGAAGCTGTTAGATGTGGTACAAGGGCCTCTGCTCAATGCGTCCAGCGATCTGGGGCAATGGATAGCATCCCATTCAGGGATGAGATTTAGATTTACATAATCGAAGTACTGTGGAATAAAGTTCTCTTGAGATATGGAGTCGGCTCTGCAGGACACTTAAACAATTAGATTATGGGTATCTCAAAAACTAATAGAAAATGTTGTGACCATATATAAAATGTTAAAGTTACTAAGAATATAGAGTAGTAGATAGCGTTAAAGTGACATGGTTATATTTGACCATCAGATTCGATATATAGACTACATCCCTGACCCAGTCAAGCCGTGATATATGAGCCACCAGGCTTCGGTAGGTGCTACAACTGGGGAAATGTCCGCTTAAATACATCATGAGCATGGATTCAATGTCTAGTGACCTGTTTATGCAGCGGAAGTGGTGACCTTCTGTTGGCAAGCTCCAGAAGAGCAGCCGCAGCCACCATTGCAGGCATTGGCACAGCCAAGGGAGTGTGCACTCGCGAACCCGGAAGCCTGGATGGTTGGGTCGCTCTGGTGGTTGGACTGGTAACACTTCTTGGTTCGAGGGTGGTAGTCGACACTGTGGCACTGGAGAACGGAAGAGCAGGCATCCATGCACTCCTTCAGGCTGTTGACAATCTCTCCGCCGATAGGGGCAGTACCATGTCTCTTGCCGCAAGACATCTTGTAGACTTCTCCATGGTCGGTGGTATAGATCATACCGTCGGCTTCGGGGCATTCAACAGAGCAAAGGGTTCTCTTCTCAACAGCAGTTGGATAAGTTGGCGGGTCAATGGTATAGGCAAAATGATGGTTGTTGCAAGGGACACTTTGAGAGTTGGGATCGTATGGGCCTTGCATGATGTCACAGGCGCCGTTCGAATGCTCATAGGTGATGGCCTCACAGCCGTCGGTGGAACTGCACTGATCAACGCAGTCTTGGTAACTTGAGGCGGTGATTCTCTTCTTGTTGGTGGTGAACCAGTTGTGAGTAACACACTGGAGCTTGAACCAGCTGCCATCTGCGGCCTCATAGACCTTCCCGTTATCAGAATTGCAGTTCGGAGTGGTTGTAATCTGGATGTTTTGTTGGATGGGCTGGTTGTTCGAAGATCCTCCTCCACTCGAAGGGTTTCCGGTTCCGGAATTGGAGGTGCCGCCTGCACCTCCACCGCCGCCGCCGAGGGTAGCCCATGGATCAGTGGCTGGGGAGGGGGCATTTCCTCCGCTCCCTCCACTGCCACCGCTACCACCACTTCCTCCATTTAGAGTAGCCCAGGGGTCATTGGCAATTGGTACTTGAGGGGCGGGGGCAGGAGCAGGCTGAGAACCTTGGGAACCTTGGGATCCCTGGCCAAGGGTATCCCAGGGGCTACCCTGGGCAAAAGCCCCGTGAGTGCTCAGGAGGGTCGAAAGGACGCAAGCGCCATTGATGACTGCCGCATTGAATTGAACCATGGTGACTAGGATAAAGGGGTCTTGGAGTGTAAAAAATGGTTATAATCAACAAGTGCAGGTGTGTGCTTCTTCGGTCTGACCTAGGATATCCATTGTCCTTTATATAGTTGTCATGAACACGTTTCCAAGAAAATATACTCCATAAGCTTGGATAATGAATACGGAGAAGAGTTGTGATCCAAAATTTCAGATTTACGCCACGTATGTAACAGTACGTGATTGTTCTCGATTATTCCGGGCATCTAATGCCTAGTTTGACTTAAGATGTTCTCCGAAAAGGTCATAACAGCCGATGATGCCACTGTTTAGTCACTGAGACTGTAAATCAAGACAATGACATAGCTGAGGAGATAAGGTCCTGGGTGGCTAAAAATGTAGATCCGGCTGGTCGAGCCCTTAAGAGAATTCTGCGTCTCAAAATTGCGCTTGGGGTATCAAGCAGGTAATGTCAGGTTACTCAAGTCTTGTAAAGCCGTTATTGGTTGCTCTAAATTGCGTTCACAATAATATGAGCACCTTTGCTGAAACTTGATATCTTCTTCAGCTAAACGAGTGAGATCGAAGTCCAAGCCTGATGAAAATCAAGGAGAGCAACACAAGTTTGAGAGATTTGGCATTTAGGCCTAGCGTAGTATCTCCAAAAGGCAAATGCAGATCTCTTTGTTGATCGTGAAGTCAAGAGGAAGATTCTCAAAAATCAGAATCTGATTTCCTTGTCTTCGGGTAACGGCGAGGGGGTGAGTTCTTAAAAACCGATAAGCTCAAGGCGAGGTATATAAAGGCCTATCCCCGTGGGTATGGTTCCATCTTTCATCATCATTCACCTCATCAAAAAAGACATAATTGACCAACTCCTACTATTAGTAGATATTACTTCTCACTTGTGAAGGTGTGTCTTTATCCTGCCAACCTACCTCTCAATTGAGGCTTGTTAGGCTAACCATGCATCCCATAGTATTCTTTCATCAAGCCAAAATGCAGCTCACCGCACTTGTCTCTGTTGCTCTTGTCCTTATGGGCACTGCCAACGCTCAACTGTGGATTCCTTTGAACATCCCAATCCCGAGACCAGCTCCACCCCCCCCAGCACCTGCTCCTGCTCCGGCACAGAACTGCCCGCCGTGCCCAGCAGCGCCAGCTTGCCCACCACCACCGGCCTGTCCGCCAGCCCCAGCATGCCCCATCTCGCAATCTAGTATCCAACAGGGTCAGCAAGCCTGCAGCAGCGTGTTCCCTGGCTCCGAGCCAGTGTTTAAAGCTGATGGAAGCCCCAAGGGATGCGCACCACCTGGTGGCTTCTGCACGAAACAGCTCCAATGTTAAGTCTGAGATGGCCCATATCATGCAGAACAGTCGGACGATATCATCAGGCTTTCAAGGCAGCCGAGTCTCATGGTATATGTGGAGGACGCCATCTTCACCATGCCTCCGGTTTCATGTCATTAGTTAGGTTAGCAAATGTTTGAGTCCAAGCGAATTTCAGATCCTTCTACCATGCCACCCAGCTGGAACTAAAATGTTCGAAAATTGTAGAACAATAATATGTTTGTCCATAAAACTGTAAATTTGTTTTGTTGTCCATCGGAGGTAAAAACAGGTTCTGCCGAGCCATATCACGTGACATCCTTAAATCCAATTAGATTAGACTATCAAGATATACTATGTGGTCTACGCCTTTTTAGGTCTAGCACGGAAGTTTGTTTCGATGTCTAAACTCACCCAAAACAAAAACATCGTCGTTGACATATCAAGTAATCGATGACTGTAAATGTGCAACTTAGGCGGTATAACCACCGTGTTCATCATATATGGCATATCCTCCTCGAACTGAGGAGAAGGATCTTGAAGCGATGTTAGCCGCACGTGTACTCTGCACTCGGCGTCGTTTCTGATATCCCACATGGGCGCTGCAATAAACCAGGTACCTAACAATTGGTCCTTGGCGAGCATCGATAGCAGGACATATGTTTTGTCTTGCTCTTGAATTAACGCATACCTAATGGCCTGCGTGATTCAAATCTCGCCTGGTGCTACATCATAAGATTGTCACCTGCTCCGTTACTGCTTTCGAGATAGACATGATAGTATTCCTGAGCCACTCAAGCGACTAGCATTTGCTTTTTGTGGCTTGACTTCATTATTCGCCCAGCTTTTGAGCTTCCCAGAAAGCTGAGACCAACTGTTGGGAGCAGATCAATGATTGCCGTGCAGCAGATAACCGAAGGCTGGAATTTGGGGACTTGCTCAGCCAAAAACCTTGACACGGAAATCAAGTTCCGGTCCATACGTTGATCTGCCCTCAGAAGGAGATTTTAGTTCAATTGTGGGCATGGTATATATATAGCTTGAGCTCGAAACCCCATGGTTAAGACAAAGGAATAAGAAGGCTTACTCCCGGTGTTGTTATATTCACAATGTTTCCGGTCAAGCTTCTCACAGTTCCGCTGCTACTGCTCATCGGGTGTTCAAAGGCTTCCGGTCAGTAGTCTCTCTATCTCGAACTTGCAATGAATGTATCTAACCAGGTGTGAAGACAACGTCTTAAATATACCGTTTTTTCGTCCGGATGAGTCCACGAGCTGCCCTGCCCATTCTTATAATACCTACATCATAAGTCGAGAACCACTTGTTACTTACATATCTTCCTTTGTTTCCAACGAGGAGATTAACCACCTTTTGAAAGCAAGGTAGGCTCACACGAAGGATATCCTTAAAAAAAAAAAAAAAAAATCGACATGATACTGACTTGCTAATGTTGATGGTTTAGTGAAGAAAACTATGCGCCCTCTGGTGTTTACAGCGGGGTAGGTACGGGTATAAACGTACAAGAGAGACTTTCTGAGGTCGCATATCCTGAAGGCGTGAGTGCTGTCGAGTGCGTCGGAAAGCGTGCTCTCGCTTTCCAAGGCTGGTCACCGTACATCAGTATTGAAAAGCTCCAGGTACAGCGCTATAAGACGAATGGATTTTTCAAATACCACTACGACTCTTTTGGCGAAGGGTTGAATGGGGACAGGGTATCGACCTTCAATATATTCCTCCATTCAAACTGTACTGGTGGCGGCACTCATTTCCCCAACCTACGGATGCCGGAGGACCCAAGGTGGTGTGAATTCATCGAGTGTGGCCCGGACGAGTCTGGGGAAGCGAGGACGGGCATCACGTTCAAGCCAATTAGCGGGAATGCAGTGTTCTGGGAAAACATCCGGCCTAACGGGGAGAGGTATCAGGAAACCCTACACGCCGGTCTGCAGATAAAGTCTGGCACTAAGATTGGGTTGAACATCTGGAGCTGGCATGGCATTGGTCTCTCTGAGGCTCGGTTGTGAATCTGCTGTACGGAGCAGTACACCCAGGCATTCCGGATCGGGCTGTATCAGGGACATCAACACTGGCTCGAACAGTGTGTGCCTCCTGGCCATCTGTCTGGAGTTGTCTCTGTGATACTGGTATCAGTTAGCGTATGCCAGAACTTGCATCTGTTCGTCAAGTCAAGGAGTTGGTTATGTACCTGCATGCTCCGTAGCCGAATATTGAATATGCACGAGCCCTGCTAGATGTACGACGGTGACAGCAGCAGGATCAAGATCTGCCTGTCCGCCCCCCCTGCTGTCCTCCCTGGCCGTCTCGCGAACAGGTAATTAATTAATTAGTTAGTTCACGTCGCGACTGGCTGGCTCTACGGTGCCTCTACGCGTCGTTCCCCTGAGTATTGTAACCACCAAAACCAGCCAGAGCAAGCAAACCGACGGAGATAGAAACTCGCTGTATTCTAGTACTATTATCTTCTCTCATCATCATCATCATCATCATCATCATCTTCGTCTTCTTCATCATTGTCTTCTTCCTCATCGCCGTCGCCGTCGCCATCGCATCGCCAGCTCACGTCGCGTCGCGTCGCGAAAAACCACTATAACCCAGTTGGGCCTTCGTGGCTGCGACCTGCATAAACGCCACAAAATCTTCCGACTTGCTCGCTGGCCGTCGTATCACCGTCAAGGCATCTCCATCTGCCAGCCATCAGCATCTCGCATTCTCCTGCTTTGCCGCCCGCATCGTCACGGACTACATGTAGCGGCACGTATCGACTGGCTGAGATCGACCCCTGGACCCTCCTGTATGACGATAGACGTGCTGGGGCCTGGTTCTCCTCCCTTCGTCCGCCCTCTCTGCGCCATCCGAATTTGCTGCTGAACCGCCCTGGGTCGCGACGAGGGGTCTTAGTCCCGTCCTTCTATTGAAACGTACCATCGCCAGGGTCCCGCGTCGCTGAAATATAGGTCGCGGTCGGCCGGCTTGCCTATTAGTGATCGGGCATCCTCTATATTGCTTGCGGCGCCTCTCTCCCTCGCCAGACATCTTCATCTCCCCAAGCTCTGTGGTGAAGACGACTTGAGAACCCCCATCCCTTGCTTCAATATATATACTCCGTACGTCTCACATATATATACACATACACCATACGGACATATATACGCAGGTATACGCGCTCAGGAGGATATCTCAGCAGCTCTCGAAGATATGGCCGCAGTATCCTACCCAATGTCTCCTGCGAGGCAGCCCTTTGCGGTCCTGGGTGAGGCCAGACTGCGTACGGCCAACAGCATCAAGAACCAGCAGAATGGTATGAGAAACCCCTTAACTTCCTCAAAGACAGTATCAAGATAAGCGGGACTTACCATTAGCCAGGCGCGGCAGCAAACTCGTTGAAGCGTCGACTGGACGTGTTGGACACCTCAGATGCTGAGAATATCGACCCTCTTCTCATGGGCTCTCCATCCAAGCGCAACAAGGGCGGCGTCCAGGTGCATCAAGATACCACTGATAGCATCCACATCTTCACCAAGCCAGCCTTGCCTGTCAAGACGCCAGCAAAGGCGCGAAGCAGCAGCTCGGAATTCATCACGCCTGCGCGCCCAATTCGTGGCCAGTCTTCTCTCTCTGCTCCCCTCAGAGCACCAGCTGGCCGTTCTCCAAAGTCAAAGGCAAAGAGCGTCAAGGCCTTTGGCCGTCGTAGCCTTGGCTTCTGCCGCGTTGACCCTCCCACTACCAACAAGCGTAGCATGACTCGCGTGCCTTTCTCCATTGCTGATGCTCTCAATGGCACTTTCACCGTCTCCCGCCCAGTTGCCGAGTCGACCTCGTCAACCACGCCAAAGGCTAGACGTCCAAAGGCATGGGACTTTGAAATTCACGCCGACACCGAACAAGACGAGATGGCAAACTTGATGCAACACTCGACCTGTGTTCTTGACATCAGTGACGACGAGGAGAAGCAGGCACGCGAAACCAGAGGAAAGGAGAACATTCCTCCTTCGCAGCCTCTTGGCGATGGAAGCAATGGGCCTGCTACCGCCCAACATACGTCGACCACTGCTGCTAGGAATGTAGAGATGGGAGATGAACCTCGTTCGCCTTTGGGTGAACTTGATGTAAAGGCCTTCATCCCTGAAGGTGAAGACATTAACAGTGTTGTTATTATCCCAGAGGACGAGGACGACACATCTGCCGAACAGAACTCTACCGCTGTTACTGCTGAGAAGCCATCGGATTCTGCCCAAGACAAGCAGTCTAAGGCATCTGTTCAATCAGAAACCCTCTCCAAGACAGAGATTGCGAGTCTACTCGGCCGCACGGCTCCAAAGGTTCAAACCGAGGAGCAACCCAAGGAGGACACCCCAGCCACCGAAATAAAAACTTGCGAGGGTTCCACTACAATCGAGGAGGCCTCCACTACCACCAAGGGATCCGATGAGCCTGTTGAGCCATCTGCCCCATTGTCATCCTAATAACCTCGATACCTCAGGATGATTGACATATGTGATGACTAGTTTTCTCCCCTTATTTCATCTCTGTTTCCTTTCCGGGTGTTCTGGGTCGGAGTTATCTTCTCTTTTCCCTTTTCTTTTCTTTCAAAATGGGTATATTCTCCTTCGGTGTTGTGGGTATCTATATTTCCTAAGGAGTTCCTGGTTTGTTTTCCTTCTTTCCTATCACGTCACTCATTTGATTGTTGATTACAGTATCCCTATTCCAAGTTTAGCTCTTGCTATCCCACCCCTAATCAATTGCTCACCTCGGTTCTGCGCCTGTTTGCTTGATTTGCCATCGACTACTTTAGTTTTGCTTGCTTGCCTGCTCGCCTGCCTGCTTACCTGCTGCCCATTGCTTGCTTGAGTTACCGCAATGACCGTGATGTTGAATGTCCATGTCTGTTTACGCAGCGTTTGCGCCAAAGTTAACCCACAGCAACACGATGGCCATGATTTACGAGGACAAGAGCTGAAAGTGTGAACGACGGAATGTGTGTGAAATGTTAATTTATGAAAGCTGCCTTTGAAAGTTTGTTGCGCTGCTTCATTTTTTTCCCTTTTTGACTTTGCAACGGTTTGTTGCCACTGCGTAATATGTTTGAGTTTCCCGTGTAATTACTACCCGTGCTTTTAATGTTTGTATCGTTCAATATAAAAACTATGGCTCCTAGTTAAACGTGCTTGGTAGAGACAGAGGCATTGCTATCCCTTCTGGGAATCGATATCGACATCTTCCCCTTCATCGTAATCTCCCATTACTTCGTCTTCATCGTCTTCATCATCGTCCCGATCTTGCTCCGGCTCCTCACCCTCCCCATCATCTTCATCCTCGTCCGGTTGATCGTCCCATCTAACTCTCTTTTCACTCCTCCCTAAAGGCCCAACGGCTCCCCTAAATCTCTCCCTCATCTTGTCCATTTTCCACGGCACATTTCGAGCCACTGCTCGAATCTCTGTGAGTAAATGTGATGGTACGGGTCCCAGCCCATCCTTAACCAGAGTTAGCTTATTCAGATCCTCCTCTGAATCTACATGGCTCGGCAGACTCAGTAGAGGCAATAACTCTTGCTCCGAAGGCCAGTCTGTTCGGCCTTCCATCATCATGGTCATCTTCATACGCATTATCGTGCGAACTATTGAGAGTGTAACGTTGCCGTACCACCCACAGGAATAGATATCACACTTTTCCCGAGGAGGATGGGCGTCAGGAGACGAAGGATCTAGTAGCCGGGCGAGTATGGGATCTTCAATATCTACTATCATCCAGGTCTTTCCATCTTTGGAGAGTGGCGGTTCGCCAGTCCAGATATGCGATCTAGCGAGTGTAGGGTCAGTGTTGTTTTCAAACGATAGGCGAGGAAGAGTGTGTCGCCTTCCCGACAGAGGGGTGGTGGTAGTTGTAAATTGTGCGTTTGGGTCATTTTCCTGCTCCCGTCCCTCCGTCTCCGCTGAGACTGGGAAAAGGCGGAACATAAGCGTTTGATAGATTCTGTAATCAGGCGAGATTCGGGGATCAAAGCCAAATTTGAATATGCCATCTCGCCAGGGTCCCGAGCGGAAGAGGTAGCCGACATATGGAATGGCGATACGGAGGGCATATTTTCTTTCGGGTGTGGGCAGTTTGTTACGAAGAGCGCGACGAGTCCAAGCTGGTCTTTCATTAAAAAGTGCGCGCAGGGCAGCCACAGTGTCGTGGACCGTAGGGTCCTGATCTGACAGTGGTGGGCAATTTGGTTGTGGCTCCGTTGGTACCGCTGATATGTCGTAAGACACAAGGTGAGTGGGTATCTTTACTATTCGTTGGGTGTTGGCAGTTGTTACTTGGCCAGATGGGTCAATCGAACGCTTCACTGTTGGGTTTTGTCGGTAGCTATGGACTTGTTAGAACATGTTTGGGGTCTGACTATGACGTAATGGAGTCTCCTTACAGATATTGGAAGGCAACGTCGTTGTTACTTAGGGCTGGGGGTGGGATGATGTCGACGTTGGATGTAGCCCCCTTTGAGAGGTCAAATTCAAACTTTTTCAGTTTTTCGTCTCCAAGGCAGGGTCAGCAAACACTACGATTTATTGAACTGAACGCACCCATAACTTACACTCGAATGGTAATATCGTCTCTCGGAATTTTTGTATGAAAGGGCTGCTTGTCGTTGAGTATGCAAAATCAGGCAGTCCTACATCCAGTCATTAAGCTGAAGCTGCAGCAATAAAAATTCGTGAATATTACACACCTCTAAAAACATGTGTTCGATTAACCTGGCCAACAACATCTACTTGGTACCGCCCGGCATCTTCCCGTAGACGCTGAAGAAGGCCTCGAGCATCTAGTTGGCTAAGAGGCGTCGCTTCCCCATCCTCATGGCTATCAACGAACGGGTCCTGAGAACCTCGCTTCCGCCTTCGCCCGGTCCTCCTGGGCACAGTAACCTTGAGAAGAATATTGTTTGTCTGCTTGCTTGTAGATCTTATTGGCCTACTCATGACATCTTCCGGATTCAACATGAGAGTCAAGGGTGAGTCTCGATTTGACGCATCAAGCATCTAACAGGCAAATTAGCATGTAAAGAGGCTGCAGTAAATGTTTGGTCGACCTACTTCTGATATTGCTGCATGGCCTTGGAGGGTATCAATGGCTTTATCGATGTTTCTTACAACACATGGGTGTTCTACGCTGACAACGTCCTGTGGCGGCACTGCATACCACGGAGCAGTACGCTCGCCACCAGTGTGTTCATGAGACATTGGGTATCAATTGCAGGCCCGCTTGGTGTTGTTGTTTTTTCAGCCGTATAAAGCAGAGATAAGATCCTTTATTGATCGTATAGCTCCTTGTTGGTTGCTTGTTAGTTAACTAGTAGTGCTGCAGGGAGCTCCTGGCACTGGGTATAGAGTCCTTTCAGACGGCCAAACGTGTAGTTGCTCTCGTTTGATGCAGTTTGCCCATGATCGGTGTCTCAGCATCCCCCATTCACCTGTCTCAACCGACCTGCCCGCTCTGTATATATCCGGCGTCTCCCCTCCGTCTGCCTTGCCCATCTTCAATCTTCCATCGCCTTTGCTTGTCTGTCCGTCTTTCACTTTGTGCTGCAACGCTCACGTGACACCTTCAAACCTCCCCCCGGCGCCGTTTCGAGATGCGAAGAGCGTCGACTCTCCGGCCTGCCAACGAGAAAAGACGAGACTGAATGGCTGCTTCAAGGCTCAAACTACGCTGACCTCGCGCCCGTCGTGCCTCTGTCGCCTGCTGCTTAAGCACCGCCTTCACTCCCTCCGGCAACGAGATTCACTCCTCCTTGCCCAATCGCTGGTTAGCTACTTTCGCTGGGCCCCGAACAACAACGCCCCCCCGCCCTTCTGGAGTTTGGACAACGCTCGCGCTGCCAAAACCACACCAAGGAAGCAACAGAAAAGGGGCAAAAGGCTTCAATAGACGCGTGTGAATACGGCTGTCAGGCCTGCTACTGCTGGCTCCGAAAGGCTCGAGGTAGGTCGTGCAACGCTGCTCTTCTTCCTGCTCTCCCCTTGCGTCTCACTCTCCTTGGTGGACGGGATGTTGTTTTGGCCCTGCGCTCCCCCATCCAGCCCGTGCCCTGCAACCTCAATCTGTCTACCTCGCCCAATGCTTTTGGATCCAACGCTGCATTTTCTCGCTGGAACAAAATAAATTTGCTAGTCTTATATGCTTGGAACCAGCCAGGTCGCTAATCAGCCATATAAAAAAACAATAGTTGACCACCCGCCGTTCACCTCTACCTATCCACCGTCTTCGGCTACCCGTCGACTTCCCCCCATACTTTCCTAAACAGGGGTAAGATCCGTGGTGGTCGGGCACGGGGCCAACGTTATATTCTGTTGATGCGGCGGGATTCTACTTGTTTGTGAGCAAATATGAAGGGCTTCAGACAGAGAGTTGTAAGTTGCGTGTCAATGGCACACCACCCTCTGACGAGACAACACACACACCCGCCTGCTCTGCTCAGGGGGGGCTTGGAATTTTTCGTACAATGCGGAGGGTAGAAGCTGATGATGTTAGCACGAGCAGCTGTCCCGCGCGAAGGACTCGAATAAGTCGTCGAAAAAGAAAGACTCCTCTTCTTCTGGTACGTTGTCTCCTGGGGCCTCCGCGAATCTTGGTCAACCAGGGCAAACGTTATCACCGGCAGGCTCGAACCACGGTACTCCTACGTCGTCCACAACCGCTGTCAATGAGACAAAGTCGAAACCCACCAGCTCTCCCGACAATGGGGCCGCCGCCGGAATCACCTTGCACCACAACGCTCCCGTTCTACCTAGTGGCGCGCCTAGCCAACAGCATTACATCCCACAGCAACAACACATAGGAGGGCAGATGTCGAGCAATGGACCTGGTACGCCAACTCGGCAGGGAGTTCCCATGGCCCCAAGCGTGGTTATTAGCCCTAGTGCACCAGTATGTTGACTCTTCTCCGATGGACTGATCCTTTCAAGTTCCTCATAAGCGTCTTCAGAGTCCAGCTTTATCCACTTGTTCCTGTAGCTAACTATTGCTGTCTCATAGCACATTCCTCCTCCCGGGGCGGCAGAAACAATGCCGGGTGACCTACAGCCACCGAAGATAGGGCAAAAACCGCACCTTATTGACAGATTACAGACCCCCAAAGATATCACCGGAGGGCCTAGGCCTCCACGGAGACAGCACTCGTCACGCTTTGATATCTCAGACCAACGTCAGAGGGAACTAGAGAAACTTCCTGGGTTCCATGAAGTTCCCCCAAACCGACGACAAGACTTGTTCATGCAGAAAATCGACCAGTGCAACATTATATTTGACTTTAACGATGCTACGGGAGATATGAAATCCAAAGAAATCAAACGACTTGCCCTCCATGAGCTACTTGACTACGTTGCCAACAATCGATCGGTCATCACAGAACCTATGTACCCCAAGGTGGTGGAAATGTTCAGCAAAAACCTGTTCCGACCCATTCCCCCTCCCGTCAACCCACAAGGAGACGCATTCGACCCGGAAGAAGACGAGCCTGTGCTAGAGGTAGCATGGCCTCACATTCAGGTTGTATATGAATTCTTCCTCAGATTCATTGAGAGTCAAGATTTCAGCACCAACATCGCAAAAGCATATATCGATCACCAATTTGTTTTACAGGTAAGATTCCCTTTTCTCAGCATGGCGTATAATCATTACAAAACTAACTCCTTTCCTAGCTACTTGAACTATTTGATTCTGAAGACCCCCGAGAGCGTGACTTTTTGAAGACGACATTGCATCGCATTTACGGAAAATTCTTAAATCTACGCTCATATATCCGACGCTCGATCAATAATGTTTTCTTCCAGTTTATCTACGAAACTGAACGATTTAACGGTATTGCTGAGTTGCTGGAGATTCTTGGCTCGATTATCAATGGCTTTGCGTTGCCACTCAAGGAGGAGCACAAGCTATTCTTGACGCGCGTTTTATTGCCAATGCATAAAGTCAAGAGTCTAAGCATGTACCATCCACAACTGGCATACTGTATTGTGCAGTTCCTAGAGAAGGATGCAGCCTTGACAGAAGAGGTATACTGCATTCTTTCCTCCCCTCTACTGAGTATCCAAGACTAATATGTTGGTTTCCAGGTTGTTCTTGGCCTCCTTCGCTACTGGCCGAAAGTGAACAGTACGAAAGAGGTCATGTACCTAAATGAGGTCGAAGATATCTTTGAGGTTATGGAACCGGCTGAGTTCGTGAAGGTTCAAGAGCCTCTGTTCCATCAGCTTGCCAAATCAGTCGCCAGTCCTCATTTTCAAGTATGTTACCATCGCTTCTATTAAATTATCAAGCTTGTGCTAATGCGGTTTTAGGTTGCGGAACGAGCACTCTACTTTTGGAATAACGAGTACTTCTGTAACTTGGTCGGTGATAATGTAGAAGTCATTCTCCCGATCATGTTTGCACCTCTTTACGAGAATTCCCAAGGACACTGGAACAGGTATGCTGCGCGCGATATCATTCTAATATTATACTCGTGCTAACTCTGTCGTCTGCAGAACAATCCATAGCATGGTGTACACTGCTATGAAAATGTTTATGGAAATCAACCCTCAGCTATTTGATGACTGCTCTCACGACTACCGAGAATACCAAAACTCTGCTGAGGCACGAGAAAAGAGCCGCCAGGAGAAATGGGAACGACTGGCTGAAATGGCAAAGGCCAAGCGAGAAAAAGCTGAACTCCCACCAGTGGAAGGCTCCAAGTCTCCTGATGCAGCCGGCTCAAATGACGGCCTAGATCCATTAACTCAAGACAACCAGCAGCGATTAAACGCGCTTAAACTGCAAGACGACACTGCTGCCAGCAAGGAACGGCGGAGAGAGGGTCAAAACTCGGTTAGTGCCTCACGCGTTGATTAAGCATGGAACGGAACCCACGTACCTTGCCTTGCTTCGCTCTCCTGCATTGTTCTCTTCGCTTCTTTTTCTTGTGCACTGGTTGTATTGTAAAATTTTCCCCGCTGCCCTTTTACTTTTTATCCTTCTTTTAGAGATGCTTTTTACCTTTCTTTTTTGATATCTGCCTTTTTTTTCTTTTCTGAGCCGGCGTGATCCTAACGTTAGATATACGTTTTGAATTCAGAGGCGTCGCCGTGGATCTATCGATGATTCTCGTGGTAGTGGTAGTGGAATGGCTGGGGCAGGTCGGCGGATTGTGGTGGGAGAAGCTCGAAGGCGAGGAGAACGGCGAAGTTCGCTCGGCAGCAACAGCAGTCCTGGGCCTTCTCATGCCTCCGTTACTCGTAGCAACTCAACTAGCAAGAGCATGCGGTCTGTCTGAAGCAAAGGGGGTGTACTTTTTTCTTTTTCTTTTTTCCTTCTCGCCACCCAACAAAAGGCGGCATGGAAAAAGCTCTTCTTCTACACACAGGTTCGGTACCAAGTTATCCAGCGAATTTAGACTAATGATGATGCCCCCCGTTTATCTCATTCCTCTTTTTGAAACAGACGTTTGAAACCGATTGGCTTTCTTCCCGGTAATACTTGGTTTTCATGTCTTTGTGGCTATGGATTGATTCAGGACCCCTTTCCTGTTCAATATCTATTCCCCTGTATTTTGATCTTTTATATTTCTGCTTCCTGTAATTATTGCTTACCTATCTATCCACATTCTGGATAGGATTCTGGCTTGACTGGGCTGCTCCGGAGGAACGCCTGGGACAAATGGGTGAAAAAAAAAAATTACGGTGCGGAAGGAGTTTTGGAGTGGGACACCTGGCCTTTGCAATGTTAGCTGGGAATGAAATATAAACCTGTCTTGCGGCTGCCTTGTTCCAGTGTTTCTCTTGGTCTTTATCTCTATCGCCATTTTGAATCATTTTCAATTCTTTCTCTGCCATCTCGGCCTCTTCGCTTTTGCATCATCAATCAATTTGATAGCTGAAGGTTTGGGGCAAATTACTTCACATAGCAAGTTTGCACCTCAAGCAAATGCATTACATCATCATTATATAATCACTACGCTAAACCATATTAGGCTAAAGTGAAGATGCCGCTAGTCCTCTTTGGGCACTAGCGCAGATGAGAAGTTGCGGGCGCGATCCCCCAGGTCCAGATGGTCTCTAGAGAAATTCATTTAATTCACTTATCAACATTCTTCACCTCAGTATCCAGGCCCTTGTCCCTCCACTCTACCGGCCGCCCGATCCTCGTTACACCTTATTTTCCGGGCATATTCACACCGACGACCTCTCTTACCCTTTAATTCGTCCTCCATCCTTTTTCTCACGGCCGCGAAACCTCCTACAGCCGTCTGTACAGGCTTCCAAATTGCTTATAGACCCTCCTCAAGCCTGTCGAGCTGGAGGACCAGGGAACTGTCATCTTGTGGGCGTTGAAAGGATTTTAGCCGGCCTGAGGGCCTGGCACCCGGTTTATATCAAGGTCGATTGCCCCGGGAATGCCAATTCTGGCTGCGCGCAATCATGGAACGCGAATCGATTGAGCGAAACTTCGACGCCTACGTGACGAAACTAGGCGATCCAAACATTGGTTAGTGGCCTGTATACTGTAGGATGACTATTGCCATATCGAGCTATCATTTGCTAACAGAAGACACGCGTTATTATGTTGTAGAAACTAAATTAAAATGCGCAGCCGCGGTTGAGATCCGTGACTCCCTGGAGCATCTGTGCTCGGGCGCTACATACCCCATTTTCCTGGCGAAACTATGGCCGGCGTTCAAGAAGGTGCTCAAGGGGGAACCGGTGTTTATCAGTCTATCGTTTGAGCAGGTTAGTGAGGAGAATCTGTGAATGGGAGAGTGGTATACCCTTTCTTAAAAGAGGAACTGACCGTGCGTACTTTGAACTTAGAAACTACGGAACTGTATCCTGGAGATTCTCCATCGCCTACCTCTAGAGCTTCCGGAAGTTGAGCCATATGCTGGTGACATGGTTGACCTGCTCATAGAACTTGTGAGAAATGAGAACGAGGATAACGCCGTCATCTGTATGAAAACTATCATGGACCTCCAACGACGACAAATCAGGGCGACGCAATCGCGAGTTCAAGCTTTTCTGGAGCTCATCCAAAACATGTTTGAAGGAATGCCGCAGGTTGTGCGAGATACTTTTGATACCCCTCAGGCTCAGACCTCCACTCCTGGAATGCCTTCGACACCCAACACGGCAGCTCAGAACTTCCAGTCCCCACGCCCTAGTTCTCCGGCTACTTCTGTATCCGACCTAGGGCCTGAGCAGCAGCAAACAAACCAAATGTTAGCGAAGGGTATGCATTCGTTCAAGGTGCTCGCGGAGTGTCCTATCATCGTTGTCTCGATCTTCCAGATACACCGCCACCCTGTAACCACCAACGTGAAGGTGTTTGTTCCCCTTATAAAGGGGATATTACTTCTCCAAGCACGGCCGCAAGAGAAGGCCCACAACGAAGCCAGAGCGCAGGGGAAGATTTTCACCGGGGTCAGCAAAGATATCAAGAACAGAGCCGCCTTTGGGGAGTTCATCACACTGCAGGTCAAGACGATGAGTTTCCTTGCCTACCTACTAAGAGTTTATGCAAGTCACCTCCAGGATTTCCTTCCCTCTTTGCCTGGAGTCGTCGTTCGTTTGCTGCAAGATTGCCCTAGGGAGAAGTCCAGTGCGAGGAAGGAGCTCTTAGTCGCAATCCGCCATATCATCAATTTCAATTACCGCAAGATATTCCTTGAAAAGCTCGACGACCTATTAGACGAGCGGACATTGATCGGCGATGGTCTTACGGTGTACGAGGCGCTCAGGCCACTAGCTTACAGCATGTTAGCCGACCTGATACACCATGTTCGAGAATCCCTTACTCGGGACCAAATTCGTCGTACCCTCGAAGTCTACACTAGGAATCTTCATGATGATCTTCCAGGAACAAGCTTTCAGGCAATGAGCGCGAAGCTCCTCCTCAACATGGCTGAGAAAATAGCTAGCATGGAGAATAAGAAGGAGGCGCGGTACTTCCTTATCATGATTCTGGATGCTATTGGGGACAAGTTCGCTACCATGAACTATCAATATAACAATGCAGTTAAGGCATCGAAGCTCGTCAAGCAGAATGCAGATAATTTGTCAGAAGGATACCTTGCTGATAAGAATCATCCTCCGGACTGGGACGAGATCGACATATTCACTGCAGTACCGATAAAAGCCACCAATCCCAGAGATAGGAATGCCGACCCTGTCAATGATAATAAGTTCCTGTTTAAGACTCTTATTACTGGTTTGAAGGGTCTTTTCTATCAGCTAAAGAGCTGCAATCCAGAGGATCTAAAACTAGACCCATCGTACACACCTGTTAACTGGGCAGAAGTCTCGTTCGGATACAACGCTGAAGAAGTCCGTATCATTAAAAAACTCTTTCACGAAGGTGCGGGACTTTTCAGATATTATGGTGCGGATAGCAAGGAGCCTGAGATTCAATATGCAAGCCCTCTTGAGTTTCTCTCTAGCCAGTATATGCGGCACATGAGCTCCGAGGAAAAGGAGCTTCTTGAAAGCTTTGGGACTATCTTTCACTGTGTTGATACTGCGGCATTCCATGAAGTTTTCAAGAGCGAGATTCCCTATTTGCACAGCCTTATGCTGGAGCACAGCGCCCTGCTTCATCTCCCGCAATTCTTTCTCGCGAGCGAAGCCACATCTCCTGCCGTTGCTGGGATGACTCTACAGTACTTGATGGAACACATCCATGAAGTTGGGTCTGCAGATGTCGCCAACTCCCGGATTCTCTTGAGAATGTTCAAGCTTTCGTTTATGGCTGTCACACTGTTTTCGGCACAGAACGAACAGGTACTTCACCCGCATGTCACCAAGATTGTGGCCAAGTGCATTGAATATTCTGTGACTGCAGAAGAGCGGATGAATTATTTCCTGCTTCTAAGATCACTTTTCCGAAGTATTGGAGGTGGACGCTTTGAGTTACTCTACAAAGAATTACTGCCCTTGCTGGAGATGTTGCTGGAAACTTTCAACAATCTTCTACTTGGCGCTAGGAAGACACAGGAACGTGATTTATATGTGGAATTGACGCTGACTGTCCCAGCACGACTTAGTCACTTGCTTCCTTATCTAAGCTATCTCATGAGGCCGTTAGTTGTTGCTCTCCGGGCAGGGTCAGATCTTGTCAGCCAAGGTCTTAGGACCCTTGAGCTCTGTGTTGACAACCTGACTGCCGATTACCTGGATCCAATTATGGCCCCGATAATGGACGAGCTTATGACTGCTCTCTGGGATCATCTCCGACCAAACCCTTACAGCCACTTCCATGCCCACACCACGATGAGAATTCTTGGGAAGCTTGGTGGGCGAAATCGAAAATTCCTAAATCACCCTCCTGAGCTCTCATTCCAACAATACTCTGATGATACACCGAGCATGGATATCAAGCTTATTGGGTCTAATAAGGATAGAGCCTTTCCTCTCGATATCGGAATTGACCTTGCCCTAGGGAAGTTACTTGACACTCCTGCGGCCAATGCATCCGAGACTGTGCAGAAGGCAGATTTATTCTACAAGAAGCAAGCGTACCGCATGCTGAGCTCTCAGCTCAAGCTCTATATTGGTTTCGAGCATCCGCCCGATGACCTGGCAACACTCCTACGCCTTCAGGCCAACGATCTAGCAGATGGGAAGTTCTCTGGGACGGTGGATATCTTGGAGAAGTCTGATCGTCAATGCTCCTCCTCAAAGAGACTTGCACAAGAGACCACCCTCAAGAAGTTATTGAAGGCTTGCATAGTTGCATCTACAATCCCGCACTTGAAACAATCTGCAACCGCTTTTCTAGCTGATGTTTGCCGCCATTTTACCATTATTGAAATCGGAAGGTCTCTAGCACAATCACGGCATATACGTCGTCCTTTCAGCGTGTCACTGGGCGAAGGCCCCTTGTATCTGGATACGAGGACTCTTGCTGATGCTGTGGTTGAATGTTTAGCCTCTGAAAATCCCGCGGTTCGTGACGCCGCTAAAGAGGTTATCTTCAACGTCCGAAGTGCTGCCGTTGTTATATTCGGCTCTGCAGAGAAGGCAGGAAAACTCCCATTCTTCCCCCATCTCGGTAGAACGCTTTGCCATGCTTGTCATGACGAGGAGTGGTTCACAAAGGCTGCTGGAAGCCTTGGTATACATCTTTTCGTTACTGAACTGGACTTGGGAAACGCTTGGTTGATCGACCGGCAAGTTGAATTCATTCGAGCCCTTATGTACGTGATTAAAGATACGCCATCCGATTTCCCGGGAGCGACTCGAACACAAGCCCAAGAGACAATGGACTTGATTCTCCGGAAATGCAATGAGGGCGTTTCCAAAGAGGAGCTGAAAAACGAACGAGGCCGAGTGTTGGCCTTGTGCGGCGTATTGAGCTATGAACTATCCCATATGAACAAACATGTTCGTCAGGCTGCCCAGAGTGGAATAGCGACTCTGGCAACAACTTTGGGTGCGGAAGTCCATGAGCTCATTACTCCCGTCAAAGACCGACTTTTGATGCCAATATTCAACAAGCCACTCCGTGCTTTACCTTTCCCTACTCAGATTGGCTGTATCGAAGCGATAGCATACTGCCTCGGTCTTCGTCAGAACATTGTCACATTTAATGATCAGCTCAACCGTTTGCTAATGGAATCTCTGGCCCTTGCCGACGTAGATGATGATGCCTTAGCATCCAAACCAAATGAGTTTAAGACTGCCGAGCAGATCGTTAACCTTCGTGTCTCCTGTCTCCGTCTTCTGTCAATGGCCATGGGTTTCCCTGACTTTGCAAGTGGTCCACAGAGCCATAGCCGCGCTAGAATCATTGCTTGTTTTTTCAAGTCGTTGTATTCAAGGTCCCCCGAGATTATTGAAGCTGCGAACTCTGGCCTTCGCGATGTTCTCACTCAGACCAACAAGTTGCCTAAGGACCTCCTTCAGAACGGCCTTCGACCAATTTTGATGAACCTTCAGGACCCCAAACGTTTGAGTGTTGCTGGTTTGGATGGATTAGCTCGCCTTCTCACCCTACTGACGAACTATTTCAAAGTTGAAATAGGATCACGGCTCCTGGACCACATGAGAGTCATTGCTGATGAAAACATCCTGCAAAGAGCATCTTTCGGGCTTGTTGAACAGAATCCTCCCATGAAAATTGTTGCTGCTATCTTTAATATTTTCCACCTTCTTCCTGCAGCTGCGACCTCATTCATGGAGAACCTTGTTAACAAAGTCTTGTACTTGGAAGACCGGTTGAGACGGACATCTAGCAGCCCTTTCAGAAAGCCATTACTCAAATATCTCAATCGATATCCCCGAGAGAGTTGGATTTTCATGCAGGCCAAGTTCCAGGAAGAAAAACACGGGAGATTCTTTGGTCAGCTCCTAGCAAGCCCTGAGAGTTCGGCATTGCGTTCAACCATTTTTGCGGATTCCGAAACATTAATAAAACTCGCCTTCTTCCAAGAAGAGTCCCCCCGCAAAAATACCGCGGCAATCAATGGAATCTACTTTGTCCATTCGATTTGCTCTCATGAAGCTACTAAGGGATTCTTGAATGCCCAGCCTGACCTGAAGCGACACCTCTTGAACAGTGGCCGAGACCTGAATTCTAAGCTACGTAATGATAGGCTCCCTCCAGACGAGCGGTTGAGAGTCGAACAAGCCCAAGATCAGCTGTTGGAAATATTCACAATTCATCTTTCGCAGTCCCTTGATGACCTTGATTTCCTGTTCGATGTTATCGACAAGATATCCGCCGGTGACTTGAAGACAACTCTTACGTTGCCAAAATTTTTCTACCAGTACATTATCACAAACTCATCCATTGCTTACCGGAGGTCCGTAATTTCTCGCTGCTTAGATCTCTACAACCAGCGTACCTCATCCCAGAAATTGAAAACTTACGCCTTCCATCATCTTGTTAATCCCATACTTGCCATGGATGTGAAGAATACCTGGGACAGTCCAACCCCTGGTACGGGAGTTCTTGATCGCAGTTTAACCGATCTTATCCACAACCGACTATGGAAACCACAGCTGGGTGATCTTAGTGAAGAATCTGGTCAGCCTGGGATAGACCATTCCCGCATGGAGCTTCTTCAGCTTTCCGCATTGCTTATAAAATATCACCATGGCATTGTTCAAGAAAGTAGAAAAGACATCATAAAGTTTGCATGGAGCTACATTCGTCTCGAGGATACCATCAACAAGTATGGAGCATACGTACTAATCAGTTATTTCATTGCACATTATGAAACACCCTCAAAGATTGTCGTCCAAATCTATGTCGCTTTGCTGAGAGCTCATCAGAATGAGGGAAAATCTCTAGTTACCCAGGCATTGGAAATCCTGGCGCCTTCTCTTCCAAAGAGAATTCTCTCCGGCCCTGACCCTCGTTTCCCAGTGTGGGCCAGATGTCCTCGTCGCATTCTAACGGAAGAGACAGCGAACTTACAGCAGGTCATGAGCATACTGCAATTCCTTGTCCGACAGCCCGATCTTTTCTACGAGTCCCGCGAATACTTCATCCCTCTCATAATCCCATCACTTGTCAAGATTGCAGGACCAACCAATGTCTCTTTTGATAGCAGAAAGCTCGTTTTACACTTGATCAACCTTATTTGGATCTGGGAAGAGAAGAGAGTGACTGGATGGCGAGACCCGACCTCTCCAAACTCAGCGAAACGAAAATTGGCCGAGATGCAAGCGTCACCATCAATGAGTACCACACCACTCCCACAGAAAGAGCGTCCGGAATACACCATTCCCCTTGACTTGAGGACGCCTCTTATCAAGTACCTTGTTACCTTTGTCTGCAGTCTCGTTGATCGCTTCTCTGTACCTGCAGCGCGGTTCCGCGATCTACTGCCACCAAAGCCTCACCAAGCGCTGAATAACTATGGTGAAATTTGCAAGAAATCAGTGGTTTTGCTCCGACGATTCCTCTCTCCTGAGTATTGGCCTGATGTGGATATTGACCTTTACCAAAAAACCCTAGAGCCTGTTTTATGCAGCGAAAAGGCTGAGAAACCCGACGAAAAGCATGTCACGGCCATGGTCAACTCCCTCCAGGTTCTACGTATTCTCTTGGCCGGAAAACCGAACAGCTGGATTCTTGACCGCATGTCTACCATCCAGCATCTTGTGGAAAAGGCTCTAAGATCTGATAACCCCGAAATCCAGGATTGTTTACATGGTGGCGAAGAGGAGATGGACATCTCTCCAAAGTTACCACCACCCATCAAGAGAGTTTTGGATGCCCTGCCACAAGAAGAGCCAGTGGAAGAAGAAGGTGGTATGGATGTTGATAAGCCGTCCGCTGAATTTGTAACCTTCCTCTCAACGGTCGCCACGGAGTCAATTTCAAGCGGCAACTATATCGCTGGAATTAATATTCTCTGGACACTTTCGAAATGTCAACCTGCGGAGATGGACCAGCATATACCCCATGTCATGAAGATTTTTTTCGCAAAAGCTTGCAAAGGACCACGTCGCTTCTTTCAACAATAACCCACCAGTAGCAAATCGGACTGCGGAACAACAGGCACAGGTGCCCGACCCCTATGAAGTAGAGATTGGCATCGATCTGATCTCTAAAACCATCGATTTGATCGCCGTTCGGATGTCAAATTTGGGTGATCAAAGAAGGCCTTTCTTGAGTGTGTTGGCGCAATTGGTTGAGAGGTCTCAGAATATTCCCCTTTGTACCAAGATCCTAGGGATGGTAGAGAACTGGATCTTCCAGCCCACGGAATCCTGGCCTACATTGAAAGAGAAAACAGCAGTTCTTCATAAGATGCTGCTTTTCGAATCAAGGACCGACTCAACAATGCTTGGGAAGTTTTTGGAGCTTGTCATTCGAGTCTATGAAGACCCCAAGATCACACGAACCGAGCTCACGGTCAGGCTAGAACATGCTTTCCTAATTGGTACAAGGGCTCAAGACGTTGATATGCGAACTCGTTTCATGTCAATATTTGACAAGAGTTTAACACGTTCTGCCAACACTCGCCTGAGCTACGTTCTGACTTCACAGAACTGGGACACCCTTGCGGAGTCATTCTGGCTCACTCAAGCTTCGCAGCTGGTGATGGGATCAGTTGATATGTCTGCATCAGTCAAGCTACACCCAGACGACTTCACAATTCCTCCTACATCTTTCATATATGGGCATTCTGAGAAAGATCCAGCTAAGGAGAATGTCGTTGTCGATAACCACCTGGAAGCTCTAGTGGCAGAACAGAAGAAGTTCTCTGCGGAACTTGGGGATGTTAAAGCCCGCGATATTCTTGAGCCACTCACTGAGCTTCAACACGCGGACCCTGAAGTTGCATACAAAGTCTGGGTTAGCTTATTCACGATCTGCTGGGCCTCTTTGACACGAGACGAGCGAATTGATCTGGAAAAGGGGATGGTATCACTTCTCACGCGTGAATATCACCATAGACAAATTGACGAACGGCCCAATGTTGTGCAGGCGCTTCTTGAGGGAGTTATTAGAGCTAGTCCTCGCTTCAAGATACCTCCCCACGTCATGAAGTTCCTCAGCCGCACGTTTGATGCATGGTATATGGCTGCTATCGCTCTTGAACGGTATGCGATTGATCCGGTCATTGACACGCCGGTGGTTCGAGAGAGCAACTTGGACGCCCTTGTTGAGATATATGCTGGATTGCAGGAGGATGACATGTTTTATGGTACCTGGAGAAGGCGCTGCAAATTCGTCGAAACTAATGCTGCTCTTTCTTACGAACAACAAGGGATGTGGGATAAATCGCAACAATTATATGAGTCAGCTCAGGTAAAGGCACGCACCGGCTCTATTCCATTCGCTCAAGCCGAATACTTCCTTTGGGAAGATCATTGGATGATTTGTGCACAAAAGCTCCAACAGTGGGATATCCTGACCGATTTTGCGAAACACGAGAATTTCAACGACCTGCTTCTGGAGGCCACTTGGAGAAACCTGGAGAATTGGCAAGGCGACACCAATCGTGAACAAATTGACTCTCTTCTAAAGTCAGTTTCGGATGCACCCACTCCACGCCGCACGTTTTTCCAGGCCTTCATGTCCTTATTAAAATTCCACACGAAACAAGAGACTTTGCAGGAGTTCAATAATGTTTGTGACGAATCTATTCAACTGTCGATTCGAAAATGGCACCAGCTTCCAAAGCGGATCACCAATGCCCACATTCCCATATTACAGAATTTCCAACAACTTGTCGAGCTTCATGATGCCAGCGTTATCTGCACCAGCCTTTCGCAGACCAACGAACGCAACATGGATACAAAATCTGCCGAACTGAAACTCCTTCTTACCACATGGCGAGATAGGCTACCCAATGTATGGGATGATATCAATGCCTGGCAGGACCTTGTCACTTGGCGACAACATATTTTCCAACTTATCAATTCCACATACCTTAGCCTTCTCCCTCCTCAGACCAACAATGTGGCAAGCAATTCGTACGCCTTCCGAGGCTACCACGAGACTGCATGGATAATCAACAGATTTGCCCATGTTGCACGGAAACACCAGATGCCGGAAGTTTGCATCAATCAACTCAGCCGAATCTACACGTTACCCAATATTGAGATTCAAGAAGCCTTTTTGAAGCTGAGAGAGCAAGCAAAATGTCATTATCAGAACCCGAAGGAGCTGAATAGTGGACTAGAGGTCATCAACAACACCAATCTCAACTACTTCAATGCACAGCAAAAGGCAGAATTCTACACCCTGAAGGGTATGTTTTTGGCGAAATTGGACCATAACATGGAGGCGAATGAGGCATTTGGCGTAGCTTTATTCTATGACTTACGTCTGGCTAAGGCTTGGGCCGAGTGGGGCCAGTACAGCGACCAACGATTTAAAGCTGATCACTCAGATATTGATCAGGCTTGCAATGCAATAAGCTGCTACCTTGAAGCCGCTGGCCTGTACAAAAATCACAAGTCTAGGAAACTCCTCAGTCGTATTCTCTGGTTGTTAAGCCAAGACAACGATGAAGGGAAAATTGCAAGTGCGTTCGAGAATTTCAAGGGGGATACTCCTGTTTGGTACTGGATTACCTTCATACCTCAGCTACTTGCAAGTCTTGCACACCGGGAGGCTAGGCTATGCAAGGCAGTTCTCGGGAAAATCGCCAAGTTGTATCCTCAATCACTCTTCTTCTTGCTCAGGACCAGCCGCGAGGATTACCTAGGCCTAAAGAAGTCACAAGAGCAAAAACAAGAAAAGCTCAATCGTGCAAAAGCCTCGGGATCTCCAACAACAAAGAGCGGTTCTCCAGAGGCCAAATCTTCTATGCTTCCAGATGCTGCGGCGGCCTCGAGCTCACCGAGGGCTGTAGCGTCTCCCAAGCCAACGCCCCCAGTGGCAAATGGACAAACTCCTAATGAAGGTGACGCAGCTCAAAAGGATAAACAACCTTGGGAATATGCCGATGAAACAATGGCAGGTCTTAAAACAGCCTTCCCTCTACTTGCCTTGACCATGGAGACTATGGTGGACCAGATACACAAGAATTTCAAATGCCCACCTGATGAAGATGCTTACAGACTTATTGTTGCTCTACTCAATGATGGTCTTGCATATGTGGGCCGTATGCCTACATCGTATGCACAAGACTGCAAACTCCCACATTCTACCGAAGCAAATATTACCCGTTTTGCAGAAACCATTCTTCCTGCACACATTCGAAAGTCGTTTGAGGCCGATTTTGTCACCAAGAAACCAACCATGTACGAGTATATCCATAAGCTGCGACGATGGAGGGACAAGTTTGAAGAGAAATTGGACCGCCGGCCACAATATGCCCACTTGGAGTCATTTTCGTCTCACCTTAGCGAATTCAAGTTCATGAAATTTGATGAAGTTGAAGTTCCTGGACAGTATCTTGAACACAATGACAAGAACCAAAACTTTGTCCGCATTGATCGGTTCCTCCCCCACGTTGATCTAGTGCGTGGAATTGGGGTATGCCATCGTCGTTTGAGGATTCGTGGCCATGACGGCAGCCTACACACGTTTGCTGTCCAACATCCTGCAGCCCGCCACTGTCGTCGTGAGGAGAGAATGCTTCAGCTATTCCGAATCTTCAACTGTGTATTAAGGAAGCGTAAGGAAAGCCGTCGACGCAACATTTACTTCCACCTTCCACTCATGGTTCCTTTTGCACCGCATATCCGCTTGGTTAAGGACGACCCATCCTACATCTCTTTGCAGGGTATATATGAAGACCACTGCCGCCAGACTGGAATGGCCAAAGATGAGCCGGTTCTGTTCACAATGGAGAAAATGCGAGCTCTGGCAGAAGCAAAAGCAAATGTAAGTGTATCAAGTGTGGACGACCCAAATCCAACTTCAGCTAACCCTTCTCAGCGGGCCCCCGAGCAGGCTGGAATCCTTCGTACCGAGATTTTCGACGCCATCCAAAAGAAATGGGTGCCCAACACCATTCTTTTGCAGTATGTCCAGCAGACGTATCCAAACTTTGCAGACTTCTGGCTCTTCCGACGACAATTCTCGTACCAGTATGCTGCAATAGCCTTCATGACTTACGTGATGCATATGGGCAACCGATACCCAAGCAAGATACATATCTCTCGGCGGACAGGCGATATTTGGAGCTCTGAGTTGATCCCAGCAATGAACTCTGCCAGGGCTATATTTTACAACCCAGAGCAGGTTCCCTTCCGGTTAACTCCCAACATCCAAACGTTGATGGGACCGTTGACAACAGAAGGCATCTTTGCTTGTGCCATCATGGCTATCGCTCGTTGCCTCACTGAACCAAGGCTCGAGTTGGAACAGCAGCTCAGCATATTTGTACGGGATGAGCTTGTGATGTGGGCAAGCGCGCAGCAGCGTGTTCTCCAGCAGCTTAAAGATATGGTGCAGAGCAATATCGACTATATCGTGAACCGAGCAGCCAGCTTGACAAGTTCTCCAGACGGAAATCTTCCCGCAAATCAGTCGGTTATTGATCTCATTTCTCGGTCTGTCAATCCTCACAACCTAGCCCAGTGTGATGCTTTATGGATGGCATACGTGTAATCTTGTCTGATCCGCTTCCATCCTCTTAAACCTCTTTCTCTTCGCCTATTGTATTATTGGTGATGTGATTTCTGTTGTTATTCTCTTATTTATCTAAATTTCTTGCGTCTTACGGGCTGTCTAATATGACCTCGCTCATCGACACTGCAAAGAAAGAAGGGTTAAGCATGGCGTTCTTCTGGAAGGAAAGGAGGCTATTCATGTTTTACGTTTTGTTTGAGTTTTGATATTGTGATGCTCTTGTATGATTTATTCCAACTGACATTAGGCCAATTTCCTTTGTCGCAATAAAAAAAATATGTAGTTAATCAAGTTAATCAAGTTAATCAAGCCAATGAACGCTTCGCCCGAGTACCTTCCTCACTAACGCCAGAGATGATGCATTTAAATATTAAACGAGGGGACCTTTCTTCTTTATACCCAATCCTGCAGAAAATGGCTTTTTTGCCTTCTTTACCCGCTTAAACGAGGGAGGAGGCATTTCAGTTGGAGTTGCGGTATCTTGATCATCATCATCAACAAGCCGTTTAACTCGATTGCCGTCATCAGTCATAAATGCCCTTTTAGCTGCCTCTTCAATCTCCTTGTCCTCCCTAGCTCTCGCCTCTTCAGCTTCTGCCTTCGCCCTCTGCAAAGCCAACTCTCCTCCTCCACGTTCCCCCCTCTCTATCCTTGCGTTTCTCGATCGTATTTCATCCAGAGCATCGGCTACTGCCATTTCCCGCTTAGAATCCTGCATCTTCTCCTCTAGCTCTAGCATTTTATCTCTCTCCTCTCGCTCGAGCTCCTCATTTTCTTCCCGTTCGAGACGATCTAGCGTTTCATCGTGTGTTTCGCTCACTTCCTCGCTTTTCGCCTGACGCCACGGTTCAAAATTTCTTTTAGCTCCTCGTTCACAGACATAATCCATGTTTTTAGGGTCCGTCTTAAATGTGATCTCGCTCGAGCATCGGGTACATCTGATATAGAACCGGTATATTGTAATGTTGAGGTACTTCTCATCAGTGGTTTCCTTCCGCGCATTGAACTTGCGTCCCTTGTATATGTATTCACCGCAATTAGTGCACTTTAAACTGAACGGCGCCATAAGGCGGACAGTCAGGAGCTTAGACCCTGACGCCCGTAGATGCTTGGGAGTTCGGGTGATGAGCGACGGATCAAAATCCGGTGGGTAGTACTTGGTGAGGACCTTTCGTTCAGACATTTTGGCGGCTGCAGATGTACAATATGGGTAGCTATTCGATGTGTCTAGCTTTCTTGAGCTTCTGTTCTGGCGTTATGAGATTTTGAGCTTGCGACTTTGATATCTTCGACGTTGAATCTGAAAATGAATTAAGAATTATGGATAAGCCTGAGATTTCGATAACTCACGTGATTTTCTTTATCGGAAGCTTCTTATTGGTCAGCTAGTTTGAGAGGCTGGAATTACATAAGCATCCAATGTTTTTTGCCCGTCGCGAATGTCAACAACACACATTGGAAGTAAAGAGAAATCAGAGGACGGCGAGGGATAGAAGGAATTGTTGTAGCGTCTTCTTCGGAGCGAATGTGTGCATATAAGCGGGCGATTATTGTCTTTTATTGAAAAGTGACCTCCCGAATACCCTCTCTTCTATTCCTGAAAAAAGAGCACCTAGCACCAGTGCAATGTCAACGAGCTCTCACCGGTGAACCGCAAACAACCATGGAGGAGTTTTTACGCAACTGGAGGCAAGACGCCTTGAATAAAGGGCAATACGATTCGGCGGTATATATCGGTGATAAAGTGCTTGCTTTAACCAGTACGCACAATAATTCTAAATACAGCTACCTGAGAGCCGCCGGGGCTAACTTCGAATAAAGACAGTGATAACGACGCATATTGGCTTGCTCAAGTGCACTTTTCAAATAACAACTACACTCGAGCCTTAGCGTTACTATCCACGAAAGATCTCATCACTCGGAATTCATCATGTCGATACCTTGCTGCCCATTGCTATATCAAACAGAACAAATTCGATCTCGCGCTATCCATACTTGGGGAACACAACCCAACCCATCTTATTCAGAGTGCCAGCCGACGAAAAAAGCCGCACTTGAATGGCGGCTCCCATGTCACCCTTAGGAACGGACGCTCTATACCATCTCGCACGGATAAGAGCGATACGGATGCGTACCAGGATGCCAACCATATTAAATATGAGGCCGCCATGTGTTATCTACGAGGGTGCTGCTATGCAAATCAAAATGCGTTTGACCGCGCGAGAGACTGCTATAAGGATGCTGTACGGATTGATGTACAGTGCTTCGAGGCATTTGATCGGCTTATGAGAAACTCGCTTATGTCCCCAACCGAAGAACTTGAGTTTTTAGAATCACTGGACTTCGACTCAATAACTCCGTCCTCAGATGTCTCCCTTTCGCAGGAAGCATCAGAATTCACGAAGTTGCTGTATACAACTAGGCTATCAAAATACTCCTCCTGTTCTGCACTGTCTCATGCCATAGAGACTCTCTCCACTCACTATAACCTCGCAGATAACTCAGACCTCCTACTCTCTCGCGCAGAAACGCTCTACACTCAGTGTCGGTTTCCGGAGGCGCTTTCTTTAACCTCATCGATTCTCTCCGCTTCGGATTCAATGTCGGCATTAGTATCTCAGGGAAGTCAAAGCCAAAATCTTGGGCATTCCCCATCAGTCTACCCCCTCCATCTTGCCTGTCTTTACGAAACGGGCGCTACGAATGCTCTGTTTCTCCTCGCGCATACTTTATCAGATAACGTTCCAGAGGAGCCTTATACCTACCTTGCCATTGGTGTTTATTATCTCTCAGTCTCGAAGATTGCTGAGGCAAGGCGATTCTTCTCCAAGTCTTCCCTTCTCGACCCTCACTCGGCGCCAGCTTGGATTGGATTTGCGCATACATTTGCTGCAGAGGGTGAGCATGACCAAGCTATTGCAGCTTATAGTACTGCTGCTAGACTATTTCAAGGGAGCCACTTACCCCAGCTCTTCCTAGGAATGCAGCATCTGGCATTGAATAATATGGCTCTAGCACATGAGTATCTGTCTGCTGCATATTCCATGTCTTCGGGATCCCCCTCAACTAGCAACACTCTCTCCTTAAGCGTCAATTCCGCTGGAGAGCCGCCTGTTCCCGGACCCTCTGGTGGAGACCCTTTAGTGCTTAACGAGCTTGGAGTCGTCTTATATCACGAAGCTAACCTGGAAGACGCTGTTCACCTCTTCCGGCAAGCTTTAGCGTTATCTGTTTCCCTAGAATGTGACCCCAGTGCTTGGTTGGCAACCCGGGCAAATTTGGGTCATGCGCTTCGTCGACTAGGAAAATTGGAAGAAGCTTTGTCCGAGTTTGACGAGTGCCTTCGTATAGGTGCTGGTGGTTCAACAACCATTTACACCGGTTATACAGGCAGGGCAGGGGCAGGGGCAGTCAGGTCTGCTGGTGCGTCCGCTGTGGGAGGTTACGAAGACAGAGGTCTAATAGGATCCTTCCACACAGCCCGTGGTATAATACTATTAGAAATGGATCGGACGACTGACGCTGTTACAGCATTGCATGAAGCTGTACGAGTACTAGGCACTACTGGTGGGGATGCAGCAGCTGGCGCTGGAGTTGCAGGTACTTTACTTTCAAAAGCTCTCGAAGTTTGGGCTGTCGAGGAAGAGACCAGAGTAGTGTCGTTCCAAGACACAAGTAAGGCACGCAAAGGAAAATACTCTTCAGCCAATTCCAATAATGAAAAATTAAGACATAGGTCTACAGCCAAAGGAACCAAGAAATCAGCGACTGTAGATGAATGGACAGATGATGTTCCTGACCGACCATCATCTAGCGGACCGGATGTCCAAAATATCGGTATGGAACTTGATGGAGAGGCCAATGATTTACTTGAGCACGCCCTAGGTAAGGCGGGATACGGGATACCTCGTGTTATGCCCAGAAATCCTGGGTCTAGCACTGCTCACGAAGCGCGGCCTCGTTCTGATATACCAGAACCAAGTCGTCTCCGGTCGACAAGGACAACTCGAAGACGAAGTCCTCAGAGAGGCCCTGGTGGATGATAGATTATGCCAGCCACTTTCTGACCATGGACTGATACCGTTGGAGCTGTACCAAAAACGCATTTTTATGAATTGCTAAACTTATGAATATGAACTTACTGATGATGCATGGCGGTATATCCTGTCTCGCTACTTCAATATCGAGCCCTGTCTACCATTAACAGCCCAGTTAACCTATCTGTTCCCTGATCACCACTAATTATGGGGCATTATTATAAGAACTTATAGAGAGGATGCAACAATATATTGGTCTGCATACCATATTCAGGCTCCAAATCCCGCTAATATAGAAAACCCTCCAAATACATGCGTTAGAGACATGCCTGTGACTTCGTTGCCGGGCAGAGAAGATAAAAACAAGTATCAACGCCAAAGAACTCCAGGTTCCGTTGCGGGATAAATGAAAGACAGGATATGTATATCCGTCGCTCATAAATATAATGACGAGTGCAGTATGTTGCAAGTTGCTATTGCACCGAGATAACCATAATAATGAAGCTAACCTGAGAGATCACGGCCATAAGGGTGGATCTATGTACTCTGCTGCGCGGTCAACCAGGGTTGGGAAACTCCAATCTCCACTGGCAGAGCTCTCTGGTGTAGGAGGTGGAATCGAGCCAGATCTCGTAGAGGCAGCAACCGAGGCCCCTACACCTCCCGTGACGGGTTGAGTGTATATTGGAGCAGGGTTGAAGCCGCTAACAGACCCAGTGATAACGCCATGCTGCCTGAGGTGTATCAACAATGCTGCATTTAACTTTTGAAGGGCACGTAGGGACTTGATTAGTGGCTTGGCCCATTGCGTTTCTGTGTCTGTGGGTATATCCGTGGCTTGTTTATTTGGGGCCATCGCAGCGGCGGGATCATAAGCGCCCTCTAGAGATCCCATGTTTGATGAACTTGCGGCAAAAGTAGGGGAACTCTCAGCTCCCGCTTTCGGACTCATTGGTGAGATATCATCTTCTTTTGCACGCTCTGTAAGAACACCCTCTAATCGCCGGAGTAAAGTCCAGATATTTGGGTCGGTCTTGGATTCACCAACAACGGCCAGTAAAAAGGCGCTACTAATGGCCCGCTGAAGGCCGATCCATGACCGGGCAGCTTGGCGGTTCACTGAGTACATCTCAACGTACGCTTCTACCGTCCGCGATAGAGCAGCAATGCAATCTTTTCGTAGTGCGATAGTTGTAGCATCGTTGAGATCAGCATTTGGCCTTAGCGAGGGACGACAGATCTCTGATGTAAGGTACGAGGAGTGCAACTTTAGGCCCAGTCTCTCAATATTCTGGTTAGACGAGACGCAGCATAAAGGATCACGTAGATAAGGCGCTGTATCGGCCAATATTCGTTTGAGCTCCGTCCTGCATGTCTGTATGGTGGAAAACGGGACCTGCGAGCCAGTTGAAAGCATGCGACTTTTAACTATATTTAAGGTTAAGGCTATAAGTTGGCAGATGGTTTCGAAGAAAGATCTCTTTCCAGGCTGCGAGTCTGGATGGTAAGGAATATCTGGATGGCTAAATGCCATTGCAGATGGTCTGTCGTATGATAGCGAGAAGTGACTATCTTGCCACGCGGTTGCCCACCTATAAAGGTTCAATTAGCAAAGCACCTTATATATGTACCAGCAGTAAGCTCGAAGACCATATTCAACTTACCATACAACCCGTCTGGCATACTGTTGAGCGGGTGAGAATTTATGCGACTCAACTTGGAGGCCGAGAACCATGCCCATTCGATGGCTCATTCCTTAAGAAAGGTTAGTAAAAGACTCACAGATTAATGCAACTGAACGAAAACACACATACCCAAAAGTATATATGACACCCCAGGGTTCATATTATATGAAAGGACATTCCCAATAATTAAGAGAGTCTGTATCGCATCCAAAGTTGGTCGTGATACGAAGTTTGTTGCTCGTAAAAATTGATAAGCACAACAAACTAGGAGGGAACTTAGCAACCCAGCTTATCTAGTCAGAAAACACAACACCATACATACCATATACCTGAGAAGTCAATTCACGTTCCTTTCCTGGCATATCAGACGATTGGCAGCCTGCGGCTAGCACAGCGAATAGCAAGCCCACAAACGCTGTGGGCATGCCAAAAGGCTTACTCAGCTCATCACCGTCATGTTCGCTAATCCCAAAAGCAGCCCTGTTCCGAAGACATAGCTCTAAGTTCTCCTCAAACCGATCAAGATCAGAAAGTACAGGGTAGATTAATGCCGCGATATCACGGTAGTACTTGAACAGTCTAGGTTACCTTGTTAAACTTGGGCTTTCCCACGTATTAAACACGATCATTGCTTACCTGCGGCACTGTTTATCATCTGGAATAGCAGCACAAACAGACCTGATGTCGTATGTGGTTGAATCGGAGGACCAGAGGTCAATAAATGGATATGTGGCAGTCTCATTGTCGAGACCTAACTTTGGAAGAATGCCACCCTCCAATAATGCTTGAGTGGCTTCCTTGGGTGATCCTCCAAGCAGATAAGCAAGAACTGATCTAGATCCCAGATGAACAGTGCCCCCTCCGTACACATTTTTTGCATGAATTCCTTCACGATCTGATAAGGGCTCGTCACGAGGGAGGCGGGCCTGTTCGCTAAGAGGCTCCGGTGACACCAATGCAGTGCTGTCAACCTTTTCCATTTCCATTCGGAGCGAGGACATGGCGCGCTCCATCTCTTTCAGCTTTGAACAAACGCTCTCCCACTCAGCCCGTGATATCGATACTCTCTCCTGCTCAGCCGCCATACCATGCATTTCAACGTCTCCAACCGAGACATTTCCGGAGCCCTCGAGATTTTTTGACATATCCTCGGAGTCGTGGGGAGGAGGGGTATTCACATGGCGCTTTTTGGAGGGGCGTTCATAGGAGCATAGATCTGCATGGTCTCGTTTTACACACCCGTCGCAAGGCAAGTTGCGATCGCATTTGACCTTTCGGGTGTGGCACGGGTAGCATGCCTTCGGTTCGCGCACCTTTCTCTTCGTACGGATTATGGCGTCAATCTCGGACTGGGGGAGGTGGGAGACGGGCGTTGTTGAAGACATGGTTAAAGGAGCGTTCCTTCGGGGCGTCTGGGAGGGCTGAAAGTGGGTTCAATGCAACGGTTCTGGGCACAGAGCTCAGGGATTCAGCGACGAGAGCTGCTAGTACTACCGATTGAGTACAAACGCCATGGCGACGGGTGTTCGGGAACAATAATTATCTCTCTGCTGTCGCAGCTGGTCTGCAGCAAGAAACGTCGAGCCGTCAATTCCTCTTGCCGTCGATAAGTTGGATCCATAGATATGGCTTAGTCAGCAGCCTCACCCCGTCGGATAAAACGGACCGGCGTGATTGCTTAGATAAGCATGCATCCATTTGATCTGCATGCAAAGAACGAGCGAACTAACGCAGCAGCAATAAAACAACGAACGACAACGACGATAACGACGGCAACGACGGCAATGACGGCAACATACAATATACAAGGACGATAAGGAGAAGGATGGCCGAGGCAGCAGAGTATAGAATGCAGGTGTTCGATGCAGCCGTATGATGGTTGAATGGGCAGGTTGGATGACCACATGCCCAGTTATCATCCCTGGCCGCCGTGACAAGGCTTACCTGATGTCGGAAATTGGGCAACTCGGACGATAAAGGGCAGTTCCTGCAAGGAGAACTTTTCCAGAAGGTCCATGGAAACGATGAGGCAGCAATCCGTCAGCTGCCTCGAGTAATTCCTGGGATCAATAGCCTGTTGTCTGGGCCAACTGCGGTGAGGAGCACCCCCCTGCTCAACGGTCAATTAATTCTCGCAGCAAACTAGTGGAATCCTGCATCATAGATGTTGGTCTTGTGCCCTTTCTCCTGCAGCGAGGAAACAGGGACTCCGAACCAGAATTGTTCCTCGACATGGCCGGAGTAGGCGGTAGCATGGGTATGGTGTTGCTGTGAAATTGATGGAAACAGTCCGAGGCTATAAGAAATCTATACTCCATCATACCGCCTACACGGAGTATTCCGTATTCACCCGCATGAGAAGGCTCGTCTCTAACAAATATGAATCATCAGGTCCAACTGCGGGCGCAGTCATGCAGTCTCCCAGTTAAGCGCTACGAGATGGATTCTTACAGGCCTGTTATTACTCCGTCTGCAGGGTCGACAACATTGATGCATCCTTGTAGTCGGAAAGGGTCTTCCAAAGCGCCCACCAAGGCCAACGGGCTCTTGTTACGCCCAGTACGGAGTATGGATGAACTCAATTCTACACTTTCATTCCACGAGCGGTAACTAATGGATCGTCTTGTGTCTCCAGAGAACTTGGTTGATTACCCATAACTACGGAGTACAAATGAGCCTTGATAAATTTTATTTCTTTGGCGTATCAACCTTTGAGCGCCCCATATAAGCCTCAGAGCCACAAGCCCCAAATGTCCCACCAACAGGGAGGCTGAGGTAAGCAGATAACTAAACTAACTAATTGAGTTACAGGCAGCGAATAGCGAAGGGAGAATAACTCATCATCATCAGCGGCTTCTGCACGACCTCATCCTTCAGGGCAGGAGATTTGCACCAGCATCAATTCGGTTCCCGCTAGACTGGATTGGCGTTGGCTATCTCTCCCTTGCTGCCTAGCGACACCCCTGCATGCCCTTTGAGTCAACTGCTTTTCCGCCGGGCGTGGGGTTGGATAGGGATAAACCGCAGGCGCACTAGTTAACTAGTGAAGTGACTAATTCACTAGCTAGCGTCTGCTGCCTCAAGGCAACCACGAGGCTGAAAATAGCCTTGAGGAACATTTTACACTCTTCACATTTGCGGGAACACTAAGGGACTAAGCCATGCCAGTTCCACAATACTCGCTTGACGCTCCTGAGGCGTCGAGTTACGGTGAAGGTAAGACAAGAGATATTGCAAGAAAATAATTGTTATATTCTTTAATCAAATCGAATTTGTCTATAAGCTATGGTAAAAAGGAATAAATGAAATCCTCATGTAGTAACCCAGCAATCCGTCGCTATGATATATATAAGTATGTAAAAAGTGGAATGGAAGATGAATGAAAAACTCGTCGGTACAGGCAAGTGAGTGCCCTCCGTGCAGACAGAACCATCCGCTTAATCGCAACGCTCAAAAAAGTAAGATGGGAGATAACAACCAAAAAAAAGTAGGCAGCAGTGATGGGACCATTTCCCAGCAACAGTCTCTTCAGAGCTGGAGATTAATCGCAAATATCAAAATTGAAAAAAAATTGAAAACAATAAGTAAGGAGTGCAACGTCAGTCATCCAGGGTGAGTATGCATCATAACAACATAAGAGTACATCTTGGTGACAAGTTAGCAAGCCGCATTTTTTAACAGATGAAGACCCGCATAAATGTCCATACCAAATCTCGTCTCAGGTGTCATTTCAAGGTAGTCATTCATTTTATATAGGTGCAAGCGTCGCAGGCGTCATGCTGGCAAACTATGCATCGGCAATGGTGCTCGTAAACCTTTGGTCCATCACCGCAGCCACAACAGAGGTATAGAGATGTTCCTCGCTGCCGCAATGAAGGATTATAGTTAAATGTAGGCATGACGACAGAAGGTAATGTGTGTGGCTCCATGGAGTCATTTATTGACAGCCTGTGGTATGAATTTGTCGATGGCATTATTGAGGTTGGATTGTGGAGTGAGAGTGATGTCTGGACGCAGCAAGGAGACTTTGCTCCAGGGTGCTGGCAGTTTAGGCAGGAAGAGCAGCTGTCGATGATCATTGGGCCAAAGCCACACCGACAACAGACCCAGTGAGTAGCCTGCGGCATGGCCCTATGTATAGATGAGGGCAAACTGTCGAGTTGATCCGCAAGTGAAAACAGTTGGTTGCCTAGTGAGAAACGCAACGCAAAAGGGACAGTGAGCTTTATATATGTCTAACAAGATATACAAAGTCTAGTATAGCAGTCCAAGTAACAGATAGTATGATCTTTGATTCTTGCTTTATGGTAGGCTGTATGAAGAGTGTTCGTGGGATGAAAAATAGGAAGCAAGAACAGGAAAACTTGGTGATATATAAATGATGATTCATCTATATATGTATGTGACCGAAGGAAGGAGGAAGCCTGTAGAACCAGGGCATCATGAATGCCTGGATTTGCGGGTCTCTGTGCCCTTGAACGCAAAACCGCAAAACCGTAAGTTGCCTGGCAGTGCATATAACTTAGGTCAGGTGTGTTTCGCTCCATTTGAGGTATCTGACGGCTTCCAAGCCGAGAAATCACGAGATAGGCACCCAGGATTGTCCCAGGCGGAATCGTAAAGGGAGGCCTGGACATCGCTGTGGTTGCCCGGTGGCAGCTCCGCCCCAAATTAGCGATTAGTAGTGGGGGGCAGAAATAGGCACCAATGTGCCTGTGTAGATCTCGTGAGGACACTAGGGATGACTCGACCGCTAACCGCATACATCTAGACGTGAAGGTTGATGTCAGGCTTGCAGGTTGAGTCAGAGGCTGTTGTGGTTGCTGAGGCCATTCAGCTGTCTCAGGAAAGTCCGTGATAAAGTTGCTTGGAGCCTTCGCTGCCCTTGGTCGAACTGTTTCCCTGCCTCCACGCTAAGCCCAAGGCTCCAACGGCAGGTCGAGGGGGCTGTCCAATAGGAGCCTTGCTTGGCCTGGACCGCTCCTTGGTTGCCTGGAGGAAGCGGGAAAACAATCAAAAAAAAAAAAAAAAAAAAAAAAAAAAAAAAAAATGAAAATTAAGAAGAATCGGACAACAACGATAACGACAGTCGACGTGACCAGTGCAATGGTGATAAAACATGGGAAATACCGTAGGAATTCAATACCGTGTTGCAACTCGGTTAAACGACATGTTGAACAGGCTGTGGTTATTGTGTAGTTAGCTGCTTAAAAATTCGGAGGTCTTGAGATGCAAATGAATGTTGTTGAATAATAATCCAGCATCTAATCCTGAATGATCCCAGGAGCCTATGAGAAATCTATCCTCAGTAAAAGGCGAACGCAGCAGCCTGGGATCCTTAGAATGAATTCCCTGTAGCCTGGACGCAAGGCAGTGATGTTTCAGCAGGCTGAACTAATCACTCCTATCAAGTAAGTTCGGGCTTCGGTCGTAGGATGGAGAAAAACGTGGAATGCAAGATTGACCATGATCCGAACACTCGCAGGAGCTCTCCGTATGCTGTCAGCAGTTCTCGTGAGGGCTTTTTTTTATTATTAATTTCTATTTCCATTTTCATTTTCGCCTCAAGGGCAACTACCCTGGTGCCTGAGATCGGAAACCTCGTGTCAATCGGGGTTTTCCTTTCGGCTGGGTCTGTAAGTGGGTAGATTTCGGCATGAAGCGAGAACTGAATATCTTGACCTACCACAGAAGGCTTTTCCTTAGAGACAAGATCTTCGGACTTTTTTTTTCTTCTCTTTGTATGGATGGCTGCCATCCGTGTTAGATATTCGCTTGTGTCAAAGAATAGATGGTCTGTTGGCTCGACTCCTCGGGCCTAGCTCCGCCCCTCCTTCAAGATGAAACTTGATATTCTGACGGGTAAGCTTGATTTGTTTCAGCTGCAGAGCAACATCATGTAATGTTATGGACATCATATGTGAGTGAGCATTCCAGCAGCGCTGGTGTCTCCAGACACAGAACCAGTGTTTCTATCAGGCTGGATATAGTGTCTTCACGAACAGCTAGCAACGGCTACCTATCATCTGGCTGGGTTAATGTTGCTGCAGGCCTTCGTAAAGGACTGTGCTTCCTCTTCGGCCCTACTCAGTGCTGATGATAATGATGATGATGATGATGATGATGATGATGATGATGCCTCGCTGTCAACCAAAGGCTGGCGCTGTCTCATGGATGGCTTGTTTCCTGCCTCTGCCTGTCAGCCTTATTGCACCCAGTCGCCCGGGAGAAAAGCAAAAAGAGCGGTTCAGCTTGACCAACCCATCATCACACCAGCCAAAACCTACACCGTTTTGCTTGTCTCTAGCATGATCTGCCTCCTTCGCGAGCGATGAGTCCACCCTGCATCGGCTCGTATCTTAGTTGGCGCTTCGTTGATGTTGATCGTTCAGTCCAACCTTTTTTGACGATCTTCCCGGGCGTGCGGGGTGTCACATGACATCACCCTATTTTGATTACTAAGCCCAATGAAGCTTTGCTTGCTTTTTCTTGGTTGACTTTTTGGAATCTTGAAACTTGGGCAGCAGCATGGCAGCATCATCATCGTTCATCCGGAGTGCATCTAACAGCCCATATCGACTCATTCTTCTTACCCCATGCCCGTTACTTAGCTGGAATATATTATTTATCAACTTCGTGTGAAAACTCCCCGCAGGTCTGGCAGGCAGCCTGATGTTGGCTGCTCGACAAGCTACCACCAGTCCGGGCTGATGGCATGCGATCAGAAAGCTGCCAGTCGAGCTGTCGCGAGGATCATTCCAGCTTTCCTAGGTGGGCTTATTGTCTATGGCTGCTATTCTATTACAAAGGCCTTATGCAGTGAGTAACTTCGCCCTCTCATTGACGGTTGGGTCTTTACTAACGTCTACGAAGTTGATTACTTGATTAAGCCGGCGGCTGTGACCGGATTACACCCACGCATCAGCATAGCTATCGGATTATTAGTTACATTCTACGTCCTTCTCGTATTCTTGGTTACGACATACCTTCGATTGCTTATCACAGTTATATTTTTCCCCGGCTACCTTCCGAGAGGGCCACAATGGTCAGGCTCAAACAGGCAAAAGAAGAATGAAGGAGGGAAGGGACACAACCGCCCTGGTAGCATCGATCAGGAGAAGCCAGAAGCTATACCATATGCGACACTGGGTAAGCATAACGCAAATGACGAAAAGAACGTTTATCCTTTTGATGCTACTGGCTTGGAGGCATTTTACATGAAAGACATCTTCGTCTGCCAGCTAGACGGCAAGCCACCATGGTGCTCCACTTGCTGCCAATTCAAAACCGACCGGTCACATCATTGCAGTGAAGTCAACAGATGTGTGAGGAAAATGGACCACTTCTGCCCCTGGTATGACTCCTGTATACCTCTTAAACTTGAATGCTGCTGAATGTGTCGATACTGACTCGGAATGCAGGGTGGGCGGTGTGGTCAGTGAGACTTCATTCAAGTTTTTCATTCAGTTTCTATTTTATGCGATGCTGTTTGTTACCTTCAACGGGGTTGTAATGGCTGTTTTTGTTGCTGAACAGAGAAATATGGTAAATATATACACCTTTGACTTTTACCATGTGGCTTATAGGGACTAATATGGCTCATACTAATACAGTTCGGTACATTAAATATACACTGGCTTATTATTCTAGCGGCGTACGTATTAGAATCCTAGTACCCTCATCTCGCTGACACTTAACTAACCTGCAATAGATCCGGGTTCTTTGGGCTCTTCTTGGCAGGGATGCTCATAAGCTCCCTCCAGATGGCGCTCCGCAACTGTTCCACAATCGAAAGTCTCGATTGGGGTAGTAAAGTTTGGACTTTGGCTATTTTAATTCCTAGGCCCCTGGATCTCGACAATCTCCCTATAGAAAGTCGCCCGCCATTTCCCGTTGTCTCTTACCCTATATCTGCGTCTCAGCCAGGAGCTCCATATGCCTCTCGCCGCCAATTTGCCATATTACATACACGTCCTGGCGAAAACCCATTTGACCTTGGGGATCCCTTCGCAAACCTGGGGGAGGTCATGGGCCATTCCGTGCTTGATTGGATTTTACCCCTAAAGCATAGTCCATGTGCCTCCCATAAACGGCAGGACAGCATGTACGCCCTCGGCCCTGTTGTCCAACGGATGAAAAAAGAAGCAGGTTTACTGGAAACTTCCGCTCGTAAGTCTGGCTACCACTCTTACAAGACCAAAAGGAGACGTAGGGATGGAAGATCCAGCGACTCCGATCCATCATCCTCACGGTCCACCCATAGTCGGTCACGAGACGAGAAAAATAAAACTAACCGGAGACAAACAAAGGATCCTCTTAAGCCTCGCCATCATTCTCGAGATGAAGACAGATCGGTCCGGAGATAGTTTTTTGTCGATGGTGCTTGATATATCATATATATAACATCGGTTCAAGTACTATGCACTAGAGAAACAATGCTCACACTGTAGACTAATTATGTACATTGATACCCTTTCCTTGGATACCCTGCCAGACTCTCTATTTTTTCGCTATAATTTACCCCCTACTACTGTTACAGCGACTGTTACATTAAGCTGAAGAGGCTCCCTCTTTACCCTACTTAGACCTTGTAATACCCCCGTACATGCTCTTAGTTAATATAAGATTGTCTTATACCTAATGATCATTACTCGACAGCTATGGCCTCTCACTCAGTTATAACGAAGCAAAGTTGAAGAGCTAAGATTGTCATTTGTCATTAGCTCTCTAGGTCATGTTGGTAATAAAAACTAGTGGTCGGTAAAGACCGTAACAGGCAGGCCCATATAGTAGACTCCTGCGAGAGAAGGAAGGCAAAAGATAAAATCATAAAATCGAAAAGAGGAATCAGAACAAGGATAAGGAATACAGAACGGGTATCAGGCGTTAGGCTTAAAAGGCATAGACAGGACATCATAGAAAGTAAGGAAGTAAGCGGTAGGAAGTAATCATCCACATTGAAATATCAACAACAACGGATCCATTCAGTCATCGTCATGTTTCGTAGGGTCGGTGATGAGGCAGACGTCAATGAGAAAGCGTGTGTCGACGGGTTATAGGATGTTGGTTTAATATAATGCCGCTCGTAGTTCGAGGTAAAAGGTACGATATCGAAGGTGTAGGTCAAGGTGCCCCACCTTTTAAGGGGGCGTTCTTGGGTGTTCAACGGCGGGACTCATAAGTGTCTAGGGTGATAGGGCGGATATGTATGTTGTAGTAGCGAGCGGTTGACGGTTGTAGTGCGGGATTCCACTGTCTAGACGATCATATGGATGGAATCTCTACATGTGTCGCATCGAAGGTGTCCACAGCTCGGGCATCTTGACGGGCTGGTGTCATAATCGTTGCTTTCCGAGCACTCGCAGCACGTCCATCGATCAGAGCCGAACATGTAGTTCTTCGGGTCGGGAGACTTGACCATGGCTTTCGATGCCACAGAAGTTCCACCGAAGACGCCGCGGACTTGGGTTGTGTATGCAAAGCACATCCTGAGGTGACCCTTGCTTGAGTGAAAGAAGTAGAATAGTGTTCTTGAGCACTTGAAAGAGATGTTTCTGTCCTTTTGTCTGGCTTCTTTGAGGCTGTTCAGAGCAGGGTTGTCTTGTCAGAGGTGAGTATGTGTGAGGTGTAGGTTGTTGGATGGAGGAAGAAGCCGACGAAGAGGAGGGGGGAAGACGTGCAGTTTAAATAACCAAAACAACAACAACCCATCCTCACTGACTGACTGCCTTCTAAACAGAGAGCAGAAGAAGCAGCAGCAGAAAAGCATAAATCAGGAGCCCAGAAGGCAGCAACACGTCTGCCTTCCCTAGTGCATGAGATAATAATTGCTATAACAAGCCAGAAGCCATGTAGCAGGATGCACCGCCCTCACGTTAGCAAACATGCTGTTCGAGCAGGAGAGGACAGCCAAACCAGACACACACACGCATACATCTGAGCCAGAGAAAGGGAACATCAGAGTGTGAACAATGACCATTGTTCAGGAGACTCTCTGGCCTCCGGTGGTGGTAAGTTAAGGCCGCTAACCCGTAAAAGTCGGTCAGGGGGAATGTTTTTGAATGACAGGCCGTATACTGACTTATTGAACAGTCCAGATCCCAGTAACATAGCAGAAAGAAACCAATAAAAGCCCTCGATCAGCAAGAAAATGGCTAGATGATCATGGTTCCTGTTTTAGCGGCTTAGGCAGCTAGCATAGAACTTCCTCTGCATGAAAGGTGCATATGATGCGCATGGGTGCCTTTGCTAGACAAGGCTTGCGGCATGGATTATGGCAGCTAGCTTGCGTTATGGCCTCGAACACCTGTCAATGTTCAGCCCCGGTGCTGGTTTGCTTTATCTGGCAAAGTATTTCTCTCGGAGTACCCTGCCAAACGGGGACACTGATGGGTATTTAAAAATCCAAATCTTTTGAGGTTTACCATGAAGCTAACACACAGGTTTTTTTTTTTCCAGATACAAGCTCCAGTTCTGTAGCCTCGCTGATACCAATATTCCTTTTTTTTTTTTTTTTTTTTTTTTTTTTTTTCGATGCCTTGGAAGCGAATTTTCCGGATGTCAGGTCCTAAATAAACGGGGAAAAACCACGCTAGTCAACACTGTCTTTTTTTTTGACGGCAAGCCCTGCAGATCCACGGCCATCATCAGGTCCAGAATCATACCCAAACGTCTCTTTGTCTAGGATAAGTCGAATACTGCTAGTTTTTGCATTGGCTCTCATCTTCATGGATGTCAAATCCTGCTCGCACAGAAACTGTATCACGTGACACGTTCAAATGCCGGCTGAGTCGATTGCAAAATCTCTTCCTCCTTTGCACGGCTTGCGATGCGATGAAAGGACCAATTGAAAACAGTATATTTCGGTGCTAACCGTTGGATCAGGATGAAATCCCATGCGCTGCTTACAGCTGCAGTGCCACAGGTTCGCTCTTTATTGTTGGTGGAATAGTGAAGCGGTTCCTTGAAGCAAGGCTAGGGCCATACGAGAACGGATGGCCGGTGGCTGTGCTGTTTCTCCCAGCCGGATAGCACTCAAAATTTAATATTAATCCGTATCAGAAGCGAACATGGGACTGAAGCGGTTAATTGCTGATGTTCATCAAGAAAAATATCTTGGAAGGCATCAGAAAATGTGCCTTGGTTGAGCAACCCACAAAAGGCACACACAAACACACACACACACCCATGGTTCGCATTAAGGCTTAGCCCGCTCCTAGATCAGGATGCAGGCTGAGTTGCAGGGGGGGGTGGATATGAGATAGTGGATAGTGGGTTAAGTCTGTTCCACGGTTCGGTGGTGAGTGAGTTTGGCCCTGTGTTGATGGCAGAACAAGCCCTTGAAGGGGCTCGGTGTCCTGCAGTCTGGGATGCTCGGGGTGGTGCCTCGCCTTGCAGGAGATGGAGAGACGCTTTTGCCTCTGCTTCTCTTTGCTTCTGCTGCGGAGCCAAGTTAGCTTAACCAGCTCAAGGGGAGATAGGAGGAAAGGCTTGCATACACCTTCATGCATCTCGGCGGCACAACATAGCTATGGAGCGCTACCACCAGCTGCAGCCTTGGGGGAAGGGGCGGGGAGTGCCCCTGAGTCGAGTGGAATAGAATCAACTAGACGACACTGGCATGTCCTCAGCGTAATCAACCGACCGACCGATCAGCCGGACGGTGAGCTCTGCTGCCTGGTGTTAGTAATCGTCCGTTGAATTGGTCGACGCAGGGAAGAAGATGGCCACACACGCTTCTTAGCAAGTTTGAGTGACTCTTAGCTTCACTCGTTATCAATTTTCCCGCGCCACTGCCCACGTCAACACCAACAACAACCCACCATGCTCCCGATTTTTATCCAGTTCACTCGGTTGCCAGCTTTCAAGCATCCGCAAAGTGACGGCCAGTGAGACAAAAATATGTAAGTAGTCTCGTTCCCTGGCCGTGAATGCCTGCAACGGCATGTCAAAAGTCATCCCATGCCAATGCCTGCACCCTGCATCTCGCAGTGACGCCGGTATTATCTGGACCAACCCCAGCGCGCCATGCTGCCTGCAAGTTGCTGCAAGTTCAACTGCTAGAGACAACGTCTGGCTAATGGTTCGCTTGTTCTACAGATATAACAGGATAAAAGATACGAATCAGCGTCTCGCGATCTACCATCCATCACCTCCTTTCATCCTAGCGATTTAGCTACAGGCGCACGGGAGACCGACAAAACCACAGCAGTTCTACCTAGGCATCAAAGCAAGAGAGCCTCCAGGTGCATCAAGGGGGGTAGAGAGAGGCCCTACCGCCTATAATATTCGTCAGACTCACGCGATACGGGGATTGGCTCTCCCCCTTGGGCACTGAAGGAGTGCCCTACCACCCCCTCCTCATTCGCAAAGCTACACATAACGAGTGAATATCGCGATCTCTCTCGACCCGGCTAACAGCATTACGGGCCTTTTGAGGGCCATCAGGTGGGAATCATGGCCAGCCAGGACATTCGAAACGGAGCGAGGAGGAGCTCGAGGGTGTCTGGTGGTCGCGAACTCAAGCTACCCCCCTCCTACACCGTTGACGGGAGAACGTATACGGCTGGCCCCGAGATGCGCCCGCGCAGCCATACGATATCAGCGGAGGCGAGCCGAAGCCCGCTGAATCCACTGAGTCTACCTAGCTCTCCGAGCCGGCAACCCGTAGTGACCACTATTAAGCCACGGTCTCAGACCATCTATCCCACTCCATCCCGAGATGGTGGTGAGCGTTATATAACCCCTTCGTCATCTCATTCTCGGCATAGGCAACCTAGTGGGCCACTGGGAGGAGAGCCCGATACGATAGTGCCTTCTGGAGAACGTGAGCTCAAGTACAGGAATGGGTATCTTACTCCTGCCGGAAATTCTGGGTTCCCAAGCCCTAACCGGGATTCCAGCTATAAAGATATCGATGTCCATGATTCATTCAGCTATACCAACGCTCGAGAACAGTTTTATAGAGACTCTGATGCGATTCGGGAATCCCGTCGACAAGTCCCCGCTGTCAGAAAGGCAAGGCCCTTGAGTTTGACCGGGTTGGAAGCTTACCTTCCACAAGTCACTCGGGACCCAAAGGCTGCTGGGCCTCCGCCATCATCTCGGCGATTCCTAGCGCCTGAGAGAGAAGACGCGCCTCGCAATTACAGAGAGATAAAGCCGCGGGATCTAGATGCTGATGCAACCAGGAACAACCCTACAGTCCCTCGAGCATCTGACAACGCCCGGCAAAATAGCTCCCTTCGCAACCCAGTATCTTTACATCAGGACAGAACTACGTCACCATCACCCGCCCCTCCTGCCCCACGTCGTTCCGGCTATGATAATTCAGTTGAAAAAGGGTATCAGATACGAAGAGATGCGAACAACAACGTGATTGTTGACGATAAACCCGAAACTGCTCGGCGTGACCGACGCCTGAGCGTTTCTGGCCAGACTCCGAGCCGAGATCGAGGATATTCTACCGGCAGGGCTCCGGATGGAATGACGGGTGGTGGCCTTGGAACCGCTGGCCTTGCCAGTGGCTATTCTAATGAACCCATGGATGCACACCCACGGGCTGAGGCTCGGAGCGGGCGAGATCGGTCAGACTATTCCAGTCGCCCTGAAGATAAATACAAGTCCTCTAGGAACTGGCCTCAAGACACAAATGATGGTTACTATTCGGATGGAGCTAGGGGAAATCACAAGTATAACCCACCACCATCCTCTCGGGAGACAGAACGGCGCCCTAGGGCTCCGTCACCAGTTGACTCAGACTCGAAGCGGTCAGTCAACTCCTCACGTCATGAAAATTACGAAAGAGCAGCCCCAAGAGAATCGAATTCTTCTTCTGCGAAGAGATCGCCTCCTCCGGCTAGTGGAACGAGCCCAGACACCCAAGCACCGCGAGGGATTCTAAAACAACCCACCGAGAAATTCCCCGAGGAGCCCCATGCTGTCCGAGAAGGCGTGGCGCCTTTGAAGGATGCGCCAAAGAAAGGCGTACCAGCTGGCGCCCGCTGGACCAAAATCGACAGAAGGCTAGTCAGCCCATCTGCTCTTGAAGGGCGAGAAAGGTTTGAAGAACGACCGGACTACGTTATTGTGCTGCGAGTTCTGTCCAGAGAAGAAATTGAGGAGTACGCACTTTCGTCTGCTAAGATACGAGGTGAGTCTTGATGATTGGGAACTGCGAGTTGCTGTAGCTTGATGATACTATGGAAACTGATGGTGGGTGTCTAGCGTCACGAACCCGACGAATCTCAGATCGTAAATCCCGAGACGACGATGATACTCGAGCTCGCGGACGTGATTCCGACAGCGATGATGAAGACGACCATGACTCATCCCAGCTGCGACTCGAGCCACCACCACGAGACCCCAGACGATGACGAACGTGAATCGTAACGCACGTATCCGTCATTTACTCACTTCACGTAGTTTCTACAATATCCCACTCTCTTCCTGCACCACACTTCGCAGAGCCATGCTTTTGTCTGATTTCCTCGCATCTAATGATTTTGTTTGTTGACATGAATACCAACGTACTAAATGAAAAATAAAAAAAAAAAAAAAAGGAAGAAAAAAAATTAGTTTCTTGCTTTGTTTTATGACGAATAGCCATTCATTGAGAGGTGAGAATTTGGATTCCTTGCTGTTGATTACTTGGTATAGGCTGGTTGTGAGTCCATCAAGTAATCTATGCTATGCTACTGACTTAAAGAAATGATGGTCGTTACTACTTGTTTGCTTGAGGTTGCTAGATTGTTGAATTCAAGAAAACTATCTTAGTGCCTTTTGAATTTGACGAGCGGTTTACTCTATTGAATGACTGACTGATGACCCTTTCAAAAGCGTAGAGTTATTTCACTCGTTCAAATAACTGTTTGGTGACGTCGGCGTTTGATGCTTTCAATAAGCGGGATGTGGGGCAGCTGTTGTTACTAAGCGGCGGTAAGTTAAAATTAACCGCGGAAGACAACGTCAACAAAGAACATCCCCGTATGATAGCTATTAGCTATGGTATTTCGTAGTTACGCAATGGCACGAAATTATACATAAATATGTGGTATTATTAGTTCTATGGCTAAGTGATTGAAATTTTCGTTATGTCGGTTCTTTCAGCGTGTCATTGTTAGTGTATCAGAGCCCCTACCATTCCCGGGGCACATTCTTACCAGGTTATTCATACTACTAAATATCAAGCCCCAAAACCACTCTCTTAGTATCAAGTATTCCGTGAAGAGGACCCTCCCAACACTATATGTATAGCCGTTGAGATCAACACGCATCAGGCCCATCCACGAAACCCACCAGCCGATCAACAAACATTACATCATACTCCGAGCCCCTCAAAGCCAAGTATAAAAAAAATATGTATATATCTAGATTAATCTCGATCCCAAGCTCTAGCGGCCGATCGAATCATAAGCTACCTAAAGTAAGCTACTCCAGAACGAACTATATATACATGCAAGAGCGATCACCAAAACAAGCTTCCAATACAACAACACAACAGGCAGGCTGGCTCGGGCTGGCGTTACAAAAGCAATAAAAATAAAATCAAAAACAAAAAGCCACTCGAAAAAGTAAAAAAGAAAACAAAAGCAAAAAGCAACGGCGCGGGATTGCCCATTGACGTCAAAGCGGAAAAAAAGTATAAGTGGGCTCTGCGCGAAAAAGAAAAAAGGGCGCAAAGCAAGGCGTGACAAGGCATGGCAGGGCATGGCAAGGCAGGACGAGGCAGGGAAGCGGGGACCGACCGCGGGGCGGAAAGTATATGCCGAGGGGTGCGTGTGTCTGGTCGAGGAGCTTATTTGAGCTGTCGTCGATGCCACTAAAGTCGATCGATCGATCGGTGGGATCGAGTAAAAAGAAAAAGGGCGATCTGCGGATTTGAGGGGAGGAAGAAGGTAGGTAGGTAGGGAGGTAAGTAGGAAGGGGAGAAGAAGGTATTTACATAATGCATGTGTCAACGTCAATCAATAAAGGAAGAAAATAAGAACAGGAAGAGTGCGCTGGTGCTCGAACGGGTGAAAAATGTGAGCTGGCTGAACGGTGTATATGCCGGTATATATGGCTGAAACGGAAGGTATATAGAGGAAAAGGCGAGTCTATGTCGACGTATATGTCGAAGTGTAGATGGTGTAGATGGTGTAGATGGTGTAGATGGTGTAGATGGTGTAGATGGTGGTGAAAGTCAGTGGAGACGTCGGTTAATCGACTGTCTTGCCGCCGCAGTCGGGAATCTTGATGCCAGGCTTGAGAACGCGGGCAGGATCCATAAGACCCCATTTATCTTCCCATTCCTTACCCGGCTCATTGAACGTGACTTTCCACGGCTCATCAAATGCCTCAAACCTGCATTCATTATTAATATCACTCAAACAAAGAAAGAAAAAAGAAAGAAACAGAGGTATAAAGGGAGAACGACATACCAGAAATAATCAGTCCCGTTACTGAGGGCCTGACACACCCAGTTCTCCATGAAGATATTCATGTCCTTGACGCTCGCTACAGACCCCGACTTGGAATCAGGACACTTGGAATCACCGCAGTTATTCCCTCCACCGCTAGGCCATCCGATCTCCGAGATGATCTGTTTCTTGTTCGTGCCCTTTGTCAACGAGACGTCGTGTTCTGCCCAGAACGACCATGCCCAGCCCGTGCCCTTGTCGGCCGTGACACCGGCAAAGAACGGATGGACGTTGGACATGACTACGTCGACTATCTTTGTGAGCGGCTGAGTCCAGGCATCGCCCAGGTCAGACGTGGCGATGGGGAGGTCGAGTTTAAGCGATGCCAGCTCGTCCTTGACGCCGGTGATGTACTTCATCAGCTGCGTGAGCGTGGAGGGATCGTTTTTGCCACGATACAGCACCTCGTTGCCGACGATGACGCCCTTGAAGACGGACTTGTCGCGGGTGTTTTCGAGGATCTTGTAGAGCTGTTTGATCTGGCGGTCGTTGGTGGTGGTGTTGGTGTCTATCCACACGCCGAGCCAGAGCTTCATCTGCTTGAGCTCGAGGCGCTCAAAGGCATGCAGGACCATCTCGGTCTGGTTGCAGTCTGTGCCGTACAGACGGACGGTGTTGGTGAGCTGCGAGAGCACGGCGATGTCGCGGGTGACGTTGTTCTGGCTGGGCGGGTACTTGAGGCAGAGCGGGTACTGGGTGCCCCAGGGGGTGTAGTCCATGCCCGGGAAGACCTTGTGCAGGTCCTTGCTCTGCAGGGCCTTGATCTCCTTTGAGTCCTTGCCGAGATCTCCCTTGTCGTCGTCTGTGCCGGAGCCGCTGCCGCCGGGCCTGTTGGGGTCGGAGCTAGCCTTTTGGTTGGCGAGGATGCCTGCGGTGACACCGCCGGCTATGGCACCGGCGAGGACGAGGGCGACGATGATGCCGATGATCCAGAGGCGTTTCTTGCGGGATCGTTCTTCGTCAACGAAGACCTTTTTCTCCCCCGTTGCGAGGTTGTAGAGGGGAGTGTCTGGGCCGACACCCGCTCCGTTACCGTTGCCGTTTCCGCTGCCACTGCCGCTTGCACCGGCGGGACTGCGGGCACCCGAGCCAGGCAATGAGCCGGATGCAGCGGCTCCCGCCCCGACGCCGGGATAGAGGTTGTTGTGGCTTGAGTTGTGGCCCATACTGAGGAGGGAGCGTCTCTTGGGCTCGGGGATGAAGCCATCGTCTCCGTCGTCGACGATGTCGTGCGGGTTGATGGACTCTGGATGGACTGCGCCGAGGCCAGACTCGTCTCTCCTGTACGGGTCTTCATAGTGGTATCTTGCGGCGTTATCCTGGTACGCATTGTACCTGTCGTTACTATAGTTGTTGTTACTATAGTTGTTGCTATGGTTGCTGCTATAGTTGTTGTTGTTGTTGTTGTTGTTGTTGTTGGTGTAGTTGGTGTGGTGATCCTGGTAGCCACGGCTATGGGCATAGCCCGCGGGATCATAGCTGCCGCCCATGGTCTCCTGGTATCCCATCTCCTCGTAGGCACGCGAGTCATGCAGGTGCCGGCGGGAGTGGCCCGGGTATGCAGCGACCCCCGAGGCCAGGCCGGTCATGCCTCCGCCGGCCGCTCCATGGCCGTAGTTGTCTGCGCCGGCGGTGACGTCTGACCGGCCCGGATGCTGCGGGATATAGTCTTCGGAGTAGTAGGGCTCGTCGTGCGGGTGATGCTGCTGCTGGCGATGCTGCGGAGGGTGAGGCTGGGGGTTGACGGGCGAGTAGTAGTTGTTTTGCGGCGGCAGCATGGCGAGGTCCTGGTCGGGGTCGGGCGAAGGGTTTCGATAAGCCGGTCGATAAGGCTGCATTTGTCGTTCTTTGTCTATCTCTTGTTATTATCTCTATTGTGTCTTCTGTCCCCGTTCCTCTGTTCCTCTGGTCTGTTCCTGTCCTGATCCGTTTCTAGTCTTCCTGTTCCTGTTCCTGGCGGTGTTCCTGGCCCGTCAACATATCAAGCAGCACCCGCGGATCGGACGGCAGAAGCGGACCGGCCCAGGAGGTTTGAGTATAGGAACCAGAGCGAAGAAGAGAAGAGCGAAGATGAGACCGCTTCACCGCAAAAAAGTGAGCGATGCACTTCAGCCCTTCCTTCGCAGCGCAGGTGGTTGTGTTGTCTCGCTCGTATCGAGTACGATCGCCGTGCTGTTTCTCTTACTAAGGAGGCGGACCGGGGGAGGGGGGGCAAAGCTGAAATTGGGCGTTGAAGCCAGGAGCAGCGCTGAAACACGGCGATCAAATGAGATGAATTATGAATATAGAGAGATTATGTAGAGAATATGATAGAGGATATGGTAGCGATGTGAGAGTAGAAAAGGAGAGACAGGCAGAGGAAAAAGGAGGCTGAAGCAAGCGAGATGTCTTGAACTAGCGCGCGAGGCCGGCGGCTTGACCAGTAGAAGAAGCGAGGAAAGCCGCGGGCGTTGGCGTCCATCGTCCAGTGTTGATGGTCGGCGTCGGCCTGACAACAGCCTGGCGACAGGGTTATCGGCAGCTATACTACACCACAATTAAGGCCAGTAACATACTTACTTTGAGTAGTAAGTAGATAAGATGGATGGGGATAGAGATGGGCGGGTCAGACGAGGGGGCGAAGATCGTGATCACCGCGATGAGACGAGACGAGAAGATGAGACGAGATGAGACGACAAGATAAGATGAGATGAGATGAGATGAAACGCCTGAAGGTCATCATGTTCATGAAGAAGTAGAAGAAAAGAAGAGAAGAGTAACCGCCCAAAAGACCAACTTTTTAGCATACATACATACAGCCATGAAATGAAGATAGACAGAGAAGAACATAGGAAAGACATCATCGTAAGAGAGTAGAAGCAAGTAGAAATTGAGCGAGTAAAGACTACTCGACCTCCTCAGCGGACCGGGAGGAGGCAGTCGTGAGCACCGCCGGCGGAGAGGCAGCAGACACAGCAGTAGTAGCAGCAGTAGACTCCTTGTCTTTGGCGTCTGTCTTGCGGCCTCTGTCGAGCCATCGTCGCTTGCCCACGCGAGTCTCAAAGTAAGGCGCTATCTCGCTGGTCTCATGGCCGGCCGTCAACATGCTGTTTCTCATCTTGTTGCGATACGCGTCCACTACAGAAGTTAGTTAGCAAAGAACATTCTCTAGCATGGAGTAGTATAGAGTAGTATAGAATAGAGTAGAAGGTAGACTTACTTGATCGTTGTAGGAAGAGCATCCTGCCCGCAAAGACTCTGCTCTGGCCCCAGCTCATGCGATACCCCATATCATTAAGCAGCTCTTCTCTCTCCTTCTTCGCCCTCGTCAGGCGCGGGACCAGCACTTCCTCTCCCTCCAGCATGGCCATGGGCACACTCGTCTTGCCCGCCGTGACATCTTCCTCGTCTGCATTGCTGCTGCTGCCCGCAACCAGCCTTCCCGCCGGCTGCGACTCATCATCATCGTCCATGAACCGGTCCCCCTTCCGGCGGTGGTGAGCAAAGGGTGAATGGACGGGGACATACGTGCGAGGGAAGACGGAGTTGGCCTTGCGATATGAGTCCGGGATCTCCTTCATGTCTACCTGGTCGAGCATGACCTTGACGCGCACCCGGCATGAGCGCTGGGGGTCCTCGACGAGAATGAACTTGCGTCGTTTGCCCTCTGGTAGGTCTTTGAATTGTTGCTGGTGGTGCGAGGAGTGGTTGGGGGTATCATCTTCTGCCGGGCGTTTGTCGGCGGTGGTGGTGGTGGTTGCTGAAGAGGCTGGGGGGTATGATGGGTATGTAGAGCCGTTGAAGACATGGGCTGGTCTATCTGTGTATGTTGGTGGCTGTTGTTGTTGTTGGCGGTACTGGGCTGGGGGTGGTGGATGAATTAGCTTAGTTTACTTTTGAGGACGTGGACGTGGACGTGGACATGGACATGGACAGGGACAGGGACAAGGATGGCGGACAAGGGAGAGACAAGGATATGGATATGGATGGATGGATGGATGGTTGGTTGTATGGGTATATAGAATGGGAATTCGGCTGATAGATACACAGCTCAAATACAGTCACTCAATAGATAAGCATAAACATGAGAAGAAGAAGATGAAGATGAAGATGAAGATGAAGATGAAGATGAAGATGAAGATGAAGATGAAGAAGAAAACCTTTTCCCTAGCTCCCAAAGTCCCAGCACTCCTTGTCCGGCCCGCTCCAGCATACATGACACATAAAAAATAATCACAAGAAGAAGAAGTAAATGAAGTAGAAGAAGAAGTAGAAGTGAAGTAGAGTGGTTACATCTGCTGAAACATACCGCTAACATTGACGTCCTCTGCATGGCTCTCATGCGGCTGATGCGGCGGCAGACCCGGCAACGGCTGCTGCTGAGCCTGCTGCTGCTGCGGGTGCTGCTGGGGGTGCTGCTGCTGGTGCTGGCTGAGATGCGAGGCATGCTGGGCCACCGCCTTGCGATTATTCGCTTTAGCCATGCGCTTGACTCTCCGGCTCCTCAGCCGCGGGTCCTGATGCGAGTTGCGCCAGCTGTCGACCGCCCGCTGGATGAGGCCTCTCTTGCCCCTGAGACACGGGTTGAGCTCAGCCAGCGCCCATCCGACGGCGTTGCACTCTGTTTCGTAGACGAGCCTGTTGCCGCGGTACTGGTCCTTGGTGCAGCAGGCGCGCGGGTAGACGCAGTTCTCGGTCTTGAAGTCCTGCGGTAGAGTCTCAATGTTGATGTTCTCGACGTCGCAGCGGATGGTGTATTCCATCTTGACGCGGTCGCGGGAGTACTCGAAGGCGATCCACTGCACGCCGTTTGTGTCTTGCCGGACGACGAGCGGGGTGGTTGCCGGGATGGGCCCCGGAGCGGCGCCGGAGTTTGTTGTTGGCGAAGAAGACGTCTGGGGCCTGCTCTCGAGCTTCATGCGCGGGCTGACCTGTGACGGGCCCTGGGGAGGCTGCTGCTGCTGCTGGTGCTGCTGCTGCGGCGGCGGCGGCTGCTGAGGGTGTTGCTGCTGCTGCTGGTGCTGCATCTGGGGCATGGGCGCGGAGACGGGGCTCATCAGCATGCCCTGGGTCTGGGGAGGGTGCTGCTGGTGCTGCTGGTGCTGCGGCTGGTGGTGGTGCGGCGGCGGCGGATGTTGCTGGTGCTGGTGCTGGTGAGGCTGTTGCTGGTGCGGCGGCTGCTGCTGGTGGTGCTGGTATGGCGGGAGGGAGCTCATGGGCGAGTACTGGGGGTAGGCAGCGGCGGCGGCGGCGTACATGCCGAGGGCTGGCGGTTGGGCGTAGAGCGAGCGGCCATGCTGGTCCTGCTGGGCGACGGAGGAGGCAGGGTGGTAGATGGGCGGGTAGGGCCGCTGCATGTGCGCCGTCGCCATGATAGAGTAGATGGAGAGTAGATAGAGAGTAAATAGAGAGTGAGGTAGAGTGAGTAGAGAGAGTGAGGGTAGAGAGAGAGAGAGAGAGAGTGAGAGTGAGAGAGAGTAGATGGTTGGTAGAGAGAGTGGATGTCTGGGTATGGTATCGGGGACGGGGAGACGAGGGAGAGCTTATAAGGACAGGAAAAAGCAAGCGAAGAGGTCGAAGTCGAAGTAGAAGCAGAAGCAGAAGAAGCAGAGTGGAAGAAGAAGAAGAAGAAGAAGTGGAAGACTAAAAGAGGAGGAGACTAAGAGGAGAAGAAGGTTCGGAAGTCAAAAGGGGATCAACGCGCGCCCCGAAGATCTAGAAGAAAGGCGTTGTCATGGGCGGGCAGGCAGGCAGGCGGAAGGGCAAGGGAGCAGGGCAAGGGCAAGGGTGAGACAGCAGAGTAAGAGTAGGGGGAGGGAAAGTTGCTTTTTTCATTGTTGCTTTTTTGCTTTTGCTTTTTTGCTTTTTTTGCTTTTTTGCTTTTTTACTTTTTTACTTTTTGCTGTTGCTTTTGCTTATTTTACTTTTACTTACTCCGTACATACGAAAACGAGTCTATCTCTCTCTCTCTTCTCCATTACTCTCTCTTGCTCTATTATTACTCTATCATTACTCTTCTACTTTTACTCTTTTTGTCTTCTACTCTACTCTCTACTCTCTACTCTATCTACTTCTACTCTACTCTCTCTTATCTGCTCATCGCCTTCCTTCTTGAGAAGTCGTCGTCGTCTTCTCCTTCTTCTTCCTTTTCGACTACTTCTACCCTCCTTCCTAATCCGACTTCCCCCACGCTTGGCGACATGTCTTGGCAAACAAGGAGATGCTTCCTCTTTCGGTTAGAGCTCCCGAGGGGATCCACTCTTCCAGAAGCAGACAGTGAAAGTTTAATCGAGTAGAGAAGAAGAAGAAGAAGAAGACAGTAAGAGAAGACAGTAAGAGAGAGTAAGAGACAGTAGAGAAGAGAGTAAGTAAGTGGGAGAGAGAGAAGAAGAAGAGAGGGACATTCACCACTCACCACTTGCTCCTCTTACTCTCACTCTCTCCTCTTACTCCTCTTTACTTTACTCTTCTCTACTGTCTTCTCTTAATGCTTCTCTCTCTTAATACTTCTTCTCTTAATACTTCTTCTCTTAATGCTTCTACCAACCCAGCGCCGATCATGCAGGCATTCCTTATGTAATGCCAACCCAGTCAACCTTCTCCTCTGAACCACTCCCCACCTTCACTCTCTCTTCTTCTCTTCTTACTCTTAACTAAACTACTTACAACAAAGTAAGTACTACTGGGCTCCTCCACCTCCATCCGCCCGCCCATCCCTAAGCGAGGTTCCCTTGTCCCCTACTTACATTACTCTCTTACTCTTACTCCAGTCCTTCCCAGGCACTAGTATCACTCCTGCTCCCTGCCCGAGCTCCAGACAGGCACGATGCTTGTTTCGTATCCCTCCCCCCCTCGTATCATCTTACCTTGTTACTGAGAGAACAGCCAGAAGTTGAAAAAGAAAAGAGAAGAAAAAGAGGACAGCGGCTAGCGTCGAACATCACCTTCTCTTCGAACCCGCTCAGCTCCTTGTCTTCCCGCGCCATCCCTGCCCACACCACCCTTATACCACCGTCTGATAAGCGCTCTCCAGGATGTTTCACCTTCGACGCTTTTCAAGAGTAGGTACTTCATCTCCTACTCTTACTACTCTCTTACTACTCTCTTACCGTACTCTTACTTTCATATACTCGGTCGAGTCCCCGCACCCGCGTCTTCCTGGCCGTCCACTCTGGCTTAAATATCCGGCCGCAGGTTGGGAGGGGGGGTAAGTGGGAGAGGGGCCAGCCAGGCCAGCAGGATCAGGATCAGGATCAGGATAATTTCTCTCTCTCGTTGATGCTGCTGCTGGCCAGTTACTCTTCTTCTGTCGGCTAGATTTGCTTTTTCTCTCTCTCTTTTCGACTGAACTGAACTGACTGACGGACTGCAATATCATTCTTCTTAACACCGGTGTGTCAGTGAAGACCTGGCTGTCTCTGCATCTATCTTCCTGTCTGTCTGCCTGCATCCTCCTGTGTAACGACTCAAACCTCCCATTCGACAGGCGACTTTCCCCCTCGTCACACCCTTCTTCTTCCTCTCCCTCTTCCATCGGCTATTCAAGTACTCAACTCATAAACACAGTAAGTAAGTAGTATTGTAGTATGTAATAATAATGCTTTTAACTCCTTTCTTTTTCGCTGCTTCGCCTCAAATCGCCTGATAGAGTTAATATCCTGCATTAAACAAATACTTCCACCACACAACTTAACACACTTACTTACGATAGATAGCCCGTCAACCAACCACTCACCTCGCTCTCTTTCTCTCTCGCTGTCAATCTCATCTCGTCTCTCTCGTCTCTCGCTCTCCCGCAGCCCACTCCCGTCCACCCGCAGCACACTAGTGCATGTCGTGGTTTATGCTATGCTACATTATATCCCCTTTCCTCTTCCTCTATGTACGTATACTTCCTGCGCTGTCCTCGTATCGATCTCAGCCTGCGTCGCACTGCCTGGCGCTCCTGTACGAGGCCGCCCCCCAATCCCTCACCCCCTTTATTTCACACACTCTCTCTCTAGCTAAGCACTTCCCTAAGCCTAAGCCTAAGCGAAGCCGCTTTCGGATAGTCGCTGGCTGGCTGTTATGCTTAACCTGTTCATCCCCCCGACCGACCGTCTCTCTTTTTCCTTACATTATTATTACTTTCACCCAGACCCAACTAGTCAACTAGTCATTTTACTTAGTGTACGAGTCTAGGAGGTTAGGAGCTGGGTTGGTTCATGCTTTAGTGCGATAAAATACTTCCGGAAGTTTCGTGGATGGGCTCCGTCTTTCCACTGAGGTTCAAGGGTCTGTCTTGCTTCTGCTTTGTGCCGGATGGGCTGGCCTGGCGATCCTGGGACCGACCGACCAGTCGTACAAAAACGGTTGGCCAGCAAGTAGACAGCAGCATCACTGCACTGCATCAATAACACAGTCGTAGTCATAGTCATCACACAGTGAGATGCAGGTAGATGTGTAAGTACATAAGTTAGTTGATGTAGGAAAGAAGGTAAGGTGATCCCTGAGCTTCTCCAGACTCGCAAGGAATCGACATGCCCTTTATTTTTTTTAAAGTCGTTTTTCCTTTTTTTTTTTTTTTTTTTGTAGACGGCGAGGCGAGGGTGAGTGGGAATGAATTGTGGCTGAGGATTTGGGGGGATGGGATGCGGGCGGGAGGAGTGGACAGGACAGCAGGCCATTCAAGCAATTTAATTATTATTATTATTACCCATTTGTTTGTTGTCCCATGGATAGTCCGTAGTCCGTCGAGATAACAATGGTAGTAGGTAAGTAAGTACGGAGATAGCAGCGAGAGAGTGTGAGAGAGTAAGGGGAAGACAATTTGCATGGGTGGATGGATGGATGGATGGATGGGGATAAGGGCTTCGGAAATGAGCAGCGAGATTAACGGAGAAACACATAAGAAAGTCGTTAAGCAGAGGATGTTAGAGGAAGGTGAGTTTAGATGTGTGGTCTTCTTCTTCTTATTTTTTTTTTTTTCTTCTTTTTTTCTTTTCTTTCTCGAAGGTACATACATATAGATAACTAGCTTGGTAGAGAGTGAGAGATCCACTGGCTGGGATGGGAGAGCCTCACGAGGAAGCTTGACGGGCTGGGTAAGGATGGCTGGCTAGTTAGGGGGGAAGGGGGGAAGGGGGAGGGGAACGCCGACAGGGGAGAAGCAGGTCAGTAGGCAGTTTAGGGAACCGCTGGCGTGGGAAGGGGAAGCACAGTCGCCGTCGCGCATCTCAGCAACTAAGCAGTTATCCATACTCTACTATCCATATCCAGTGTTTATGGAGTACATGTTTAAGTTGGTAAAAAAAAGTCAAAGCATTCTCGACAAGGACTAACATCCATTATCTGTTGGGATGGGCTTGTGTGTTCAGCTCGTTGGATGCATGGCAGTTTTTTTACGGACCTCCATGCAAACGTGGCGAACAATGGGGTCTTGCTCGTCCATCAAGTGGTCAGAGCCAAACCAAAGGTTGCCAAAGTCACGTCGTCAAAAGCTGCCCTGTGCATCCTGACTGGGTAGATCGAAGGGGAAGAAGGGGGGGGGCGGGCTCGTTCGTTCGTTAACTAGTTATCATTCTCAAATCCCGCGAGCCAGCCAGTTAGCCAGCTAGCCAGCCAGAGGGCCCCATCGGAGTCCTCTCGTCGTCTCTTAATAAGGGGCGATATAGCCTGACTCGACTGTCTTTGAAGTCCGTTCCATGCCTGTTCTCGGTCCGCAGCTCTTGATTGGCAGGCAAGAGTCAGTAGTCACCCTTCAGGGACCCAGTACATAAGTGTGCGGGACAGGAAGAAATAATAATGGCAATCAAGCAACAACGAACAAGAACGGAAGAAAAATAAAAAAATAAAAAACATGATCAGACCAGTGCATATAGATGTGGGTATGCATGCAGGGCAGTGTGTATAGCAGTGTTTACTTATAACCATCTCAGGTCATATCATGTTCGACCAACGACCGCCAGAAGACACTCGTCCCCCAGAACGGCGCCGTATTCGGTTCAAACTCCGGCAGACGCACTGACTGGTTCTTGCTGTACTCTTCCAGCACCTCGTCTCTACTCATTATTATTGTCGTTAGCAATAGATTATCTCCAAATACGGAGTAGAATAGAACATGAAAGACTCACGTAGATGTCTCTAATGGCCCACCGAAGAAGACCGCAGGCCGTCTAGCCAGCACCTCGACAAGATGCCGTCTCTCCATGCCCGGCCCAAACACCACCGTCTGCTCATCCACCATGCCAAACGCCTCTCGCCGCACCACTTCCACCCCCAACGAGGCCAGCAGCTCGACGTCCAGCCTGTTGAAAACCGGATCCTGGGCATAACACCGACACGCCCTTTTACTGTTGCTCTCCGTCGCCGTCGCCGTCGCCGTCGCCGTGGTTGTCGTCGTACCTATTGTATAGAGAAAAGAAAAAAGTGGGGGATAAGTAATCCGTTAATCTTACGTATCGCCACAACACCGACGCATATTATTGCTATTATCATGCTTTTTTGTTTTTTTTTTTTTTTTTTTTTTTTTTTTTTTTTTTTTTTTTTTTTTTTTTAAATTGAAAAACAGACGGAAGGTCATGTCATGTCACGCTTTAATTATATGAGAGCGGGTAGACATGGGATATTTTAAAATTATTATAGCCTTTTTGTTTTTGTTTTTCTATGCGAAAGCGAGAGAGAATGCGAGGAAGAAGAAAAGGTACGTACGTACGGGTATTAGGAGAGAGAAGGTCGATCAGAGAGATGAAGGCCGCCAGCTGGAAGAGCGAGACGGCTCGACGGTCGACCAGCCCGCCGCGAAGAAAGCCGCTGGGACTCCCAAGGGCGATGCAGATGAACTTGCTGTTGTCCTTGCTGCTGCCGACGGAGCTGGCGATGGGAGAGGCTGCGATGGCCTTCCAGGTCTGCGAGGCCAGCCATTTTTCCTGGTGGGCGTCGAACTGCGCGCGCAGCTGGCTCAGCGTCAGCCCGTCTGGCATCTCTGCTGGTATAAGCTGGTCTGTCGTAGCTGTCGTTGTAGCTGTAGTCCTAGCTGTAGTTCTGGTTGTAGTGGCCACCCGCCTGGTGTTGGTGATATGAGTCCAGCCATCGTCGTCCTGGACAGCCACTCGCCGTCGCGGGACAGCCTGCGTCTGAGACTTAGTCTTCTTCCGCGGCATCCTTTCAGTTGCAATTGTGATTGTGATTATTATTAAATTATTATCATTATCCGCTGCGTTGTTCTTGTGAGGTTGAATTAACGATTGTGTGGAGTTCCTCTTCCGGCCTAGTCGAGCCATCCATCGCCATCAACCATCCAGACTTCTACTTAAAAGCTAACTTAACTGGCTTAGACACGCCAAAACGACGACCATCCCGACGCCACGCCTACGCCTGGGAAGATCCTGCGTCCATCGCGAGCCAGCCATGAAGCATGTCCACCACGCGAGCGGCAGGCAACAGGCAACAGGCAAGCAACAGGCAAGCAAGCAAGCAACAGGCAGCGGTTGCTCAGGAACAAACACGAGCCCATGAACCACTTGAACCACCAGCCAGCCCGTCAACCCCTTAGCCGCCAAGTCAGGTCGAAACTCTGGTAACTCACAAGCTAAAAAAGGGTCCCCTCTCCTCTCCTCCCCCCCTCCCCAAACGAACTCCACGCTAGATGCCAACGAACATTCCATGCAGATACTTCTCAGATTTAATGCTCTGGTGGATGGGCGGACGGGATGGACATGGTCATGGATTGCGCTGGATACTTTACTTTTCGCTCATCATGGACATGGGCTCAGGGTACAGGAAGTTATGCTTCGATGGATACGACAAGGGCCGGGGGGGGCTTGGACAAGGGACAGGGGACATGGCTGTGGTCATGGACGAGAGGAAGTTACGAAGTTTCTCCCCGCGGCCGCCCGTTAAGACTAAAGAGAAAAACGAACTCAACTCTGGACGAGATACTTAATTTTCTTAGCTAAACTTCCAGCTACGCTAAGCTAAAGCGAGAAAGAGTCAAGACTTGCACGCCCGGGATCTGCTGCGGTTAAACTTGATGCAGTTACATAAAGGGAGGGTGTGTGAGAGAGTGATAGGCAGATACCCCGAAATACCCGCGGGATGACGATGCCGATGACGATGACGATGGGATGAGCAGCCGGGCGGGTTTGAGAAGAGTACGAGCCGGACGAGACGATGGCTTTTTACTTATTTTTCGCTTGTGTCAGATCGGTACTTATTTTATGGGGCGTGGGCGAGTTCGATGGTCGGTGTAAGAAAAATTAGCAAAAAATATGGGCGACGGAAGACGGATGCGGAGGAGGGTCAGAGGTGCCGATGTGGACGGTGAAGCGCTTGGCTGGCGATGGGAGTTACAGCTGCAGGAGACCAGACGAAGGATGAGATCATAAGATGGGGATGTTATATTATTAAGATGGGGATTTTTTTTCTGGAGATGGGAGATGATGGAGATGCGCGAAGACGGGCCAAAATGTTAAAAAACGCGGATGATAACGAGGAGGGTGTCTTTTTTTTCATGTGCAATCGGCCATGGATAGCCGATAGCCGGAGAGAAGATGAAGCCAGCTAGGACGTGACGGGCAGGCAGTTGGAGTCTATCTCGTTTGGCTCGACGGCGTTGGATGTTTGGGTGAAGACCAGTGGAGGAGCTCTACTTACTCCGTACTTGAGATTACTCTATCTCGCTATGGACTACTCGATCTCAGGAGCAGAGACTGTCTTTGTGATGGTAAATGCCGCGTCGCAGTCTCTCCCTTGTATAAAGACAGCACTGAAGCCATCTTCACCTTCTCTTCTTTTGGACTATTTGAAAACTTCTGCTCTGTTATGGTAGTGGATGAGCTGAGAGTTGATGGAGTCGACGGACGGTGGATATAAATATCAAAGACACCTCACAGCTTGACGACTCACGACTCACGATTCACGACTCCACGATTACTGTTGGCCCCCAACTTACGCAGAGTATCCAGAACGATGATGAGCGAGCAGTCAGAAGCAAGAAAATTCTGCTTACGGAGTGAGTCCCTGCAGCCGCCCTGCCTCCTCCCTTGTCCCTTGCTCGCATCGCACAGCCAGTCAGTTGCTATTCTTGCTCCCTCTCGATCCACCGCGGCGCTAACTCAAGCATAGCCAGTTCCCCATCTACTCCGGGCTGAATAGCAACAACAAGAACAAATGCAAAACTTGGCTCCTGACCTGTGAATCTCGAGTAGAGCCTCGCTTCGGACGAGATGTCCCTTTTCTCGCTGTCGCTCCGTACCGTCTCCTCCTGGGGCGGCCGAGGGAAAAAGGAGCATGCCTAGCAGCAGCAGCAACTTCAAAAAAGGACCAGACCAGGCGGAAGAAGCAAAGTTAGTCTGCTATCGGGGGCGCTTCGACGATGATCTGACCTGGCGAATAGGAAGCAGAGATGCCGCTGCGGAGGCCTGTGATGGTGAGTTGCGATGCTGCAGCTTCGCCTGTGCCAGTCACATCCGTATCCATGCAGCAGGCGAATCAGAGGCTCAGGATGGCCTTTGACGGGAGACAGGGATGTGAGCCAGAGCCAAAGGAAGTTGAAGGAAGGACAAGCAGAGCAGAGGTCGAAAAAGCGCAGAGAGAGACAGAGATCGAGAGAGACAAGAGTCGCTGCTGGTCGAAGGCTTACAGGGGCGAGTCTTCTATCACATCGTTTAACCGCCCAACATTCCCAGCCAGACGGTTAGGCCGGTGCTATTGGCTGTGCTCGACTGGCAAAGGGGACTTCTCTTCGCTGCTGTTTGCTGGTAGATGGCCTGCGATCCCTGTCGCAAGTCACCTCTTTGCTTCTCGCCGCCCCCAGAGAGAGAAAGAAAGCAGGACGGGCCCTTGAGGGTTGCTGACCGTGCCGCTGCGACCGCCTGCATGACCCTGAGCCCCCTCCCCCCAGAAAGAAGTTGACCTCTTCTTTATTTAACTACTTTGCTTCTTCATCTCGACTGAGGCCGGCGGCTAGACAGACTGCTATTACAACCATCTCTCCTCCTCGTCGTTGTTCGTCGTCGTTCGTCGTTATCAAACTCGACTCTTTCAGCCGTCCATATCAAAAAGACGACAGACACCTCATCATGAGGACGCACTTCTCGCTAGGACCCTTCATTGGAGTCTTCCTGACTCTCGCCTTTGCGACCCTCGCTGCAAAGGGACACACGGTCATCGTCTACCCGGGATGGAGAGAGAACAACCTGCACAGCAACGGCACCGTCGACGAGACCAACGGCGCCGGCGTGGCCATCAGATCAAACACCTCTGAGCTGCTATATCCATACGGCATGCAATGGATCTACCCATGTACGCATGCATTCCTTCCTGTTCCTACAACTTAATCAGAACGTCCAGAAACTAACAGACACAACCACCTCCAGGCGGCGGCACAGTAACCAGCACGAACAGAACAAAATGGCCCATCAATGGCGGTGCCATCTCCTTCCAGCCAGGATGGTTCCCCGGCCACAAGACCGCACTCATCTACATCAACCTGGGCATGGGCACTACTCCCCTCAACATGAGTCTGCCCATGGTCCCGCCCTTCCAGATAACCGGTCCAACCGTTGCCCCGTACCCAGGCACCTTTTGCCTCCCCCAGGTTCCACTCCCAGCCAACATCAGCGTTAAAGCAGGCGACAACGCTACAATCCAGGTCGTCGAGGCTGCCCGTCACGGCGCCGTCTTATACAACGTGAGACAACTCTAAATTATGTACATAGCTCTTTTTTTTTACTTTGTTTTTGCTAACAGCTGCAGTGCGTCGACATCACCTTCGCTGAACCAAGTGAGGTTGAGCCGGTGACAAGAGAAAACTGCTTCAACTCGACCAACATCACCTCCAGCACCATCTACGCCATCCCCGACAAGCCTACCAACGCAGCCCATGTCACTGCCGTCTTTACCGCGTTGGGGGTAATGCCTCTCCTTCTTGCCGGCTATTACTTTAGCATCATGCTGTAACGCAGACAGCCAGTCTCCCTGAGTAGTGAAAAGAAGAAAGAAAAAAAGAATGTCCCTTATGCGACGGAGTTGTTGATTCCTCTCTCTCTCTTTTTTTTCCTTTCAATTGATGTTTGTTGTATTTTATACCCCCTTTCCAGCCTCTTAGTTACTGTTTTTTTCCTTGCTTTCCGTCTGGTTTGGCATCTCATATGGATATCCTTATTTGTTTTCCCGGGTCGATTAACGCCGGCATCATGAAGCTATATAATGCATTGGATGGCTTTGCAGTCATATATGATCGATTCTTTATTGACGATTACTGATTATTACTGATTATTATTGATTGATATTATGGTCGGTCTATGGTTATTAGATGGTATATCCTTCTCTAACTTGGGGGCCCTTTCTGCAAAATTACTTCTATTACTGCCAATGTATGAACGCCGCAAGAGCATCAACCACCTCCTGCGGCTTCTCCTGCGCCAGCCAATGTCCCGCGTCGTCGACTATTACTTCGCAGAAATCCTCGCATACGTTGTTGGCCAGCTTCTCGATCGCGCCAGGTACCTGGTACGTGCCCCAGTCCCTTGCGCCGCCAATATACAGACACGGACAGTCGATCTTCCGGCCAGCAAAGATGTCCAGGTCTCGTTTGAAGTCGGGACAGGAGCTCGTGGCCACGCGGTACCAGTTCAGCCCGCCCTGGAAGCCCGTACGCCCAAACTCGTCGACGTACACTGCCAGCTCCTCGTCCGGCAGCCAGCTCCGCGACTCCTGCACGGGCAGCGGCGTATCCAGAGCCACGCTGAAGGCCACGGCTTCCGGCATGGAGGCATACAGGGGCATGACGTAGTAATCCGGCATCTTCGCGAGCTCCGCGGCCGTCCAGGCCTGAAGCTCAACCGGCTTGTTGAGCAACCAGGTAGCGCTCTTGAGGTAGAAGTATCCGCGCAGGAACTCATGCAAGCCCTGGGCCGGCCGCACCATATCACCGTTCGCCTGCCGCGTAGAGTAGTACCACTTGTAATGTTTCCTGTTCAACGCAGCCAGCTCCCGGTGTATATGATCGTCGTCACCGCCGCCCTCGACCTCTCCCGAGAGCTCTCGCGCGCCGACAAACGGATGGTTCATGAAGGCCACGCGCTTGAAGAAATCGGGTCTGGCGAGAGCGCTGTACCCGGCCACCACGGCCCCGAAGTCGTGTCCGACAATGCACTCGACGCTCTTATACCCCAGCGCATGCACCAGCACCACCATGTCCCGCACGAGGTTCGTCACGGCAAAGTCTCTTAGGTCGACGTTGTCATAGTCTCGCGTGTCCCAGCCCGTCGTCCGCCCGAAGCCTCGCTGGTCCGGCGCAACCACATAGTACCCTCCGGACGCCAGTAGCGGCATCACCTTGCGCCACGAGTAAGCCAGCTCCGGGAAGCCGTGAAGCAGCAGTATCAGCGGCCGGTCGTGTGCAGCCGAGTGCCCTGCCTCGAGTATATGGAATGATATTCCGAGCGGCGCCGTGTCGATCTGTCTGGAGGTCACGCCTTCTGGCAGCGGGAGCGGAGGAAGCTGGAGGGCCATTGCGGGGTCTCTCTCTCTCTCTCTAACTCTCTCTCTTCTGTTCTTTGCGTGTTGCGTCTCTCTGTGTGTGCGTCTGATCAATATGTATATATGCGTAGTGTAGTTGCGGCGGGTTTGGTATCAGGTCTTCACGGTAGTCCGACTGTCTTCCACGTTCGGATATATCATAATTCTATCGGCGAAGTTCCGGCCTGCGAGTCAGCTTTCTTCGTATCTACACGCTCAGATAGCACACTTGCGCTGCGACTTAGTTCTCCTGCTGCATCCTGGCCTGCTATGCCTGAGCTGAGCCATGGGTGGCATGGTGGTGCAAGCAAAAAACGGGCGAAAAGCGCACAAGGCCGGAGGTTAGAAAAGCTACCAACCAGGTTCTACCCGCGGGTCTGTACCATGGATCAGCTCGAGTTTCTTGCTTCGTCCGCTCGTTGTCTTTTTTTTTTTTTTTCTCCCTTTCTTTCTGTCGCCTGTTCGTGGTCTGGTCGCCGTTGAAGCTGGCCCTGAAGCTGAAACTGGCGTGGATGCGCCGTTTGGTTGTGTTTCTTTTTCGGTGCAGAGGAAGAAGACGAAGGGGCTGCGGCGGAAAAGAGAAGCCCATCCAACTTTCTCTTCCTGCGCTGTTTCAACCCTCCCAGTCAAAACCACCGCCAGGCACGCGGCCACCCACCACCAACCACCAACCACCGACTTTTAAGAGCCAACCGCCTGCTTCTCCGTCGTTCGTCTTCTGGTATTATCGCACTTCTGCGTGTTGCTGTTCTCCATCCACGGCCAGAGAGTGATCGTCTGCGTCTCCGATAGCGTCTCCGGGGCGAAGCTAACTAGCGAGCTATCGATAGCTCTCTCTCTTCTCTGCCCTTGCGCTCCTGTTACAGATTCCAACCTGGCCACCCCGATCACCGCGGCCACTGCAGAGCGAATTCTCCGAGCACCAAGCGGCCATCGTCATCTCTCTGGGACAGGGAAGAGGCCTGTCCCGCTGTCTTTGCCTCTCTTGATGAATTCTCCGCGTTGAGCAGTCCAGCTATGTTCCGTCGCAAGAGGAGCGTCCGTCATGCTGTCAGTATCCAGGTTTTTATCTGCCAACTCCCCCCTCCAGCATCAGTGCCGAATATGATGAAGAGATAGAGTGGCTACTAACACTGGAATAGCCTCTAAATACCAATCCATCGCCCTCTGCGCAAACTGCTGCCCTCCAGGCGTTTCGAGCATCCCAGAATCCAAATCCCAGCCTGTCCTCCTCCGCCGCAGCAGCTGCCCTTCGAAGCCATACCCCTCCTCCAACACCCGTCAGAGATGTCCAGACCAAGCGTATGCTGCGCAGGAAGCAGTCTGCTTCGTCTATCAGCGTTCCTCCAGGAAATACGCTCCCAGATGGCAAGAATGGAGGGCTTCGGAGAGTCCGCAGTTCTGGGTCCATGACTGCAAGGACGTTCAGAGACCAGTCGCCGGCTCGCGGAGGCAGTGCCACATCGAACCCGGCTGATATGGTACCGGTTCCTCCCCTACCGCGTGGCTATGCAGCCTCTCCTCCGCAGAGACCTAGAAATGCAGACTTACCGGGCGTCCAGGGGACTGCTTCGGCAAATGGAGCGTCAGCAGCAGCGGCGATTGCTGGGCGTAGGGCACGGTCAGTGTCCAATTTGTCATTGGGGCCGGCTGATCTTGAAAGGGGTGGTAGCAGGAACTCCATTAATTTCTCCTATCCGATGAACAGGCCGAACTCGCCACGGTTATCAATAGCTTCTCTAGATTCACCCAGAGGGGGTGGCCTAGGCTCTCCAAGACTACTACAACAGCACCAGCAGCAAAAGCTCCCTACCGAACAGGCATCGGTACAGTCTACGGATAAACCAGCTACTGGCAAGCCACCGCCGCTGTCAGAGTCTCGACCAATGCTGGTTGATCAAGCCACACAGGTTGCAGACGACTCCTTCAACCCAATGTCAACTTCTCCGCCTGGTACACAGCAGACAGACAACAAGCCGGTGGTGAACGATACCGTTGCTAAACCTTCGCCTACTGTTACTGGTGGAACGCAAACGGATAGCCATGATGAAATACGTCATGCATCACCACCGCCAATCCTTGGTAGGAGGCCTTCGACAGTCCTAGAACTGCAGGAAGAAGCCGAGGATGACCAGCCTATCAAACAACATGTAATCCATGAAAGCGTAGATTTCACCAAGCAGCGTCCGATGGAAACTATCAAATTGAAGGAACCACCGCCTGTTCAACATGTCAAACCCAGGGAAAAACCACAACAGCAACAACAACAACAATCACAGCCCCAGGACTCTTCTGCGCTACCTACCCCAAATGTCTTCCACATCAGGCCTTCTTCCATCAGTCCAAACAGGCTCACACGCTTCTCCGAGCATCTGGAAATACCAGACTCGGAGAAAAGCCTACACAATCCTCCACCAAGATCACTTTCACCAGCTAAACCTGCCCTGAAATCGACCCCCAGCCCTTCCCTGGGAGCTCGTCCCGAAAGACTAACCTATCAACCGGGCCAACCAGGCAGTGAGACTTCCGAGGGGACCTCCCTGGTCTCTGACGATGGCTCAAGGGCGGGTTCGAAAAAGAGACATCCCAAAGTCAGCTTTGAGGACGAGACCGAAGTCATCGGCCATGGCATCAGTCCTCCTACTTCTCCAGAGTCTCTAACATCTCAAAGTCCCCGGGCACATACACCTCGGTCGTGGAGCGACAGTGTCATTCGGTCCAAATTCGGCGACGATGATTCGAACGACTTTGAGCAGTTCTTCACTCCACGCCCTGCCCTACCGTCATTTGGCAGCATTCGGGGTCGCAAGCCATCAAGATCAAAGGACATTGAGGATGACTCGAATCCAGCATTGGAAATATCATCTTCCTCTGCCGACCATGCAATTGGGGGGATCTTTTCTACTGCTGGTGGGAGAGACCAGAGCAAACATGATGCAAACACTAATCTGCAGCTGCCGCCTGAAGTGACATCACTGGACAGCACCGGATACAGCTCGCTATCAGACGACACTTCCAGCGATGAAGGACCAGAGCTACACTATTCCCCAGCACATCTCGATGGCAAGAGGGATGATACCACTGCGTCAAAGGATACACCCAGCCAAGCCAACGGAGCTTCCCAACCTCGCCAAATAGAGGCGCCAAATCACCTGAAGCCGACTCCCGCGATATTCATTCAACCTGCCACACCAGGTATGGAGGAGGTCGCGCACTCTAAAAGGCCATCCTCTGAGGTACCCAAAGACGAAAGCACGCACGGAGTTAACTCGTATTTCTCGGCAAATGATACAAGGCTTCAGGGCCGCGAAGAGGAAGATGGTGACTCTGACTCTAATTCGGGAAATAGCGTCTATAGTGATGCCTATGAAGATCTCTCGGACATGGAGGGCGATGGTTTTGGCTCTATTGATGCGATAGTCGATAGATCAGTACCATCCGTGCCGGAGCCACAGCAGCCCAGCGTCACGCATTCTCAGCCTCAAGAAAGAAACCAACGAGACGAATTAAACGGTACAGCCGAATCTTATGCAGCGGCCAATGTCACTCCAGAAACGCAGTCGCAACCTGCTCGTCCACACCAACCGGAAGGTACCGCTGAAGAAGGTGAAAATGGCTGCCAGGCTTTATCTACAGCTAAGACAGCTGGGAAGCCCTTATTCGAAGAGAAGACGACAAGCCCACCCGCAGCCTCATCTCATCCAAGCCCAAACATATGCTCTTCTGGACAATTCAACCGTCACTCACCCGCTCTTCGCCCAATCCTAGAATCCAATGGTTCAAGTGAAAACAAACCTGTCAAAGCAAAGGGGAAAGCCGCTCCTGCAATCCGTCCCCAGCGGACTATGTCAAATGCAAGCGACTCATCCAGCAGTTTCAAACGGCCCAAGAGATTCCGTTCAACGGGGCGCTATACCCTACGACGAACCATGAGGACGACCAGTGCTGATCACATGGAAGTGCTATCGGACGGCGGTCTGCCTCCTACAAAGACAATTGACCATTCATTAAACCGCCGACCGTTCTCCTCTAACGATAGCCGTCCAACGATGCGAACCACGCTGCGTCAGCCTCCAAGCACGGCCACTTCGAGATTCTCTGTGTTAACCGGCCGAGGCAAATCTACAAAGGCAAATGGATCATCAGCAAAACATCAGCCGTTTAAATCAAGATACGAAGATTCTAGCGATGAAGAAGGCGGGGCTATCAAACTCAGGCCTGTCCGGGGTATACCGAGGAGACGAAACGAAATAGAAGGCGACTCGACCGACCTTGACGATAGTTCCGAGGACGAGGCTACCAGACATGTTCTACGACGGAAAAAGTCGATTAAGGGTGACTCAAGGGCTATTAAGGACCCCGCCGTTGCTGCTGCTGTAGCAAGGCTAATGGCCCCGAGAGACATTGAGCAATCAGCTGCAATCTCCGCCATACCAGGCCCTGAACAACTTCCTGAGTTCAACATCAAACACAGGAGTGGTTTTCTTGGGCGTCTTCACCTGCCAAAGAACAACAAGCTACGTAGAGAGTCAATACTACGAAAGCCTGATATAACCCTCGAGCAACCAAGGCTGGGGCTGGAACAAGCCACCATTGCTTCCCCGGGCCTACCAGAAGAAGACTACGCAAGATCCACATCTGTCAATGGACACGTATTGGAAAGTTCGCGAAGTGATTGGCAGCCACTATCACCCAAACTGCAGAAACGAGCAAGCAAGCTAATTCATCAGCCTGCTGGTGATTCCTGGCCTCTTCGTTCAAACGGGCACACTGCATTCTCTCTACCATCGTCACCCAGTACGACCGAGAGAAGAAGGCCAACAGTGTTACCAATACAGGAAATCACTAATGGCAAGGACTCAGACACTCGCCCTCGGACAGCAGATAGTGTGGCAGCACAGAATACAACACAACATACAAATACAGCTTCTGTACCGAACAGCCCAATGAGTCCGGCTAGAACAGAAAGATCTCTCTGGACATCTCGGTTTCGGCCTTCTAGACGTGCCACAGATGACAATTCGACTGTATCAGCGGTATCAGAAGTGCACCTCTCATCATTGCGGAATGAGATTCCCCGACATAAGAAAAAGGGCAGGTTTCCAAGGCTGAAAAAAGTTTTTGGAATTTCCTAAAACAAGATATCTACAACAACACCAATCGGACCGTTGATCAATGCCATTCTCTGATATATTTTACATCCCCTGTTCAATATTTTTTTTTTTTCATTACACATCAATTAACTCTCCTTCAGCCCAATATCTCTACTTACATTCTCTAGTCCGCAGATCATCTATCCCCCTCCTATTTCCTTAAAATTTGCCATAAAAATATTTATTTGCTTCTTGATATGTCGTTGCATAATATTGGCATCAGGTTTATGTTTCAAGTGAAATCCCAAAAGCACCACGATAATAATGTTTTGACTGTTTAGTATGGCTCCTTTTCTTTCCCCTTTCACCCACCCATACATTCCATCTTCCTGCAGATAGATTGTTTTTCCTTCTGTCCTTTTAATGTCATGCCAATAATGATAATAACGCTTGATATTTGTACCACTTTTAATCCAGCTCATATACGAAAAATCAATACGTATTTAAGTAGCACGGCCCTCTGAATAAATAAACCAAGTAAAACCCAGCCATCTATGCTCCATTCACGGTACCAGCCAGAACCATCTGCCCCCAGAAATAAAGGCCCCATCCAACAGAAGCCTGGAGCCAGAAATACCCTCCCTTATCACCCGATTTCTTGCTAAACGCATCTTTTGCAACAAATAAATCACTAATGACAAACATTACAGCTCCCAAGCTTCTTTGATTCTGCATCGACATGCTCGTCGGGAGTCGCAGCACCGGTACCGTCGAAACAGCAGAAGCAACCATACAGCTGATGATCAACGTATACAAACACACCAGATGCCGCATATCATCCGGCACAGACAGACGCAACACATTTGACCTCATCAGCGAGGCGTTTGCCTCCAGCTCACTTCCTGGACTCGGGTATAATACCCCCAGCCATCTCGCAGCAAGTAACGAGGCCATCGCCACACTCACGAAGACAGGCCATGATATGCTTTGCGTATCTTCCAGAAAGGCAAGGATATACGCTATGTGAGCTGCAGCGAAAGCACCGATTCCAGCCTGGAATGACGCCGATATAGACACTTCCTTCTCAACCTTGGGTTGGTTTGGGTTTTGGGACTTGGTGTGTATGCTGTACTCGCTTCGAGAGGGTATTAGGAGGAAGTCTCCGATGAGAGAGAAGAAGAGGCCCCAGGTGATGTAATTGCGGTAGGGGGAGGGTTCGTTGAGGGTTAAGAGGAGGGCTCCTGAGAGAAAGGCGAGGGAGGAGATTGGTTTGGCCAGAAGGTGGCCTATGTATATTGAGTTGACCTCGCATAGGACCAGGATGGGTAGGGATACCAGCAGGAGGTACACTGCAGCCTGTGGAGGGAGACTGACATCCATCGTGAGGTGTGCTTCGTTATCCGTGAGTGGATGGTTCTCATGAAGTTCATGAAGCTGATGCAGCAGCAGCAAATATCTAACAGCTGCTCGTTATCTCCAAACCTGGAAGACAGTTTTCTATCTGCACCGAGAAGACCATCGCGGCCCGAGGTGAACCAAGGCAGGATGCGGGACATGTGACTTCTAGGTATAGCTTACTACCCGATCCGGCAATTCTGACTACAGCTTCATCTTTGCTGCTTGAGACGCCATACCGACGCTGATTCTACTCTTCAGCTGATGCGTTCAATTGATAGATTCAGTTGCTCTTCGAACTGCTCATGCCCATACTTACTTCTGATGGTCCTTGGGTAACTTTATGGCGGTTGACATAACCCCCATGTGACTTGCCGGGAGTCCGGTTATACGATAGATCGCTATGAATAACATTTTCGCGTCCAAGGAAATGCAGCTTCATCCTAGCTAAAACATGCATAACACCTGAGGTCGCCACTCGAGTCATTTGTTTTTTCCCTTTTTTTTACCCTTTTGTGTCAGTTTATCTGCACCTTTGGGAAAGCGGGTTTAACGGAAATAACAGCAATTCCCGGCGGTGACGCCCTTTGGGTCGTCCGAACGGGGTGGGGTATCAAAGAGCATGCTATTCAACCATGAGCTTTGAATTTTTGGTACAGTCTGGCTGGATCTAATATATATATAAAAGTCCCCTGGGATTCCGAAGAAAGGACGAATTACTACCTCTTCAAGGAAACCTGGACGTGAATATGCCAGAGAAGGAAACAGAAAACGTTATCTGTCAGGATGGAGTACTCGATGCCAATGCCAACGGTGGAGCCAAAGATATGGGAGAACTTGAAAGTGGCCATACCCAAGGAGAAAGAGGAGGAGAGGAAGAAGCGGCGATCTATTCAGCTTTCAAGCCAGGAACCAAGATTTTTATATTGGTGATGGCTACATTTTCATCCTTATTCTCCCCTATGTCGACAACAGTTTACTTGCCGGCCCTGACCCCCATTTCAGCCGATCTGAAAGTCTCGACTAACCTTATCAATTTGACACTGACCACCTACATGGTCTTCCAGGCCCTCTCCCCCACATTTTTTGGAGACTTTGCAGACACAAGCGGGCGCAGGCCTGCATACATTACCACTTTTGCAGTTTATCTAGCTGCCAACATTGGCCTAGCGCTGCAGAACAGTTATCCAGCACTTCTAGTGCTTCGGTGCCTGCAGAGTGCAGGAAGTAGCGCGACCATTGCTATCACGATGGGCGTGATGGCAGACATTGCAACTGTCTCCGAGAGGGGGAGGTATGTAGGCATGGTTTTGACGGGAACTTTGGTTGGTCCAGCTATAGGCCCTGTACTAGGTGGTGTACTTGTGCAGTACCTTGGATGGCGATCAACCTTCTGGTTTCTGGCAATTGGAGCCGGAGTGTTTCTGGTGCCGTATGTGCTTTTTGTGCCGGAGACATGCCGGAATGTGGTGGGCGATGGCTCTGTGCAACCGCCGTGGTGGTGGAGCCGCACACTGATGGATATATGGAAAGGCAAAAAGGCCCGGCCGAGCAAGGTGGAATGGGAAGCATCTCTGGCAGACCAAGGGATCAAGAGGAGGACGTCTAGCTTTCCTAACCCGCTGCAGTGTGCAAGATTGGCGCTAGAAAAGGACATCGGACTGATCCTAGGGGTCACGGCGGTGTTGTACGGGGCGTTTTACATCATGTTGGCTTCTGTCCCATCCCTCTTCAAAGAGATATATGGTTTCAACGAGTTCCAGGTTGGACTCTGCTACTTGTATGTCAATTCAGTCGTGGGTCATGGGTTCTCGTGGGATAGAAGTATTTTGTTTGCTAACGGATTTAAAGGCCAAGCGCAGCTGGGGGGATAGCATCAAGCTTCAGCATTGGCCACCTTCTAGATTGGAAGTTCCGGCGCATCGCTACGAGCCTTGGCCTGCCTGTGGACCGCAAACGAGCCCAAAGCCTGAAGGAATTCCCCATCGAACGGGCCCGGATTTCGCTCATGCTCCCACTCCTCTACGCCGGCATGGCCACGATGGTTGGGTACGGTTGGGCTCTTGAGCAGAAGGCGATGCTTGCTGGACCACTGATACTGCAGTTTGTGACGGGCTTCTGCACCGGTAGTGCCTTTACAGCAATGAGCACGCTGCTGGTGGACCTGTACCCGTTCAACCCGTCGGCGGTGACAGCAGCAAGCAACCTGACCCGTTGCCTAGTGGGAGCGGGGGCAACGGCATCGTTCAACCCTCTGATCGAGCGGATTGGAATAGGCTGGTGCTTCACGGTGTGGTGTCTGTTGACTGTGGGGGTTTCTCCAGGTCTCTGGGTAGTTATCCGATGGGGTCCGGCATGGAGGGAGCGGCGGCGGCGGCGGCAACAGCAGCAGCAGCAGGCGTAATCTCTCTGACAGCAGCCAAAGAGACACACGCATCCCATCGTGCTGCCATGGTAACACTACTGACAAGCGAAGCTGGCGGTAAAACAACACCGCAACGGAGGCCGGTGGCTGGCGCTGTCGCCCGGGCAACCGCAGCAGACCAAACAGGCCAGCCTAAAAAAGCCGAGGTCCATCCCCATCCCGTGATTAGTCATCGGCTGGCCTTTGTTTACGTCTCTTTTGCAGGCGCCGCGCGTAACACTGTATTGACGCCGTAACGCTGTAATCTGCACTGCTGCTCCGTACCAGAAACATCAGAAACATGAAAAGCAAGCAAGCGACCAGGAGGATCAAGAGGCCCCAGACATGGTTTTTGACATGTGGGCGATGCGCTGCCCGAGTTGCCGTCTTCTGAAGGCTGGAAATTGGGATGCTGCAGCAATGGAGTCGAGTCGAGGCCGATGGCTGGGGAAGGCAGCACGCAACGCCGGAGCTGGAACTGGAGCTGGAGCGAGCCAGAGCTGGGGAGGCTGGGTCTGAGAGCTTGCATGAGCTGGCAGTGTGGTGGCAACCAACCACCAAGGTCCACGACGTCTTCTCCATCGGCCCTTTTGTCTTCACTACTAACTGTCCTCATCGTCTCTCTCACTTTGTATATCCTTCTTTTCACCATCTCTCACTCACACACTCTCTCTCACTTGCGAGGTCTCTCACTCGGGGCCTGTCAAACCAGCAACCAGAGTTGAGATCCCGTCTGTAACGTAAAATACGTGGTACGGTACCAGGGACCTGTGCCAGGAAACCACGCTAGCCGCTTCTGGACGTGACATCGTAAAATAAACAAACAAAAGCCTTGTTTTCTTACCGTACAGATACAGGCCGCCTTTGGTCCTCCTTTTCTGCCGCAGGCCAAATAAGAAGTCGAAAACTTCCCAGCCTCCGACTTTCTCTTCCTTCTTCTTCTTCTTCTTCTTCCTCTTCCTCTTCCTCTTCCTCTCCTCCATCGCCAGCCTCGACTTCACTCCATCAATTCCATCTCAATTGACCTTCTTCCATCTCCCAGAACAGGACAGACGCCAGTCTATCTTCGTTCTCATCACCCTCTGTGCCCCTTCGTCCCCGTTGTAGCTGTAGGACTTGAGAGACCCCCGTCTTTTCTTGTCTCGCCTTTCGAATTGTCACCCAGTTCGAAAGGCATTCGAGAAAGGACGCCCCTCAAGCAGCCAATCTGGACTTTGACGCCCGCGTCCCCATCCCCTTCAGTGTCTTCCCGTCGTCGTACCGGAGTGACGCTGCTGCCGCTGTCTCTGAGTCGACTCAGGAGAGAGTAGAGGGCGAGGTCAAGTTTTCAGGTGCTTCGCGCGTCGGACGGGAAGATACTCGATACGAAGGCCCCCTCCCAGCACCAAGAACCTCTACCCAGCAAGCCACTGCTTCCTTTGACCAGCGCTTCGACAACGAGGAGTTCCGTCCTGTCACCGACTACAGACAAACCACTGTCGTAGCCCACGAGGAGCACCCCCGTCACAGCCACCAGCAGGAGCACATCCCTGAAGTTCAGCTTTCCCGGGAAAGGTTAGTCTTGTTTTCTTTGCTTTTCCCTCCATTTCCCTCCCTCTAACTAGAGTATTCTAGATACTACGAGACCAGAGATCGTCGAGAGACTGAACTTGATACCCAGCTTGACATCACTGAGCGTCAATACCGTGCCCGTACTGATCCTCGCTACCAAGCCCAGCACGAGTCTGAACCCCGCCAAGTTCGAGACGTAGACGTCGGGTACAGCAGCAGCCGTACCTTCAGCTCCGTCGAGAGACCTTCCGAGAAAGTTCGAGAAGTCGACGTTGCCTACAGCCGGGCCTACGAGACCGTCGACAACGCTCGTCCACCAGTCGAAGTCCGTGACATCGACTATCAGGAGCAGACCAAGAAGTCAGATACCCTCAACCTCATCTCCGATCACCGCGTAGTTCAGGAGCAGGACCCCAAAGCCAAAATGGGTTACTACGACGACGAAGGTCAGTACCACTCCTTCCGCCGCGGAGTCGAGCGTGCTGCCGAGCGCGTGTTGCACCCATTCCATCACCGCCACCATCACCACCACCACCAAACTCACGAAGATGGAATCATTTCTGACGAGCGCCGCGCCGATCAAGTTGTCCCACGTGAAAACGTCCGCGTTGTCCAGCCCCGTGGTGGACACCCACCAGACACCATCACCATCCCCTGCCACTTCATCCGCATCGGCGACCTTTTGATCCTCCAGGGCCGCCCTTGCCAGGTTATCCGTGTCTCCGTTTCCCAGCAGACCGGCCAGCACCGTTACCTCGGTGTCGACCTCTTCACCCGCCAGCTCCATGAGGAGTCCAGCTTCATCTCCAACCCATCCCCATCTGTCGTCGTCCAGAGCATGCTCGGCCCCGTCTACAAGACCTACCGTGTCCTCGACATGCGTGACGACAACCGCATCGTCGCCATGACCGAGACCGGTGACGTCAAGCAGGGTCTCCGTGTCGTCGACCAGGGCAACCTCTTCAACCGCATCGCCGATGCCTTTGCCGAGGGCCGTGGCTCCGTCCGTGCCCTCGTCATCAACGACGGTGGCCGCGAGCTCGTCGTCGACTACAAGGTCATCCACGGTTCCAGACTTTAGACAACCAAACCCACCAACCAGCCAGCCAAACAAAGGTACCTCGGCCCCAACCTTAACCTTATATTCTGCCTGTTACTAACACACACTTGTAGAGATACAACGAATTCAATTTCCTGTCATTTTGATCTATGTCTAGTTTGGATACCAGATGTATTGCCTGGGCATCAAATTTGACATGCTTGTTTCCTCTTTACGTCTCGGAATCCAATGTTCTATTTTCCTTTGTCGATAACTTGAAACTTAGTAGTAGTGAACACCTTTCCTTTGTCAGTGCCTGCTTTGCTTTCTTACTAACACGACGTCTAATCAACCTTGTAAAAATGAAATGGAAATGAAAGTTTGCTCTATGTAAGACTCTTGCCTTTCGTTAGCCCTCAAGTAGACGCTTTTTGTAGTACCAAAGTAGTGAATGACGTGTTGGTTTGCTCTATCCATGGGCCAGCCATCTAGGTGTTTGGTTCGAAGGGTTACATCCGTGGACCTAGACTGTAGTTGTAGTACATGGCTTCAGCAATACCTGTGATCTTGGTATATTGAGCAACACGAGATAACGGGTTCCAAGGTAGTTAAAGGAATCTTCATACAAATGTTACACTGTGGTAAAAAAACAAGTCGTTGCCAGGATATGTTAGTTGACGCTGAACTATGCTCTTGAATTTGGTAGACTCTTTGAATGGCTTCTTAGGTGGGAGCCAACCATTCTTCTATTCTTACTGAGTAGAAATAATATCTACACTCTGTCTGTGTCTTTCCTGTCTATATCGACATCTACTGTTAGTTACTGTGTATAGTCATTTCTCCATGTTGACGTAAAATTGAAGCTCATCATCTGTGGTCAATTCTTTCCACTGACTTGCTGGTAACTTTATAACCATCGCGAGTCCATTCCCTTGACGTCTACTTTATCTATATCCAACAACCATGACAGACAGGTTATGCACGGAGTAATCTAGCTACTGCCAGGGATGACGGCGTCCCTTATCTCGGGAGCAGCCTAAACCCGGTGGACTTTGTTTTCCGCGGCATTTTATCTCGCCTCATCCTTTTGGCGCCGTGCTATTGGAGGCAGAGCCAGTGAGCCGGTTTCGCGGGGCCTGCGTCTGTCGGAAAAGTATGCAGCGGAAGAAAGGCTACTGCTCGCTCATGGCCTACTGGTACAGCTACAGAGGGGCTTTAGCTTGGTCTATGAGAGAGGGTTGGTTTGTGCTGGTAGCTACCAACATCCGCCGGTGGCCTGATATCGCTGGTCATGCTCAAGAAACCCTCATACCATCGACTGACTAGCAACTTTAGTTACCCTACGAGACGCCCGAGTAAGCAACTAGATATCGAAACGAGAGGCAGACTCCAAAGCCCACAGGGCCACAAGACCACATTCGGGTCGGCTACCCACAACTGCTGCCTCCAGCGAATAGCAGCGGTGGGACAGCGAGACACAGAAGAAACCCCCGCATCGCAAGGTTTACTCGCTCCTTGGTCTCCTATTCGAAACAGGTTTCATGGCCGCCTTCGTGAGGCCCGTCGGGTGTCTCGTGTCGTCGCATGACTTCTGGCTTGTCAACCTGCAGTTAGGCCGATAACTATCATACTATCTACCATCCTCTGGGTTTGCAGATACATCACAAAGACAGAGATAATAGGGATGCACCATAGCTACCCAACCAAGCTACATGATACATATCAAACACCGCAGTTGAGTTAGCAATAAAGCATTCATTGGTTAGCTGAGAACTGATTATACGAATTGGAGGGCAAGCCCGATGGCGGGGAACAGCTGACTTAGGGAACAGATTGCTCCTTTTACTAGTTGCTCTTGCTCGATGGAATTGAACGACTTTTAACTAACTACTTAGTGAGCCATTCACCCGAGAGGTAGGTCAACTGCAACACTGCGTTTGATGCATACCTCACCCGTGCCCCAGCCATCCCCACCTAAGCTGATCGATACCCACGATGCGATCGGCGAACAAATCAAGACAATATCGTGCATATATATGGCCCCCATGCACGATAAAAGAGCCCTATGAGTTGGCGATATTTCATTCCAAACTGGAGTGAAGACAGGGGTATGATGTATATATACGTCTCGCCCCTCTACCTTACCTTCTACACCGCAAGTCCATATTATTATCTCCCAGTCCCGTATACATCTAACGAGCAGCAGACTGTCAATAGTGGTGATAATGGAAGCTCCCAGCTCAACAAAGCAAACGGATGGCCCTTTTCGTTTTCTCGATCTGCCCTTTGAAATTCGCCATGAAATCTACTCATACTGTATGCCCTACCATACCCATTTTGAGGAGATACGCTATTTCAGGGCCCGAGCTAGCTTTCCGCAGCCGGCAGTAAAAAAGTCAAACGTCAAGAACAAGAATGCCCTCCTCCGCGTCTCAAAACAGATAAGTGAGGAGTGTCTGAACATACTATACGGCAAAAACAGATTCTATATCACCCTCAACGCTTCGAAACGATGCCTCCTTGCCAATCGTATCACTACAGAGAACAGAGCTAGAATCAGAGATGTGGTTGTCATTGTGCGACACATGGGGCCCGCATACGGGCTACCGCCACCTGTGCCTGCAGATGGACTGTGGTCTTCGTTGCTCCCCGGCTTAAGACAGCTGAAGATAATTGCTGAGCAGCCCGTGCAATCTCCCAATTCACCCTTTGACCCAGCCTTCGACGAAAAGGTCAGAAGCTGGGTCAAATGGTTCGGCCTTCTGATGGAGTGTTTTGCGAAATATTTGACCTCTTATACCGTCGTCGAGGTGGACGAGAACGGAAAGGACGTCACTACGGAGCTTGTCAGGCAACATCTCACCCATAGCTATCGAGTGGTCAGAGACGATATCCACGGCGACTTTATTTTCCAGAGGGGGCGATTTGCCATACATGCATAGTATCCCATTGAGCAGCTGGACTACTCCAACCATTTTAACGATAACCGATTTTAATCCCTTTCAACGTTGTTGTCTCTCTCTTTGTTGTTCCTTTCTTGGACTGCATATTTTAGGGCATACTTATCTTTTTTTTCCACCTACATCCAACACAATTCATTCAACATCCCTTCTCCCTGTCCACGGCGCATCATAAAATACTCAAATCCTCATTTATGACCACCAGTGAATTTCATGGATATACTGTTGTCGACCGAGATATAGCCACGTGACTAGTTATTTATAGCTCTTGACGCACGGAATCCACTTTTTAACACTTGCTCAAGACCCACATCGCGGCTACTTCTCTGACTCCAACCACAAACGCGCTACCAAGTCGTTTGTCCTCCAAGCTCCAACGTCACAGATCCATCCCCTTGATAAAGAACGTAACTTTCACGACATCACGGAGTATTTTAAGCATTTTCGGAAGAAACCCTCATCCAAAACCAACCTTATTATCATCTGCTTAGTTATGGAGAGATCGAAGCAGACCTCTCACTTCCGTCTCCTAGACCTTCCCCTCGAAATACGTCGGGAAATCTACTACTGTTGCCTGCCTCGAGGGCGGCTGGTCATTCTACCATCGACGGCTGATGGCAAGCCGCAATTTAGCTACCCGCAGCAACCTTCTGATCAACAGATTTCAGGCCACAGAAACAATATCCTTCTTCTTTCCAAACAAGTAAGCGAGGAGTGTCTTGACATTCTCTATGGCGAAAACAGGTTCCGTCTGAGTTTCAGTGCTACTGTCCACTATGCACCTCGGACAATTCAGGAGACCACCGAACCGCATCTTATAACTCAGCACATCTCGCCCGAAAATCGCAACAGAATCCGTTTTCTGGTGATTTTAGCATTGCCGACGGCGTGGCGCCAGGATATGGCAATTTGCACTGGCTTGAAATCTGTGCCTGAGAAACTCAACTGTTTTCATATTTTTACTCGGAAAAGACAGGCTACAGGCGATGACACCGAGCAGGTGATACTTGAGCGTTTTCATCAGTTTGTGGAATTTATGTGTAGCCGCATAACTCCTCAAGCTACGGTGCGACTTTCGGATTTCGTGTCTAAGAATGGTAAGCCTCGGGGAGGTATGCGTCTAAGCATAGTAAGTGCTAGCAATAGCCCGAGTGTGAGCTACTATGCAGTGTGAAGTGGGTGATGCTGCGGTATATAATATGGATACCGTTGCAATATATTATACTATACGTTCATCGTCGCCCAGATTTCAAGTGCAACTTGGCGATTGAGTCGGCATAATGCTTAGCAGTAATCATAGATACAAGCCTCTTACTTCACTTGAGATTGTAAATAAGAGCTTTCTTACGCAGAGTAATCCATGCCAAATATCAAGCTAATAATGCAATACCAGATTCCCAAGTTTACGTATGGACATCATTCGTGTAAGCTACTGGAGTTACATTCCTTACAGGTATATTACGCTAGGGTCAGTAGCAATATATTGGTAGGATTTGACGCTGGTCTGTCCTTTAATAGTATGGAAGCATACCTTTTTGATATTTCCTAGTAGCTCATGACGATCGATGTTTAATTTGATAGAAATCAGTTAGTCACCTTAGAGGTGTTTTAAGCTCAAGGACTTAAATATGCTGCTGTGATGTTCACTAGGTATATAAGCGTTGTTAGGCTCCAAAAGCATGTAACTAACTACATGCTTAGTTGTAAGCGCTTACTATGATTACAATAGGTACCTGTAATGGAAGAGTTTATATGTGGGGCTTAGCATTTAACTAGTGGGGCTAACTTAGTTAACTCTAACTCTAACTAGTTAGTTGCACTGCTCAGGAAATTAAGTTAGTCAACTTAACAGTTAATTTGGTACGGAGTAACCAACTAAATAATACGGAGTAAGCGCTGACTTTCGGATATTCGGAAAGCGATTGCGCCCACCGAGCTCTCTCCAACCACTAGGTGGGTAGCCGTACTCCGTACCTATATGGGCATTTGGTCCATGCTAACTCCGCCTATTCATACATCCGGACGCAGTCTATTGCTCTACTTTCATTTCTTGCACAAGGCAAAACGCTCTCTTTCTCTCGCAATGGCACGAGTTGGACGCGTCGGGTTCCTTGGAACTGCGATCGTGTTCCATGTGATTTATATCTATTCCATTTTCGACATCTACTTCGTGTCGCCAATTGTACATGGAATGCGTGCATACAAAGTCGATACACCTGAACCACCCGCCAGGCGATTGGTTCTGTATGTCGGTACATTTCATCACTCTTTCCTGATCACATAGCCATTGCATACTGACCTAAGCTTCGCAGGTGATGGACTCCGAGCCGACAAGGCGTTCCAGTTCTTTCCCGACCCTTCAAGATCAGCAAACGATTCTTCTGCGCAGGATGTTGTCCCCATGGCCCCTTTTCTGCGCTCTCGAGTCCTTGAACATGGCACTTTCGGCGTCTCTCACACCCGTGTCCCCACTGAATCCCGGCCAGGTCATGTCGCCCTCATCGCTGGGTTGTACGAAGATGTGGCAGCAGTAACGACAGGATGGAAACTCAATCCGGTTAACTTCGACAGCGTCTTCAATAGAAGCCATCATACCTGGAGCTGGGGGAGTCCAGATATCCTACCAATGTTTTCCACTGGTGCTGAACCAGGACGAGTCGAAGACCAGATGTATGAGGCTGAGTTTGAAGATTATAGTAAGGATGCTACGGAGCTAGATTACTGGGTCTTTGATCGTGTTAAGAAGTTATTTAAAGATGCCGGTACAAACAAAGACTTGAATGCGAGGCTAAGACAAGACAGGATTGTGTTTTTCCTACATTTACTGGGCTTGGATACTACTGGACATGCACATCGACCATATTCACAGGAGTACTTGAGGAATATCCAAATTGTGGACCAGGGCGTACGGGAGATTACGGATATCATTAATCGGTTTTACGATGATGATAAGACAGCTTTCATTTTTACTGCAGACCATGGGATGAGTGATTGGGGGAGTCACGGAGATGGACACCCAGACAATACTAGAACGCCCCTAATTGCTTGGGGGTCTGGAGTTGCGAAGCCGAGGACGGCGAAGAGTGGCAAGGCGCCAGGTCATGAAGATGGCTTCTCGAGTGACTGGCAGCTGGATCATGTCTACCGCCATGATGTTGCTCAGGCAGACATCGCGGCTCTTATGGCGTACCTTGCCGGCCTGGAATTTCCTGTCAATTCTGTTGGAGAGCTTCCGTTATCATTTCTGGACGCTACTGATGAGGAGAAAGCAAAGGCTCTGCTCGTTAATGCGAAAGAGATATTGGAGATGTATCGTATTAAGGAGCGCGAGAAGATGGCTGAAGTTCTACATTACAAGCCTTACCCTGGCTTTGCTGAAACTAGCATCGAGAATCGTCTCGCATCCATTGAGGAACTCATCCAGGAACAAGATTACACAGCCGCAATACAACAATCTGACGATCTCATCAAGATTGCTTTGCAGGGCCTAAGGTACCTGCAGACCTATGCATGGCTATTTCTGCGAACACTGGTTACAGCGGGCTATCTTGGCTGGATCGCATTCTCTTTAACAACAGCCGTAGATGTCTACGTGCTTGATGGCAAGATTGAGGTGCAGAGATCACCGGGCCTCATTGTCAGTTTTGTCTCGATCCTGGTTGGGATTTATAGTCTGCTCGCTTTCCAATCGTCACCGATCACATACTACGCATACGCCTTCTTTCCAGTCTTGCTTTGGGAAGAGGTCTTTGCACGCTCGAGGGCATTGGCCGAGGGCAGGAAGAAATTATTTTCGCAGTTTTCAAAGAGTGATACAGTCAAGTTTGCAATAAACACCGCTGCATGTTTGGCGTTGCTGGAAATCATGGCGAGTACCTAAGTTCCATCTATCAATGCCTGCTGACAAGTTTCACAGGTTCAAAGCTACTACAATCGACAGGTCTATACGATTGTCTACCTGGCGGCTACCGCTTGGCCACTGCTCTACGGTGCAGATTTTGTCAAGACAAACTTCTTCCTCTGCGCTACATGGGCATTTTCTTGCGCAGCTATGAGCGTCTTTACCCTTCTTCCAGCCAACAAACTAGAGAACATAACTCTTATGTATGTGAACCCCATATGACATATTAATCATTGCTGACTCCATTCTAGTTCTGTCGGTGGTATCCTAATCTTTCTCGTTGGCTTTCTATATATTGTGTTTGAAAGGAGACTATTGGAGCGGACGGTGCTCTCAAGCGATGGGCAGAGCGCAGTAGATGCCAATGGAGTGTCGAGAGTGATTCTTGGTTTGCAAATCGGACTGGTTGCTATTTCAGTGTTTGTCACGAGGTCGAGTGTGTCTTCTCTGAAGGCGAAGCAGGGACTCCCGTTGGGGACACAGTTTGCTGGATGGACTACACTGGGTAAGCACTGTTTTGTTTTTTCCTCCCTGCAGATGTTATTAACCCTGTCCACTGTATAGCTTTGAGATATGCTTCCGAGTCTTGCACATTACGTGTCTGGGGCCTGTTTCCGCGCTAACAACGATGTAAATAGTTACATCTCTTGTGCTACCATTTGCCCATGTCTTGCGCCCACGAAAAGATCACCTCCTCCGCCAAATGATCATTTTCCTCGCACTTGGGCCGCTTTTCATAATTCTTACAATCTCTTATGAAGGGCTCTTTTACTTCGCTATTTCTATTACTCTCTTTAACTGGGTCCAACTTGAACACAGGATACATCGACGTTCTAAGAATGGCATTAGCATTACGTCCGGCGCCCTGAGCTCCAAAACGGGCCTAGAAGAGGAAATTTCAATGCCGCTAGCAGCGAAGCAGGGAGAGAAGGCTGCCATACAGGGGAACTACAGAAGTCTCGTCCTATCAGATGTAAGAGTCTGTTTGTTCTTCCTCTTCCTGCTTCAATCCGCCTTTTTTAGCACCGGCAACATCGCGTCAGTCTCTTCCTTCTCGTTGGACGCTGTCTACAGGTTAATTCCCATATTTGAACCCTTTAGCCAAGCGGCTCTTCTCATTTTCAAGATCCTGGCTCCTTTCGCCCTGGTTTCTACTAACCTTGGATTCCTGACTAAGAGATTGAAGCTTCGAGGTGGGAGCCTGTTCACGGTTGTCATGGGTATAGGTGACTACATGACCCTGCGCTTCTTCTGGGCCGTAAGAGACGAGGGGAGCTGGCTGGAAATTGGCGAAAGTATTAGCATGTTTGTCATTGCTTCTGCATTGTGTGTTTTTGTTGCCGGATTAGAGGCGTTGTCGGAGGTGTTTGTTAGAGGCGTGGAGTTTGAAGATGATAAGCAAGAGGGAGTTACAGGGACGGACGGGATTTCCGTCGGTCTTGGCTCTGGCGGCCCAATGAGAGATCGTCGCTAATTGAGTTTAACCGAGGCCTCGGGTTGGCCCGCGAAGACTTACATAAGCGACATTGGCTTGAGCGGAGTTAGCAGCGGAGTTAATGCATATAGGTATCGGTGGTGTAAAGTAGAGCGACACTTTGTGTTGCTACAACATAGCAAAATCACCAGAGCAAGTCGATAAACAGAGCAAGGGCATTGATTAAACTAGGTCCGAGCGCTAGTATAAGCTATATTTGACATCGGTTGAGAAGTACAAAGATAGAAGGAATAGCGCCAAAGTTGTAGCAGTAACAGAACAGAACTCCATTTCCCTATGTTTGATGGTGGAACAGTACAGACTGATTGAATGCGGTTCATCATGGAAGGCAAGATGCAGGTGGTTGCTGGGTATAGATTGTTGGTGATGATGGGAGCGAGATGAGAAGGTATTATAAAACCGACGAGTGGTGTTGAGTATGTGATGGGTGGGAGGGTATGTCGCTATCAAAGCGTATGCATGGTTGGGGAGAAGAGCAGGTATGCAGGTATGTATGTATGTGAAAAGGGGGTGAGGTAAACATGTGCGTTGAGAAGGGAAGAAGAAGCCGGTGGTGAAATGAGAACTCCTAATATACAATGGTATCATAAGACATGGCATGCTAGCAGAGCAAAGCAAGCAAGGAAACAGAGCAGGACAAGAGAATGGGATACTCGGCGGGGGTAGTGACAGTAACGGCGACAGCAACGGCTTTATTTATCACCATATTTGCCGAAGAGTTCCTGCCACTTGAACAAGCCTCTGGTCAGGACGTCCATCATCTCGCCGCTGGTGAGGTCCTTGAAGTCCTTGTCCTTGCCAGCAGCGTCTGCGTCAGGAGCTGGTGCTGAAGTTGGAGCTGCCTGTGCATCTGACGAGCTTTGGCATTCGCTCGACGATGTGCCATTAGTTAGGCCGTTTAGTATTGCCTCTGCTTTCGCAATGGTGGCCGCCATATCACGGCTTGTTGTTGCCATTGTCGAGCTTGAATCGCCTGGCGGTCGAGTCGGTTGTTCACCGCTGGCCGCCATTTCCACTTGTAGCCGCGAAATGAATTCGAGGATGGCGGCTACGCGCCGCCGCATGTCGTTCATTGTAGTGCGATTGGGGTTCATGTAGCGTGGTCGACTTGCTTTGCCGGTCTCGCCGTTTGCATACGTGCCGTTGGGCCCTGTGTTGGAGGCGCTGGTGGGAGAGTCGCCTGTTGTGACATCCTCGCGGGACTGGCCTCGACGAGGAGAGTTGGAGATGGCGTCTGTAGTGCCATTGGGAGGATCACGGTCACGAGTGTACTGGTTACGGCCTAGACGGCCACGTCGGGCCGGGGGTCGGCCAGATTTGCGGGTGGCAGGTTTGGAAACAGGTGTAGAAGCTGTTGGTGTATCTGGGGCGGACTGTGCAGGTGCATTTGGAGTGGGTTTTGTGGGAGAAGTGGTTTCGGGGGGTTCAGAGTCTACGAATTTAATTAGTAAGTGGTCCAAAGTCCGGGGAATAGAGGAGTTGTCCTACCTTCGCCTTTGCGACGGTCAGATCTGCCTTTACGTCGGCTAACGGGTTCAGGCGCAGCCTCCTTCTCGGGTTCAGGTTCAGGCTCAGGCTCCTTTTCGCGCTGGTTCCGAGTGGCTCTAGTTTTCTTTTGGTTGCCATTGACACTTGCAGTCTTTGACTTTGTTTCTTCTTCTGAGGGAGAACGGGTGTTGCGCCGGGAGGGTTTTGAGCGGGAAGAGGGGGAAGGCGAGCTTGTCCTCTGTCTCTTAGCAGCTTGTTTGTTTCTATCAACGTATTAGTAGACTGCGGACTGCGTTTAGTATGGGAGGAAGACGTACAGTTCGCTAACACTGCGGCTTCTCTTGCCTCTGCGGCCGGTAGTAGTCTCTTCGGCCAGGGAGGCAGTGTCTTCTTTGCTCTCCTCAATGGCTCTGCGTAACAGCTCTTCCTCATCGTAGGCAGCATCACGGCTGTTCATGGTTCTACGTTTAGTGCGAGGAGACGTATCGCTGCTCTTGAGCTTCTTGTCCTTCGAAGTTTTCGCGGTCTCTCTTGAGGTAGTTGAGGATGCCGATGAGGTAGACCCGGCTACCGGGAGGTATTGGGAGGACTTCTGGCTGCGAGACCGTAAGCGCGATGCCCACATTTTGAGGAATGCCGGAGTTCAAATGAAGCCAGTGATTGAGGAGCAAGGCAGGTGGAAGGGTGATGTGGTGAGGATAAAGAGAGAGCAGCAGGGCTCAAGGGAGGGAGTGAAGCCATCCTATATACTGTATAACGTGTGTTGCGAGAACAATTGAAAGTGTAGGTAGTGCCGGAGAAATCAATGGAGGATGTTGTGAATCGCAAGAACACAGCAGCGGTGAATAGGCAAGAGAGATACCAGCCACCACTAGTAATAAGGAAAAGAAAAAATCTTCGAAGTAGAGGACAGAAGGAAACAGACAAGATAGGAAGCAGTATAAAAAGAGACAACTCACCCATGAGGTCCGACAATGATACTGTGCAAGTCCTTGCGGCATCTCTCGCAGAAATACTCGTCAGGACTCGAGGCCTCTTCCATGATGCCGACGCAGCCGCCGTGCTGCCAGACCTTGCACTCATCGCACTGGATGAACAGGCTGCCGGCATCGTCAGACTGAGCATCAGCCCCGGAGCCCGCACCCTGGCCGTCGCCGTCCTTGCCGCCCTTTGACGAGGACGCAGTAGCGGCGCCGCCGCGGTGTGCAGGCAGACCCGGGTAGTCTTGGTGGCCGCAGATACAGCGTGTGATCTCCTCCTCGCCCTCTTCGTCGAACTCGTCTCCCGTCAGCGTCACGTCGGCATCGGCATCGGCCTCGACTTCCTCGCGGCCCCTGGACTGTCGCTGCTGGCGGGTGCTTGTGCCAGAGCCAGAGCCCGATCCAGAGGTGGCGGCGTCGTTCTTCGAGCTGGCCGTGTCCGCGCCATCGTCCAGCGACTGGGACCGCTGAGCAGCCGACCGGCGCGGCGGAGTAGGCTTGTTACCGTTGTTATTCGACCGTGTGGTTCGCTCCGGCCGGCTGAGGGAGTTGAGCGAGCTGGAGGAGGCCGAATGCTGCATTGCGGCGGATGCTGGGTGCGTTGCGCGGGCTCGAGAGGAGCGACGAGGGTTCATGGCGGTGGGCGCATGCAAGACTCAGGTATTAATGGGTGCGTACAGGTGTAGAGAGGTATCGTGAGAGATATTATCAGGCCGGAGAGGACCAGCAGCGCGTGTGAGGATGGATGCGAAGCTCCTGGGGGCGAGTGGGCAAAAATCTCGGTCCTTCTGGCTCACGAACCCGCGGCGTCCAAAGGGGAGGGTTTCGAGAATTGGGGCAAGCTGAGAGCGAGCAGCAGGCAGGGAAGCAGGACTCGCGTACGGGAAGATGCGAGATCGAGGACTGCTACATGCTAGGGAGGTGCTGGTGGGCGGGAAGTGGACGAAGTCGAGGTTGACGTTGGGAGTTGAAGGCGAAAGGCGAGGATTGGAGTTTATGGAGTTTTTGGAGAAGAGCAGCCTCGCTAGTAGCTCCGTCCCCGCCCAGGGCCACGAACAGACAGCGAGACGGCGGCGACGGCAGGACAGGACAGGACGATGAAGAAGATGAAGAGATGATGATGATGATGATAAGGAAGAAGCAGATGCAGAGATTAAGCGAAGAGAAAAAAGAGGTTGACGGAATCTGCACGGCGGTTGACTGTGGGAGGCTTCTGTTTGCGATCTTCAGTCGCCTCGGAGGCTTCGATAAGACTCTTGCAGCGAGCACCGATGAGTTGAAGGCCCTTTTCGACGATAATAAGAGGACGAGAGAGCTAACGGTGTGCTTGACTCCGTAGTTACGGCGGTGCGAGGGGCTGTCATCATCCTGGCAGGGGAGGGAGGACTACAGGACAGAAGCCAGAGACCAAACACAGAGACGCCTGGGAAAAGGGAAGCTCTACTTCAAGGATGAGACCGAGAAGACGGATGCTAGTCCATTATTGCTGCTCTGGCTAGCTATGATACTGCTTGATGTGTTGGTGCTGGTGGCTGCACCTCGTCTACGCTTGCTGAAGCCCTGGTGTGAACTCTTCTCTGGCCAAAATCTATAGCTCGGAAGGAAGACACAGGTCCAGCTCGACAACGTCTATCTGGCTTGTTGATCTTGTCCTGCTGGTACAATGCTGTCTCTTGGAGAATGGCTGGCCTCAATGGCCTATAATAGCCCCGTCTACATTCCTTAACAAGGGCATTCAATGTGAAGATGCTCCTACAGAACGATACCCACATATCCTGATGGCTGAGTATAGTGAATACTTGCTCTGGCCGGGATATATTTGCTCTCTGTTGCTTCCGCTGCTTTCCTAATGGAATAACAGTGCTTCTTCTCGGATGTCGACCGAATCAACAACAGGCAGAGCTTCAACTTCTAGCTGAAGCTTGTGAAGGACATCCATGGGACGGTATGACCTGCTTCCAGGGCTAATACCGCACACAATCCCATATGATGCCTCTATTTCTCCGTTTCCCCGAGTGTAACTACAGCTTCATGCTCAGGGCCTTTTCAATCTGCTGTTGGAAGTCTCCCACAGAGTCAGGGCTACCAGAAGACGGGGGGAGAATAGCTCCATACAGATGTAATAGGGAGAGAGATAGAAAGAATAGAACCAGCAGGATACACGAAGACATACAGATAGCCGAAGAAGAGGCATGTTTTCCGGCGACTTTGAGTAGAGCTGGGCTTGGGGATATAATATTCAATTAATATAGGCTGCTCGTAGACCAAACCTCCCGACATTGCAACATCACCACCACCACCATCTTAAATATCTCAACCCTGCCACAGTCCGCTTACCATCACCTGTCCCCTCCCCCATCTTGCTGTCCCTATCCCCATCCCTCAACCCTTTCTGTCCCGTCTTGTCTTTTTCTCCTCGGTTGCCGCCAGCTTCGCCTATCAACCGCGTCTGCCACTGGCTTCCCAAAGAGGCTAGCGTCGAGACATCCAAAAAGCGAGCAGCGAAGAAGAAGAAGAAGAAGAATCTCAACTTCACACGCTTGACGAGACGCCGACGAGCCTGAAGAGCGACGATACTCGATATTCCGGAGACTCACGGCCAGACGACCTGACAGCCTCCAGCTCCCTCCCTCCCGCCCTTTGTCCCCTTTTCCCCCGGTGGTGTCTTCCGCCTGCCGAGCATCTCGCTTCGATTCTCCGTCACCTCGTCCACTGTGCCAGCAACGGCAACGCCCAGCTCGCAGCAGTCCGCCTCTGTTCAGATAGCAGGCTTGGTTTGGTAGGTCTGGGTGGACGGCCTTGTGCTCTCTTTGCATGCTTCTCTGCCGGATTTTCTGTGCTGGCTGTTCGTGGTGGACATTGATGCTGACCGTGACAAGGCCGGATAGTTGTCAATATTGGGCATCCACTCAACTACCACATATCACGCCCCATTCGCCTGAACCAAAGTCGATAGAGACGAGAGACGAAAGAGACACAGGCAGACAGGATTGTAGGACCGAGTCGTCTACGTTTGCTCCCACTCTGCAGCCTGCAGGACGCACCATGGCTGCCACTCTGAGTACGTCGACGGCTCTACCACTCAAAACTAGGGGTTGGACTTGACATATTTTTATATATGCATAGATGGCTGTTCTGGAACTACGCTGACGATTGATGAATCCTCGACAGGCGGGGCGTACACCTCTGCCCCTGATACACCGTCTCCTATCTTCCCTGAGCGGCTCATCCGTCCACTGCCAAAACGGCCTCTGCGCTCTCGGCTTTCCTCAGATGCTGCAGACACTATCCTTTACCCACCGTCACAGCCAACCACACAGCTTTTCTACGGTGCATACTCGACCACGGGTGATTCCCTCAACGATGCAAAGGTCTATGTGCAGCGTAACGTCTACGGGTACGAGCATAACGCCGATGATGACGGAGATCATGACCATGATGCTCACCACCACCACCACCATCACCACCACCATCATCACCACGATCACCACCATGATCATGATCATGATCATGACCACGACCACGATCACGACCATGACCACCATCACTACGAAGACGGTGCAGAGTCTGGCGAAGATGACGGTCCAGTGGCTGTTAGGAGAAGTGTAGGGCTTCAACGAGCCTCCGCACCACCTACAGTGGGGAGTGCAAAAGTGGCCTCGAATGGTGCCCAGGACGGATACGATGCATTTGAAAATACAAATAATAAGAAGAAAAGGAAAATACCTACATCTGGGGGGCTAGGGTGTCACTCTAGCCTCTCTTCTGATATTGCCAGTCTCTCCTGCAGTGGGGGGAGCGGTGCTTCAATCTCGGTGGACGACGGTAGCGGACAGGGTTCCTATTATGGTTCCGGCAATCCTGCCTCTCCCGTTGGAACTTCTGGTATGTCGGGTAAAGGACGGTACGGCCGGAATGGCCCTGGTCGCGGTGCTTCTGCCAGGCAGCCTCTTGCTGCCCATTCGCCCAATACATGGTCGACCGGGAGGCGTCATGATAGCGCCCTTTCTCAGGAAAACTTTGGTATTCACTTCAACTCCCCCGTTAACTATCTATGATTACTATTGGCATGTTCACTGGAGAAAAGCGTATTCTAACCTTTTTTTTTTTTATAACAGAACCAGGCAAAGATCAAGGAATAATTTCTGCTGCAATAGCCAATGCTGCCGCTGCCCTGTCGTCCAATCCTCAAGGCCAAAAGAATGTCAGTTTACTCGACCAGACAAAACGGTCAGCTCCTGCAAAAACGCAATTCACGTTTACCTGCGAGTCGGACTCTTCACGGGGTATGGCGTGGCAGTCCGCACATCCTTACTCGCTTCCCGAACATCACCGATCCGTCACTCAACCTCCCTTGCCTGGCCAACGAGGCTTCTCCACCCAGGGCACTCAGACCAGTCCCAACATGGCCACCCAGGCAAACCACCAGCAGCAGCAGCAGGCCCGCCAACAGCAGCAGCAACAACAACAACAGCAACAGCCGCCGGGGCAGGCTCAGGCCCCTGCTCCACCGCCTCGGAAACCTCGCAGGTCAGCTCGTGCAATATATACACAAGCTGCTCGCCAGCGGCGCATTCAACAGCAGATTACCAATCTTCACCATCCGCCTGACCTCGAGAGCATCTGGATATGTGAATTTTGCGAGTATGAAAGCATCTTTGGCCATCCTCCCGAGGCTCTTATCCGACAATACGAAATAAAAGACCGGAAGGAGCGCAGAAGATTAGCTGAGAAGCGCCGTTTGCTTGAGAAGGCCAAGATGAAGGGCCGAAAGGGGAAGAAGGGAAGCAAGAATGCTGCAAAACATCAGAATACGGCCGCAGCCCATGGTCAAGGACACGTCCAGGCTCACGGTCAAGCTCATGGTCACGCGGATCGAGCTCCTCACCCCAATGACCAGAGTATTCCCCCCGACCTCGAAGAGTATGATGAAGAGTATGAAGATGATGGACATGAAGATATACCCACCGACGCGGCGCCTCGCATTCCACCTTCAATTCCAAAGCAGCATCATCCTCCCTCCCCACCAAATTCGGTGCAAGATAGTATTGGCGGCGGTGGTGGTACTGGTGGGCAGTCAGGTAAGGCTTCCGCTTCAGCGGCCGCTGGTGGGGGAGGAGGAGGTTCAGGCCGAGCGGGCTGACTGTCAGTTCTCTCCGAATTTTCACCTCGGTGTGGTTCCCTCAGTTTCCTCCTAACCAGTCTGTTTTATGTCTCTCTCCTCTCTCTGTCAATCTTTCTGTATGTGTTCATTTTCCCCTCCCTTTTTCTTCCCAAGTTTACATCCTGATGCATCCCTTATCCACCATTATTCATAATGCACCTTCTGGCTTTTCATCATTTTATTACCTCTTATCCCCTATCACTATCAACCCTTGTCCCCTAACTCCCTTTCGTTACCCCCCCTCATCAACAAACCAACAGATATGAGCGTCATGTCGATATGTCTGAGTCCCTTCCCCCTATTTCCCATTTGTTTCGAATCCAATCCATCCCATCATAACGTCCCCACTCTATCCTTACCTTTACTTCATAACAATCCGTTCCCCTCCCGCTTTCCTTACCCCTTGCCTCGTCCTTTTTGGAAGCATACTGCGTTATGCATGTAACCTGCATGATATAGCGCTCTTGGAAGCGTTGATTCTTTGTTTCTGAGATATGATTGTCATCCTGTCTGTCAGTGGGACAGTCAGGACGCGGTGGTTTGCTGAGAAAAGAGAAGCTTACCCGCTGTTCGGTACCAGCAGCTTAGTACCATGCCGTACGATGATACTTTTGCTATGGCTTTGGTGAGCTAAATAGCTCGTCTCTTGCTATGCTGATGGATTTCGAGAGTTACTGTCTGGTGGCAGTTGAATTGAGAGTCTGCGCTGCTAGTGTTCAGGCCGTGGTTTGATGGATGCCAGCAGTGTCTACCTAGATACACACACACACACATTACACGATGGAAGATTGTAAATAGAAAATATCAATCAAAGACATACTTCTTCCATCGCCGGCTTCTTCTACTCTGTAACTCGCCTTGTCCATCCATATCCTGTCATCCCTGAAACGTCTTAAGTGGGCACGGCGCTTAGAGCAGCAGTTCTTCACTCTAGCCGCCGGTGCGGGTTTTTATGATAAATATAGCATGAAGGTTTGAACCATGTCTATAGCAAACCAAATATACAGTCGCTTTCACCTTACTGGCCATCGTCCTGTACCTGGGCGCTAAATGAAGCTGGCGTTTAACCGTCCAGCTACCCCTTAACCACCGACAAGATCGCCTCCTATCCAATCCATCTTCCTCCGGTGAGCGAACCTCCAACTTGTTCCGGCCCGTTTCTGTACACTAACTAAAACTTTGAAGTCCTCGAAGGCAGCTCCATCGCGAAACATCCGGCATGATGTTTCATCGTCTCTGCCTGGTAGTTATTTGATTCGAGCATGGGGATTATACAGGCCCCCTGAGATACCATGCCTCGGCGGCACTTTTGCTGCTATCTTTGGCCCATGGCCATGTAGATGGAAGACCCATCGAAGAAATAGGAGAGGACAGAGCATGACGGAAGGAGATGTACATATAAAGCGTCTGCTGTCCTCGATATCAAATCCTCCTTTTCTTCCTATTCAGCATTAATCAACCAGGACATCCCCAATTCACCGGTCTTTCCCCCCTTTCTCTTTCCTTTCTATTTTCTCTTTCTTTTCCTTGTGTTCTCTCTCTCTATTCTTTCATTCATCTATTGCCCAGTCTCCATTCATTCAACCTGCTGTGTTGTCTATTTATTCCTTCACTTCATTCAATCAAACCCACCAGGTGGTGCAGCGCACTGCTTCCTTCCTACATATATTCATTACTTGCAAAAGAGCCCTGCTTCTGTGAAGCCAACGCATATCGACTTAATATCGAACGTCTTTTCCCTGTCTTTATTTATTTGCTAGAAGCCCTGCAGTCAACAGTTATAGCCAGTCTATAGCCTCCGTTCTTCGTCTACCTCTTCGATACACCTGCATCAACTCATCAGTCAAATACATCTACACACCAACCAACCAAGCCACCGATACGGATTATCAACATGTTTGTTGCTGGACTTCTTCTCAAGGGCATCAAGAGCCGTTACTCTACTGGCTCTATTATCGGTACGCTGTTTGAATGCTGTATCCGATTCCTGCAGTTCGTCTTTGGCATCGCTGTCATCGGCTTGTATGCACAAGACGTCGACCGGGCCAGGAAACATGGTGACAGCCAGGACTCACGATGGGTTCGTGTTCCTTATTTTAACTTGAGAGATAATGGTATCATATTCTAACAGTCCTATAGATCTTTGCAACCGTCGTTGGCACACTATCCGCTATCTCTGGACTTGTCTACATCCTGATCCCCTGCGCCGTGCGGCGACCTCTATCCCAAGCAACTTTCATCCACCTACCGTGCTTCGTCTACGACAGCGTCCTAGTCATTCTCTGGCTGACGCAGTTCGGCATCTTCGCAAAGCTGTACATTACCGTCGACGATGACAAGGACAAGAGCCTCAAGCGCATGAAGCACTCCGCCTACGTGGACCTGGTCAACCTGTGCTTCTGGGCCATCACCTGTGCTTGGTGTGGTATTCGCTGGTGGAGAGGAAACAAGGCCGGTGGTGTCCAGAAGGAGGAGAAGGCCTTTGATGAGCATATTGAGCAGGTTTAACTGTTCTGTCTACCAATCTGTCTGTTTTTTGAAGAAGAATTCCTTCCAACACTCGTTTGGGGATGTGCCGGTTCTCCCCTGTATGGATGGCATGGCGTATTCCTTCTTTCGTCTCCAAGAACCGTTATTGTTGTTGTTATTCCTTTTCTCTTCCTGATATTTTCATTCTTTTTCTTCCATCTGTTTCTTTCAGCATCTTATGGGCGCTCGAGGAGTCTGTCTATGCGTTAACATAGCATAATCAAGAGTAAGAAGACATAAAACTTGCATATGATTTTTTTTTTTCGATATCAAGTCCAAACCATGGGTATACAAAATAGATAAAGAGAAAAAAGGAGAAGGACAAAGGGGGTAAAAAAGGAGAAGTATGTCCACCAGCTGGATTGGAACGCGACTAATCCGAACTTCTCATTTCTCCATTCAACACGTCAGTTATCCATAAACTACCCGAACGAATCTGGTTACATCATGCTATCCTTGTCTCCCCTGTTGCCAGAGAGGAATGCAGATCTATCTATCCATATTCCAGTGATTATGTATTTCATATCTCGTTGCCGACGAAGCCAGAAAATGGTAACAAGACATTTGTATAAGTACACTCAGATCAATAAAAGGGGAGAGGTGGAGTAGTGTTGTGGCGGGTTAGAGGGCGGAGGAATTTGAAATAAAGGAGCTGGGTCGATCATTTTTTGGCTCGCCGGGTCGATGAACTGGCATAGGTGGGTGATGGTGCTGTTGCTGCTCTCGTGGGAGAAGGTCTATTATTACTATTATCATTACCAGTGGTAGAGTGGGTAGAGCAAGCGGACGGCGTTGGCGAGTGCTTTGATTTTGGCTTCGATTTCCTTGGAGAAGTGGAGGAAGAGGAGGCCGAGGAAGTATTGGGAACTGGCGCTTGCCCAGGTTGGACACTGTCGATTAGGTTGGTAAGAGAGGAAACGCGGTGATACTGCTCTTTAACTTTGACTTGCTCCTTGACGAAGCGGGAGCGGAATCCCTTTTCAACCAGGGAGGCTGTAGATGGCTGTTCGGATGATGGTTTGTCTTCTATGACTACAGGCGAGTTTGCAAGGTATTCTTCCAGCATCATTTTATCTCCGGCCGTAATAGTTGAGGACATCCTTATGTTGGCAGTCAAATTGCCTTCCTGGGCAGTGTATGAACCCATCTGTTGGGGCTGCGAGGGGGATTGTGTTGTAAACGGAGACCTAAACTGGGGTTTTCTGGATAGACTGGAAGGGGTAGGGTTATTGGGCCGCGAAGTGGGGGCTGAAGAACGGAGCTCATATCAATATTACATCCATTTCCAGTGACAGCCGGGGTAGGGTTCTTACATTGAGCAGGGCTGTCGTCGAATGGACCCCTAAACTTGGATGGAGGTGACTGCGGCCGAAGCTCAGCAGGACTGTCGAGAGTCCTCGTGGGGAAAGGCCGGTTGATCCTTCGAGGGAGAGAACCTGGCTCCATCTCCTGTGAGCATGTGAGATTACTGGCAAATGTGGTCTTCTTTCTCCTGATTGAGCCGGAGCGTGACCTGTCAGACTGCTGGTACAAACTGTCTCCCGAATAGGATGCGGTAACGTCTCTCCTGGAAGGCGAGTCAGGCAGCTGTTCGTCTGACGGCGGCCGCGGCTTCTTTAGGATGGATGGGGGAAGGGTTGTTTTTATGCTGCTGCCGGATGGAGTGAGCCTGGAGCTGTTACTCCTGCTTGGCCCCTGATCGGATGGTGATTTAGGCAGTGAGTTGTCAACGTAAAATCCGTGAGGAATGGCCCTTGGCTTAAGGCCAGCAAGCTAGATTCGGCCAGTTAGTCTCTGCTTGTTTCCTCTGGGAATGATTGGAAAAAGCGCTGCTCTCAGTTGTTTACCTCTCTTTCCTTCCTGAGCCACTCTTCGGTGGTGTAGTCCCCTTCCGAGATCTGGATAAAGAGAAACGCCAGGGTGTAGCCGCGGATGGTGCAGCTTATCCGTCCGTTACTCCATATCCTCCAAAAGAGGTTCTCCAGCCGTCGGCCTGCATCTTTCTCCAGGGTGGTCTTATTCGTCGTATAGACTAGAGACCGGGGTCAACAGTGACAAAAATCAAAAGGCGAGAAGCTGCTTGCTCAGATGAACAAAGAACAAAGGAACAAAGGAAGAGCCTCACCTCTCCACAGCCTGGCCACATCCTCAACCTCGACATGCGAGTCATGGTTAAGCTCCGAGCGGATGCTGTGGGTGTTGAAGACGATGCCGTGGGGAAGAGCTTCCGTCATGGTCCAGCGGCCCACGAGACAACGTAGATTTGTGAGGTACGGCCCGACAACACCACCAGCATAAGGATATCACTGGCTACGGTCAAGCAAGGTACAGCCAAGAGCAGGGAGAAAAACGGGACGGCCACCGGTGGTATATATGTCAATATCTTGGCCCTCACTTGTCCTTCCTCTGTACTTTAAGAGCTGGCTGCCTGGTATAGTATGCGGTGTGCAGGGTTAAGCTCAACGGGCGCGCATGATCAACATGGCGCGGGTTGACGGCAGCCAACGGAGCGCGAAGGGGTATTTAGCCTCTCGGTTCGCTGTTCCTGGGGATGGAGGATGGGCTAATGCAAGGAAGCTGGCGTATGAGCAGAGGAAAAGAAGCTGAGGTGAGGCGGGCGGGAGGTTGCGAGAGGGAAGACGTGGAGGACGTGGAGGAGAGCGGGCGATAAGTTATAGAAAAGAGGCGCGGATGGGGCAGGTCGGCTGCTGCAGCACGTGAAGTGTCCGGATGACCTGCGGGTCCGCGATAAGTCAAGTTGGAGAAATATGAAGCTGGAGGTGGTGGTTTGTATGGTGGCGCTGGCGGTGCTTCGTGCTTCGTGCCTCGTGCTGGCGCTGGCGATGCTGGAGATATTAAAGGCAGCGGAGAGAATCGACGGTGTAGTTGAAGAGGTGACGTTGGAATGTCCCGATTGGGATGGGCTCGACAGCTTCTTTTGACGACTCGACGTCAAAGTTAACTAACTAGTCAACTATCTCAACCTCGCAACCTCACAACAACAACGACAGCGACGATGACAACCACGACGACGAAGAAGCTCTACACGGCTACAGGAGGAGCCAGACAAGATGTTTCATTCAGATGAAGCAGAACTAGAAGACAGGCCGACTGGAAAAACGGCCACTGTCATGTGCCGCGCAGAAAAAGCTGGGCCTCTACTTTGACCAGCTAGCTGGAGTCTCGATATCCAGCGGTGATGTGACGGGAGAATCCGTGCAGCCAATGCAGGACGAGGTCAGGAAGGCCGAGCAGATCCAGGATAAGCCTGGGCAGACAGCTGCACGACGAGAGAGACGCAGACAGGGGCAGACAGCCGAAGAGAGACTCTCCAGCCTCCGGGTTTCAGCCTGAAGCGAGTTTGTGATCGAGACTCTGCTTCCGAGTCGTCCATCAGCTGCAGATGTTTTCTTTTTCGCCTCCCCTCTTCCAGCAACAGCTGGACTGGACACCATCTCGAAGACTTGCAACCGTGGTATCTCGCCTGTTCAATGCATGTACGATGTACAGCGGATTGCAGATTCGCTCCTCGTATCAGCGGCTTTATCTCCATTATGATTCTAGTGTCTGCTTGACGAGGCTGGAATCCCATATACGGGACGCATACAGACATGGTACATACGTCTATGCATACACAAAATATTGAGCGAGCAAGGATATCGGCTAATGGCCTACGGTGGCATTGTTGACTCATTTATTATTAAAAAGTAAGCAAAGCAGATCTAACTAACGGAAAACTAGCCAGCCAACCGGGGAATAGGGAATTGACGGAGGAAGGAAGGAGCTCCTTCACCTTTTTTTTTTTTTTTAGGTGACGGTGTATCCGCCGTCAACACGCAGGTCCGCACCGGTGACATACTTGCTAGCGTCACTTGTAAGGAAGACGACGGCACCCATAAGATCCTCCGGCACACCCATCTTGCCCTGGGGAATCAGCGAGGTCCATTTCTGGTTCAGGTCTGGGTTGTCGTCAAGGATTTTTTGTGTCCTAACCGCAACGCACCCCCTTGTTAGTACCATAGATAAGGATGCAATATATACTTCTCGACAAGAGTAGACTTACAATGCAGTCAGCATGTACCCCGGGCTGATACAGTTAACCCTGATGCCAGCTCCAGCCCATTCGACAGCCAGCGAAGCCGCCAGGTGCCGGATCGCCGCCTTTGCAGCGTTATATGGTGCCTGAGGCTGTGGAACATTAACAATCGAGCCGGACATGCTTCCTATCAGCACCATGCTACCGGGAGCCTTGCGTTCCATCAAATGCTTGGCTACCTCGACGGCAAACAAGTAGGAGCCATCAACATTGACTTTCCACAGCTTCTGGATGCGATCATAAGGGTAACTGATGGCATCGAAGTTCTCGGTAAAGCCAGCCGAAGTGACCAGGTGGTCTATCTTGGTGTGTTTCGAGATAATCTCGGCGATACTAGCATTGACAGACTCGGGATCGCCCACGTCCGCATAGTGAGCTGTGATTTTTGGTAGGCTGTTGTTATGCCGTCAGCTTCGTCATATAGGCTGGGTATCTATGCGGTGATTCTACTAACCGGTCAAGGCCCGGGTTTTCCTTTTCAAACTGCTCTAGCAGCTTCTTTGCTTGAAGCTCTGCTTCCTGTTCTATACAGCTGTTAGCTAAAACCACACATCAATTGTTTTTTTCGTTGTTTGTTGATTGTTGCAACGTACTGTTCAAGTCCACAATGGCAAGATCAGAGCCAGATGCGACCAATGCTTGACCCATAACCAGTCCCAATCCACGCGCACCCCCTGTGATGACGGATACTCGGCCCTCGAGCGAGAATGAGGCCAGCGTCCGCTTGAAATGTCGACCTCCCCGGCCCTGCACGATAGGGGTCTGTGGCATCTCATCGTCCGGAGGGTACTCAACTCTCACGCTATCATCTGTTCGAGCCAAACCGCCCTCTGCATCGATAGCTGCCGCCGGAACCTTCTCGTTATCCTTGTACAGAGCGGTTGAAGAGGATATGTTTCTTCTGTAAGCCGCTTGCTGCACTCCGAATCGCCCTGCAGTAGCGGCAGCCGAAGGTCCTCTGATGATTGATGACGGACCGCAGGCGGCCCGAAGCAAGCTGCTTCTCGCAGATAGCTTGAACATGGTGTCTCTCTCTGTGTTTGTGTGCCTTTCTGCTATCTCTTTCTAATGGCAGATGTAGTCGATGATTGAATCACCACTGCTGGGATCGAGATTTATGGCCTGCTTGCAGACGTCATGCAAATTAGTAACTCAGCGGAGCTGCGCAGCTTGCATCGAGCCAAAACCGGTCGCTTACCTGGTTCTGTAACAGTTCACCACCCAGGTGGCCAATGGACAGTCAACTTCAAACAACGACCTTGGTTTTGTTCACCAAGACGGCCGCAGCAGCAGGTTGGACTGGGAAGAGATAGCAGGAGTAGTAGGAGTATGTGCAGGAGGGAAAAAGAGGACGCAGATGATCAGGAAATAAAATCTCTTCCCAGGCGAGCCCGAGGAGGACAAGAAATATGGGACCTCTCTTCCATCGCTGATCCACCGAAAGGTCACTTGAGCACCTGTTACTAGCTAAATAAACCGCAGGATGGCAGCGGGCGGAAAGGGGTGATAAGCGATGAAAGGGAGGCAGAGCTTCGGGCGCGCCTTTTTTTAGCTGGCACCTTACGCAAGGCTTTAACTGGAGCTTTAACTGGCCTTTAACTAGCTTTAACTGGCTTTAGCTGGGGTTTAACTGGAGCTCGGCCAGGGGCTTCCCTTGGTAGGTGGAGTCGCCAGCGGTGGCGGTCGGGCTTCCAGAAGGGCGAGACTCGCTCTCTTTGCTTATTCTCTACTTTCTAGCCAGGGATTTATTTTTTTATCTTTTTTATTTTATTTTGATTGCTGATTTCTATCGGTCTAGATCTGGTGGTTGGTGATGGTATTTTGAGGTTTATATATACAGTAAGGAGAATGCTCTTCTCTCCTCGAATCGCCGCCAAAAAAGAAGAGAGAAACAGCTCGGAAGATGTGTAAACAAACGAATAAAAAGGACTCGTCATCGTATCATCCATCATGTATAACCCCTTGAAAACAAGAATGCCGCGACGTGAAAATATATTGAATACTTGGATGGGAGGGATATCGGCCTGTCCAGGGGGACCGATGAGCTGCGAAGAAAAGCCATCGTGGCCTGAAGGAGTCGTTGGTTTGCTATGTTTCTGTTGTCCCTGGACGATCAATAAGAAGGGGGAGGTGGAGATGCTTTTTTTTTTTCGTTTCTTCTTTACATACTCCGTACGGGCGAGAAGATACCGGCCCAAAAAAAGGATGATCGGAGCCCATGGTGGGTAACTTCGTTGCGATATTTGATAATTCCAACACTAAGACGAGAGACCAGACACTGGATTTGTCTACTCTTTCTTTCTTTTCTTCTCAATTCATCAGCAAAGATGTCAATCGATCGTTTGACCGTCTTTGATAGCCCTGGCCAAAGGCCGAAAATCGGCCTCCATTACGACTCAGGGGCTTCCGGCTCGGCAGCAAACTCGACCAGCGCTGTGCCAGCTTTGCAGATATCCTAAAAAAAATAACAATTTTGTCAGCCATCGCCTTCTAGACTCTTGCTTTTGATCGGTGTAAGGCTTACCCCCTGTTTATGCACAATCTTCTCCACCACACCCTTGATGGGACTCCTGATAACAGTTTCCATCTTCATACTCTCGATCACAACAAGAGGCTGGTCCTTCTCCACTACTGCACCTTCAGCTACTTCCACGCGCAGAATCTTGCATGGCATGGGAGCTAGGACGCTGTTGGTCAACTCTTTAATACCAAGCGCCTTCTCCATCCACTTGGCTCGGGGAACCTTGAGTCTGTACTGTCGTCCGTGCTGGAAGGCAGTGATAGTATCCTCGTCACGAATTACGGTGGTATCAAGACGAGTATGGGGGAAGAAAGAGGTAAGTGACTTGCCGTCGGCCGAGAGCGTGGCAGTAACGTTGCTGAAAGTCTTTTCATTGTTGACGGTCACATCATAGCTCGATGGGCTAGTCTGATAGATCTGAACTGTAGCTGGTGTGGCCTCGGGGGTATTTGGGGCCGTAGCCTCAACAAAGGTGAACTGACGCTGCTGGTAGCCCGGGCTAAAGCCAATGCCTGCGCCAGTGTTTCCAATTGGGTTGCTGGAGCTAGTTCCCGCGATGAAAGTTGAGAGGGCTACCTGAGCCCAGAGCTCCGGTTCGACTGGTTCCTTAGCGAACA